GAACTATCTGCCAAATACCTCATACATAGGCAGGCACAAAGCCAACCAGGGGTACGTGCCAAGGCTTACGTGAGCCAAGTGCTTCGGAGGCTTGAGGCTGAGACGAACGCCTCATAGAAAGGAAGCTCAGGGCGAAGTTGCGCCGCACTCGCATGCCTATAGTTTGCGAAGTATATTATCCCGCTTCCAATCGCCCCTTTCGTTCTATACCATTATACGATTACCTAGGCTAGTATGATGTTAGTGGCATACCTACGTGATTCGTCGTGTCGTTCCGAGTACAGATCTTGGGTATTATTAATACCCAACCCCCCCCCTTCCCCGAACAGGAAGCTTTCAGCCTTACAACCAGCACGAGAACTTGAAAAACCCAATATGTACCGAATATGGATATGAGGAATCACCTTTGTACCTTTGTACCTTTTGTACGTACATAGTGCCCTGGGATCTCCTAGCGTCCGCCGCACTTCTGCTCCTATGTAGCACACATGTACTCCTGCTCCTGCTCCTTCAGCGTGCCGGCGAACGCTTCCCTTTACAGTAGCACGTCCTTGGGCCTGATGAGGCAAAATCCGCATTCCAACGACGGAGTTAATATGACTGGGATGGAAAGCGAGGGGACGACACAGCAGCTCTCTTTCTCTCTCCATTTCTCTCTCTCTTTGCTCTGTCTCGGTCCATCTCGGTCTTTGCCCTACGGCCGTTGAATCCTTCGTCTCCCGGTAACTGGGGTTAGCAGTCCATTACTTACCTACTTAGTCTGTTCCCCCGGGCAGTCAGTTGCTCCGTCACCTCATCCATCCTCTTCTCGAAGCGAGAGCAGAAACTCCTGGGCCCTGTGAGGCCATGAGCATCGCAAACAGGAAAAAGCCAAGAGTGGAAATCCACTCCGCGTAAATGCTTGGAAAATGCTTGAGCCTGAGGCCGTTTTGGGATCTTTTACTCTTTACGGCAGAAACTGGCTCCCCACCTGGTGATCCTGCCAGCCCACTCCTGCCTTATGCAATATGGCCGATCGTCAGCATCTGCAAGTCTCCCGTTATGCAGGACATAAGTCCAAGACGATCACCACTATCGGAAATGCCCCCTTGCCTATTGCCTGATACTAGTACAGCCGGGACACGCCATTATCGCGGTGCCCTGCAGATGCAGGTGCGAAAACGTTTGAACCGTCATCTTACAAAGCAGCTGTGGCAAAACAAGATGCCCCGAGTGTCTCCGTCATCGCGTAAGAATTTCAGGTCCCATCCCTCAGTCATCTGAATCACGTTGGACCTTCCCCTTCACTCAACTGCTTTTGTCTCTGCCCGATCATGCTTATCCAAGGACGAGCCTCTTCCTGTCCTTTCGCCCTCCCTCCTCCTGCCTGCCAGCCATTTTCACTTCATCAAAGGCCCGTTTCAGTGCCTCTCGCTCTCCCTCCTTCCTGGGTTTGAGCCTTCTGAAACTGCCGGATCAACCCCAGCGGCCCCAACGGTTGCATAATCGCCCTTGCATCACGCTCATCTTCTTCATCTTCACTACCCGCCCCGGAGGAGGAGTCGATTTCGTATTTCCATGACCCCAATTCACTGTCGTGAGTTGCGTGAGTCGTCATGCCCGTGGGTGCAGAAGAGAGGCGCGGTTGGCCCCCTACTCCATTCGGCTGAGATGTGCCTGTTCTCTGGGGCCGAAGCTCAGTGGAATCTTCTTCCTCCGCGACATCGTCGGGGATTTCATGCCCTCGCTCAACGGTAGCAGTCCGACGAAGCTTGGCAGGAAGAGAGCCACGTGGTCGAAGAGCTTGCGGCGACGAAGTAAACCCGCTCACAGAGGGTTGATGATGTGGGTCGAGCAACAACGACTGGAGTGGCGAGCCAAACGGCTGAGAGGGAGCATGGCCTTGACCCGTAGCGTGATGCTGAGCGCCAAATCTGGGAGTTCCCAAGGCTCCGCGATGTGAGGTTACTGAACCCAGGCCTCCGCCGCTGTGCCGATGCGCGTGCATGCCGCCACTGAACGTATTACCGTGGTCTGTCGCGGGGAAAGATGGTGAAGGCAATCCAGGGATAGGAGGTGGCATGTTGAAGTTGAAGCGCCGCCTGGAGGTGTGGTAGGGAAAATGGATGTCTGTCTTGGGATTGCGAGCGTAGTCGTTCATGAACCCCCAGTAACTGTGTTCGAGCTTGTTGTCCTTGGACGCAAAATAATCATCCCGTAGATTCGCATTGGCATTGGCATTAGGTACACCTGCGGCAGCGCCTCCTGTCCCCGTCTCCGCCTCTGAGGATCTTTCCTTTGGCGCAGGCCGAATGGCCTGGTTCATGAAGCGAAATTCGGCGAATGTACAAACGTATCCTATACCATCGACGTGCACCGTGAATTCTCGAAAGAAATCAATGATTCGCTCGCTGCATTTGGGCAGACTGAACCACAGCACAAAGGGCGTGAAGAAAATGCTGAGCACTTCCTCCAGGAAAATGACCACTTTCATCTGGTATAACTGGGAGAATTCCTCTTTGACCTCGATGGTGTGAAGACGACCCGCCCAGTGCTGCGGTTCATAATGTGTAAACTGTATGACTTCTCCTATTGAAAAGGCCGTGTCGTAGACCATGTTGTCATCCGGCAGCAGGCCGCGCGCAACAGCCCATATCGATCCAAAAATGCCGATGTAGAATATGGTGGTCCGGCCCGGCGTCACTTCAAAATTCAAGAAGTTGTCTTGGTCTAAAATCGTGGCGAGGCCCAGGACCGACACCACCGCTCCAGATATCAGACTGACGAATCTCGCGATTTGGACGGTCTTATCCTTTGGAAATTGATTAATATATCTGTCGGCGAAAGGGTATGACATGTTTATCCGCCGTCGAAATAGGTGGTGCAGCTCATTGAATTCTCGGAATTTCCACTGCGCAAACGGGGTATACTCTCTCATACCGATCTGAGCAGGATTCTTCTGGTAGTCGTTGAAATTCTGAAAGAAGTGCTTCAAGACGAAGAATGTGGCAAGGAATGGTGCAAAGGCAAGGCTTGTAAAACCCGCCAAGATGAAGCGTGACCGGAGTGCATTCGCTAGGTCTTTCCGGTGCGTATCCTTTAGGAAAAGAGGTCGCACTTGTCCTTTGCGGTTGAAAACAAAGTCCATAATGCACAGTTCAATGTTCCATTCTAATGTCCGAGTAAAGAGCTTGCGGTTGCCGAAGAAAGGGATGGGCAAAGTCAGGTCAAGTATGTCCTTGTTGATCATGGCAATCATGTAATTCTGTCTTCGCATGAGTCTGTTGGCAATGTCATACGCATCCATCCGTTGCTTGTTCTGCGATTTGATGTAGCCACTGGTCTTTTTGGAAGTAGAAGAGATGGTGGGGTTCGAGTCTCGAAGAGCCATCAGGCGACTGACAACCTCTTGCCACGATATTGACTGAATTTCTGGCTCAGGGATGTCGAGGAGGTAAAAATAGAAATCGTTCATGTGTTTCAAACGAGGGATATCGAAGAGATACAGGACACCCTTCCAAAGCCAAATGAAAGTGGTGAGCCAGAGCAAAGCATTCGGAACAAACCCCATTCTTTTGGTACACTGTGGTACCAGGATCTCTGACATCTTTGTGCTCCCTCTGATCTCTCGGTAGTCGATACACTGAGTGAGAAAGATGGAAAAACCAACCACGAAGGCCACAGTCAGGAGATTGAAGAATCGCATGAGAACCGTGGACCAGAAGCCGTGATTGAGGTAATAAGTGTACACCTCCAGCAGGAAGTTATCCAGATCTGTCACGTTGACCCATCGAAACATGGCTTTCTCTTTGGGATCTGCACTGGCAAGATTGCCTCCAACAATGCCTCCAGCTGGCCTAAGCTTCGTCGCATTTCGGCTGCTTGGACTGGTCTTGGGACGGTATCTTGCATGGAATTCTTGAGCAGCCGTCGAAGGACTCGTGTCGCGACCTTGTAAAAGGCCTTCTGGCATGAGGCTCGGGGGAGGAGGCAGTGACATGGAACCATGATCAAGGCCCATTGCATTGTGATCGATCAGTAACGACGCCGGAACATCATCGTCCGCCTCTTCCACATCCAAGAGCTTATGAGCTCTCGGGGTGCGCCTTGGCTTGTTCTGAGTCTTGCGTGTGTCTTTCCGCGGCAGCTGGGTTTCCGCGGAGGTAGGAGCAGCACGGCCATCATGACGAAGACTTCTCCGATGTGATGGAAGGTTGGAGGAGTGCAATTCTTGATTGGTGAAGCCATCTCTTTCATTTGCTCCATTTGGAGCCAGCCCTGCGGTCTCCTCGACATCGAAGTTGTCCGAATCCTCGTCTTCCTGCCGGATGGCGTCATAGATAGAGGCAGAAGGGTTGTTGGAGCCCGTAAACCGAGACATGAAGTTGGAAGCCATCATGGGCTACCATGGAGAATTCGTTTGGCGTTGAAGGAGCGTGCAGTCGAAGGTGAGAATGGAGAAGAAAGGCTGAAGGGAGTGAGCAAAGGTCAAGACATGGTCATCTCGGCGCGCCTATGTCTGCAACTGTCAGTGCAAACGCTCTCGCGCAGGCACATGACAGATTCTCTCAACAGGCAGATGAGGGAGAGTGGGGGGATCGGATCTTGAGCAGATGATCACTACAGCAAAGAGCTATGAAACGCACGTTGTTCCCGAAACGCACAATACCGACGCAAGGTGATCAACAGAGTACAGAAGAAAGCAGGAGAAAGAAGGAGGGATGCAGCCGTCAGTCGAGTCGGAGAACAATGCGGCTCTAGATCATCCTGAGTAAACAGCTCCCCCTTCCCCGGAAGTCAACGCAGGTCTAAGCGTTAGTCTCACAAGGCTGCTCCCCGCACTCCGACGAGGCTGTACACCATTCTTGACATCTGATTTATTGGACTGGGGTAGTCGTGATCATTCTTCTATGCTAATCTACATTGATTCAATTATAGAGCGAGGTCCATTGGTTTCTGCGCCATCTATCCTTCTCTTCACATGAAGGAGCGTCGCCGCTCAACTGCATAATGCTTATTCTCTAAAAGAAGAGGGCTGCCAGAAACGAAACAACGAAACATGCAATCACCCACTGTTGATGTTGTTCCACTTTTGACCTGTCGAGCTTCTCTAAGCTGCTGTATCCAGCCGCCAGCACAATAGTGAGAAGGATCAATCTGTTCAGAACGCCGGTGATGAATTTAAAGCATAATAGTGGTATGAGCGTCATCGTGAGAATGCAAATAGGGACGTATTCTAAAGCTGGGCCGGCCGAATGCGTTGACGTGGACGAGGGAGTCTCCTTTAATGATATCAAATCCTCATTGTCGTCTAGGAACTTGGACTCTGGGAGCGAGAGGGGCCTGTGTTCCCGTAACCACGTCCGAAATTGGGCAATTTCAGTTGCAGTTGGAGATGAGGAAAGCATGCGGACTCTTTGGGAGGCTGAAAGAACTTGATCTGGCCCTGGTCAGTGTGCGGCATCTGTTTCGGGAGATTCTTTAGCGTACAGTATTGTTCAAGCTTCATCGACAACCGTCCCAAGACATGTAACCGATGTGCCGGCAGATCTGACTGATTCCATTGCCAGCTCAGTCTCCTCGAGGCCGGCGACATGCTGCCGTCCGGGTTGAGCCGGCTGCGGCTATCGACCGAATCCAGAGCGGCCAGCTGTTCTTCCATCTCGATGATTTCGTCCTGTAATTGTAAAAGCAGCCGAAAATATATCTTCTTAAAACTCCGAAATACTGGCGGAAGCTCCCCGGACGCCAGTCTATCCGCAATGAGATCATATCCGGACAAGGTATTTCGTGTTAAGCAAAACTCTTTGTCGCATCCGTCAGGCATATGTGACATGCGTGCGCGAACATGCGGAGGGCTCGGCGTCCTCTCAACCAGATTCGGTACAGGAGGGGTATGGGTGGCCGGAGGCACCTCTGGATATTTCCATCGTAACCGTTGCGAACGATTGGGTTCGACCGCGCGTGGTTTATGGTTCTCTTCTTGTTCCTTGACATCCTCCAGCAAAGGAGGTAAGTGGGTGTCAACGAAAGGATCATTGGTGGGGTGGATAATGCTATCGCCCATTGATATCCCTGAGTCTGAATGCATGCTCGGCACGATGCTATCACTATCAGACTCGTCGGACACAGCAGTGTTCTTCTCATCTTGAGGCGCCTTTTGGGCATCCGGAGCGGCGGCGGTTTGCTCGTCGTCCTTGACAAGAAAGGCGAAGACGTCTACTGATTCTCTGGACATACTTTTCTCCTTGGTGGCATTCTCTGGGTCGGTCTTCACCGGCGAGGCCTTTCTCTCTCGACCGTCGCTCAGCTTTTTCTGCTTGGAGGATGATCTACTTCGTTTACTCGACCTTGTGGTTGATTTGGAGAAGGATTCTTGCGTGACGGTAGATGAACTATCGGTGGACCCATGGGATCCGGTGGTGATCGCAGTAAGGAGGGACAGCTTGGAAGAGCGAGCACCCTTGTGGCCGGCGTAGGTCTGGCTGCGACGCCGACGACCTTGATCGCGCACCGACCCGGACATGCAGGGTTGGAGAAATAGCTTGGCTCAAGGGGGCCGTTCATGGGAGATCCGGAGAGCATGAAGGTGGTGGCGATAGTAAGGCTTGGTTGCATCCAGCAGTGACAGAGAGCGGAGAGCCTCTAGCGAAGAGCTCCATAATTTGGCAACGGCGGGAATGATGCATGAACGAAAGGCAATGTCATGAAAGCAAGACAGAGAGTGGCGGCGGCTATCATGAGTGTATCATGGTCATCCCTTGTTGCACACAGAACGAACCAAGTGTGAGGTGACAGGTTCGAGGGGAGGGGCATAGACATGTAACACCACCACTCTGACCAAGTAAAAGGGACGTTTCTGCGCGCTAGAGTGACGTCCTTCTCCTGAGCGACACGAGGGAGACTCGGAGGGGAAAGGGGGACGGCGAGGTCAGGCGCAAAGGAGCTCGTTGAGGCCTTAAAGGGGGAAAAATGTGGGAAGACAAGGAAGTCTGTCCAAGGAGGTCTCTGGGTTTTATCTGGGCGAATCTGCATCGGAGACCAAGATATTCGTGCCCAACGACTGGCATGAGCGGACAGATGCCAGCGAACAGCATGGCGCGAGCTACATTGCCACAGCTGCCCACCAACAATAGGATCCAAGGGAGACCAGGCATCGGGGGGAACGAGGCATGCACAACGGCCCCAGGCACTGGCCAAAACTGTTGGCTAGTGGGCGAGTGGGATATCGGATGAGGCAGAAAATTCCAGTGACATGCTGATGCTGATTGATCCAATCGACCGACGTCTCATGATGCCAGACCATGCAATTGGCCGCAGCCGTACAAGAAGTATGCGTGGGCTTTTTAAAACGCCCTTTGGCGGACCGAAAGAGAGCTTGTGCACACTTCTTCAACCGAACAAGGACCCAGATCTGTCGGCAAGCTGTTCAAATGGGAAATGGGGAAGATGAAACAAAAAGGCCAAGAGCCAATATCGATGCCCGATAGTCGAATCACGAGGCAGAGAGAAGGAGAAGACGAGCGTCTTTTGTGCATATCAAGGGGCAATTCTGGTGACGCTGATTGCGCCAGCAAAGCCGCTTAGGCAGGCACATGCAGCCCGCCGCACCCCCTAATGCGTGGTACTGACAGATTCGCATGTCATTACAAAGCCAGGCGGTGAAAAACTTCGGCTTTGGGGTGAAGACAACAGAGCCATTGGCGATATGTATAAGACGAAGGACCCCCGGACTTGAAACGGTCCACACGAGAAGAGGTAGAATGAAGGCAAGTATAGTATAGTATAGTACTCGGTACGAGGTATAGTAGGGGTTGGTTGAGGGCAGCATCATGTCGATCCAGGCCCCCTTCCACCGGGGCGCCTCTTTCCAACGACTCACGGTTCTTGCAAACAGCTGGCCGACTAAGCACATTGCTCGCTAGACAGAGCTAAAGACAACCCGCCCATGCATCTTTTAGGGTGAGACACCAATTAGGAATCCCAGAATCTCCAGCCAGGAGTCGCCCGGGCTCCCTCGCACAAATCAGGATGCTTCGCTTTCCACTGCTCATCCACATCGTCAGGGAACCTCTCCTTGCCTCTGGGCACGAATCGTAAGGGAACGTGTCCGGCTCTCATCTGCAAAGATATGATGACGCTGAGGCCATTGAGCATCAAGTGCCTCGCTCGCTGGGCAGCCTTTTGCCAGACCTCCACGCGAGCATCCTCATCCATGGCTATTACCTGCTCATCCGTTGCCCACTGGTCGACTGCCAACTCGACTGAGTAATTCTGCAGGATGACAGCCAGGGTAGCAAGCACTTCGACTTGAGCAAACCGTCGTCCGAGGCAAGCGCGATACCCGTCACTGAACGGTAGGTATGCCCCCTTGGGTGGACGATAGAATCGCTCCGAGGTGTCAGCTGCCTCGTTGATACCCAAGCCATCTGCAGTGACGGTTTCGTTAGGCATTTCCTTCTTGCTATTGGCCATCACATGCTCAACCTCTCTATCTTCGTCCAAGAGCCACCGCTCCGGATGAAATTCCTCCAGGTCGTTGTCCAGGTTCGCTGCGGGATGCACTGGCTTCCCGCCCGGCAGCGAGGGTTTGCTTGTGGGCCAATACTTTGGATTTCGATGGACATTGCCCGTCGCTAGACTGATATAGACTCCACTGGGGACAGTGCAGGGCTTTCCATCAATAGTGATGGCTTGATCAGGGACACCCCAGGTCGACTTTGGTATTCCTATGACAGGCGGGACCAGCCGCAGCTCTTCAGCCAATACCGCACCAACCATGCCTCCAAAGAGAGCGGGCAAATCACGATCATAGTCCCATTCTGAGGGAGGCTTGCCCTGAAATATTCGATCCAAATCCTTTTGGGTTGCCCTTTGGCTCTTCGGATAGAGCGCCAGGTAGAGGAGAGAGAAATGGATGGAATTGGCGGCAGTCTCATGCCCTGCTAGGATCAAAACGAACATGTTCCCAAGCACCTCGGAGTCCGTAAGAGGAACGTCTTTGCTCTTCTCAGATGCCATCTGACCTTTGACGAGTTGGGCTAGCAGATCCATCTGGTCCTTGCTGTTCTCACTTCCCACTTCAAGGGTCTTCTTTTTGGAGGCCACTGCTTCTTTCATATAATTTCCCCATTCATAGTAAGCCTCGTTGGCCTTCTGAAATCTTGTGAATGGCATGCGCTTGACGATCCACCTGGGCACGAGAAATTGCACAAGGATATTGTCCAACAAGCAGTGGATGGCATAAGTGTAGCTCATCGAATGACCGAGATCTCGATCATCCTGGTCATTCTGAATCTTGGACTTGTCAACGTAGTTGACGTCGACGTCGGCCTTGGCATCAGCGGAAGGCCACTGTAACTTCCTTCCAAAGCCTGCTCTGCTAATGACATACAGGCTCAGGCGCATGGTATCATCCATGACGCGATCCACCGTGATGTCGCCTTTTCCATCAGGTCCAACCCACGAAGCCAGCATGTCTGAAGCTTGGTCAATGCTCTCGGCCCAGACGAGGTGGTTGTTCTTCTCCGTGAATGGCGGGCTTGTGGCTTTCCGGTGCTGGCGCCAGATAGAGCCTTCAGTTGACACGACATTTTTCCCATAAATATCGACGGACCGGTAAATAGCCGTAGGCTTGGGAAAATCATTCCTCCGCGTGGTGATCTGGGTGATGACGGCTGGGTCGGCAGTGTGCATCATTATGCCACCCGGTCCAACCAGCAGAAAGGTGTCGGCGCCGACCTGCTGGAAGACGTCGATGCTTCGGCGGTAATAAAAGTCTGGAATGCAGAAGTCCACCCATCGGGTCCAGCTATATGGCAGTTTGGCGAGCAAGGGAAGCCACAACGGGTGGCTTATGAGCCACCACGTGCTGAGATAGTACACCGGAACAACAACATATGGGATACCGGATTGCTTCGCCTTGTTCACGTTGCGGCGGAAGCAGATCACACTGTTAACCACACTGTACAGAAGGTAGGCAAACAACCCGAGGCCAACTATCGACCACATCTCGACGCCGGGTGTTTCTGGTGGGACAGATTGAACCGAGTTCGAGATCTTTCTGGGGAGAGCAGAGAAAATACAACAACGGGTTTCCGTCCAGAACAAAAAAAAAAGAAAGAACAGGAGGGCCGTGATGGAAATAGAAAATGCGAGGCGGGGCGTGTCTGAGAAGTGTCAAAGAGGAAAGGTTAACGAAGTTTCGAAGGGCGGTGGCCAAGGGCAGCCAGTTCAGGGATAGGGATGATCAGAAACCCGAGTTGAGGTGGTATACTGTGGATGTTGCCATGTGGATGAATTATGATGATGGAACGCAGTCGTTTAGGGAGTGGAAGGCGCCTACCGGGTACTTGTAGGAAGTTCTTGAGAGCGCGTGTGGACGAGCGCGCGAGCATTTGTTCAAGCGAAGGATCCTTCAAACAGGCGAGATTTCGATTAAGCATCTCGAATGGGGCAGTCGGCCGTGGTAGTGATGGTGGACTTGTTGTCAATGAAGGAATCATCAGCAGTTCTTGTGGAAGAAAGCGCGGTCAATGGAAGGTGGTTGTACCGGTTGGAGGCAAATCACGGTGGTCAGTGTAAGCACTTGGGCGACACAAGATCGAAGCGAGCCTCGGCTAGGCGCGCCTGACTCTGTATGGGCCCCCCGAGTGTCCTTATTACAGGGCCTGGTGGCCTTACCAGCCCCAAAAGGCCCCCAACAAGGTACGATAAGGTTCAACAGGGTTCATCACGTCGCTTGTAGGCTTCCTGGCTGCCTCCCTCCAGTGGCTGCCCGCGGTCATTCATCAAGTGTTGCACTCCCTCGCCGCCGAGTAGGATCGTCTTTGTTGCTCTCCGGGCTTTCCCCATCAAGTACTTTCGCCCTAGCGTTAACAAGCCCGGAGGACGTCAATCAGCCTCAATGATGACGATGATAATCAATATGATCATGTTCATGGACAAGGCTGATCCTCCTTTCGGTGAACATGCATCAATGGGAAAGGTACTCCGCGGCCCAGATGCCAGACCCAGGCAGGCACGGTCACACAACACAAATCAGAGACATCAAGCTCATGAAATCCTGGATTTACTACCGAAAATAGAACTGCTCGCCGTCATCATTTCTAGAGCGGCTTTGACAGACCGGGACGACTGCCCAAGACGACAACATCGTGAAACATCATCCATGCGATCAACAACGCAAACCTCAAAAAAGAAGAGAATAAAACCAAAAACCAAAAAAAAAAAAAAACCGCCGCACAGTCCTAGTCCACCTTATTTCCTAATGCCCAACTTTTCCATCTCCTTCCTTTGTTCCTCGCTCCATCTCTCCACTTTCTAAGCGGTTGCTTGCTCCAAATGTATTCCTTGGGCTTGTGCCGCCGGCTTCTCCGTGGGCTCGGGATCTGCTACGGGGTCAGGAAGCTCCGAAGTGGCTCGAGTGCTGCGGTCATCCATGGGCATCAAATTTGTTCCCAGAGCGCCAGCATTGGAGTGAATCGGCTCGAGATGAGGTTCCCATCTTTGTAGCTCTTGCTCCGCATCCGCGAGCACCTGTCTCGCTTCGCCAACTTGTGCAAAGGGGTGGCGCACGTCTCCCGGCACCACGGGGGTGTCGTCTAACAAGTTCAAGAGGCGACGGCCGTACTTGGCCAGGATGATTTGTTTCTCGGCTCGCTCAATGGTGGCCGCGAAATGCAAGTCGTATGCTTCCTTGACCTTTTGACGAGTCTGCATCGAATACGTTAATACAACACTACCCATTACATGGGCCGTGTTCTCAATTGAACCTGGGGTGACTTACGATGTTGGTAAGTTGGGCTTCAGCGACCAGGTTCTGAGCTTCCGCTCGCACCAGTTCTTGCTCCAGCGTGACCAACTTGGGGCTGGATGGTTCCTTGTACTTGAGCTTTTGGATCTCATCGCTGATTTTGATCTTCTGCTCCCTGCTAGGCTGCACACTGGCTTCAATGTTTCTGATCTGCTTCAAAATCGTCCGGTAGTCCTCGAGATTCTGGGCAAACAGATCCTCCTGCTCTCCAATCTCCGATAGTATGACCCCAATCTTGTCCGAAATGTCCGAGACGGCATCATCGTTGGTAGCTTCGCCCCAGTCGGACAGCTGCGAGGCAATGGATAGGCGTTCACGGCCGGCGGTCTCGTAGGCTTCGATGCAATGGTTCTCGGTCTTGATCAGCTTGAAGAGTTTCTTGGAGAGCTCGGCCTGGTGGATGCCGCGGAGAGTCGAGATGGAAAAGGTGTGTCTAGATGCTTCTTTGGCATGGTCGTCCTTCTTGCGGGACCGGATGGATAAAGCTCGATTCATGGCGGATTATGGTTGGGATCTGTCCCGGATGCTTAAGCTGCTGCGGATGTTAGTCTCGATAACATGCGATAGAGGGCGGGCAAGCTTCAACGAGCTTCGGAATGCGCGATGGACTGGGAAGAAGACCAGCTGAAAGTGGTCTGAACAAACTGGGTGCGGCGGGAGCACAAGAACCCCTCGAGTCCCAATACAGCAGAGTGCAGGGAATGTGCCGGTGCGCGAGAAAGAGGGCGACAGGACAGATGACGTATTGGACTTGGGAGCGGTGGGAGCGGAGGGAGCTTGGAGGGGCAACACGACCTCCAGACTGCCACGCCATGGCCTGGACCATTTGAGCCTTCTCTGCCACCCCACTCCTTGCCCACCCCTCGCCCACTCCTCATTCCCTCCTGCCATACCCAGTAGTAATGAGTACACCTTGCTATACTTCACCAACTTGCTTGAAGATGAATGGCAAAGGCGACGAGATCGTCCTCTTGTCATACAGTAAAATAGCTAACCGAATCACATCTCCGAAGTCGAAGCTACGTATCTGAGCCACCCACGCAGCATCGTGTCGACAACCTCAGCCTCACGATGCCCCAAAAATGATATCATACATTTCCCTCTCCCTCTACCCTCACGAGCTTTCGAAATCCCACGATGGCCCATCAGTAATAAGTGCGGTCCCTCTCCCTTCTCTGCTCAGTCACAATCCTTGTCCTACTGCCACTGTGGCGCCGTGGATCGTAGGAATAGTCGGAATGCCGTTCTGAATAGCGGTCGTGGCTCGGCCGGTGAGCGGAGGTTGATCGTTTGGTGACGGTTTCTCGTCTATTTTCTCGCCTGTAGGTGGCGACCTCGGGCCTTGACACAAATTCTCGAGTGTAGCGCTGTCGTGGGCGTTCGTGCCGCCTGATGACCACGGCTTCGTCTCTATCGCCGCCGCCGAAGCACATGTTTGCGGTCGAAGTTGATGATGGACCTCTTTACGTCGATTGTACGAGAGAGGTAGTTATTGAAAGCCTGGACAGACGAAGACGGCGCCCGTTCACCTTGATCTGTGCGGGCACGGACAGAGGAAAGATGATTGCGGGCTGAGGAAAATGGTCAGACATGGAGGACAATGAGCCGTCTTCATATACTCCGTGCCAACTAGTCTGCGGCAAGGCAGAAATGCATTCATGGTTCATTTGCCTTCGCCCGGGTTAAGGCCCTGCCATACGTATGTGTGCAGGGTGGACCCAACATGGCGCCTTGGACGACATCATACCACGCGGCAGGGCGAAGGAACCCACCGTCTATAGACGAATCCGGATGCTTCGTGGCAGGGATTGCCTCGTGAGCTAGTTTCACGCCCACCAGCCTCACCTGCTTCACCGGTCAATGCGTCTCTACCCCCACCTTGGTTCGCGAACCTCCCCTATATCACGCGTTTCGTCCAACCCCGTGTAACGTCCGTTAGCCGGATTGATTGGGAGGCCAGTGTCGGTGGCGTCCTGTCGACGCCGGGCCTGCAGTCTCATGCAGCCTCTCGTCGAGTCCTCGTCACTTAAACTCAACATCATCCATCTTCGCTTTTTGACGGGCAAGAAGAGAGGCAATGAGAATAAAATACCAATAGACTGAGGACTCAATGATCCACGTCTCGAATCAAAAGGATACACGTGTGAACAAAAAAGGGCAAAAGGCAAACATGACCCGCCAGTTCTCATTGTCTCCGTCTCCTGCCCTTTCACCAGGTATTACATTCCTCTCGCTGCCTGTCGAGGTACGGTTGACAATCTATACGCATCTCTTCTACCCCGCTGGAGAGCTGTTTGTTGCACCGAGAAACCCTGCCTACGATCAAGGCTTCAACAACGATCAAGAGACACCAGCGCCGCCAACTTGGCAAGTGGCAATGGTGCCTGGTATCTGCCCTGAGCCTGAAGGCGACATCATCACCAGCAGCCTGGATCCTTATTCTCAGTCTTCTCAACTCCTCCGCGTCTGCCAACAGATATATGTCGAAGCCATCCCCATCCTGTACGGAGTGAACAAATTCTACTGTGGGTTACGGCCCTGGAAGGATAACAGGGAGATCCTCCCACGGTTCGTCTCCACCCCCAACTTCGCACACATTCGCCATTTGGTCCTCGATCGGCCCCTAGTTCGAGTCTTTGCCCAGCTTCTGGCCAAAGAGGAGCATGTTGTCGCAACCAAGGGGCTGGAATCCGTTGCGCTCGGCAAGTGGCGGTTCTGCGAGAGGCCCACAAGCACCGCAGTGGCCTTAGGGATACGCCGCCCTGGGACTCACTTCAAAGGGTCCCAGTTCTGCAATCCGGCCGTGGAGATATGTCGGAAACACGCTCAATTGCGATACGTGGTGGAGCAGACGAAAAAGATAAACCTTGAATTACTGTGTAATGGCGGGGCGGGTGAGAACGGAGAGTCGAGAAAGGAAGCAGGTTACAGGACCTACACACAATGTAGATGGCTCCTCGTCACTGACAGGGGTGCAAGAAACCTGAAAGAAGGCGAGGAGCTCGTGGATCTGGAGAATTACTTGTAGCTCGAGACAGGTTAGGAGGAGGCAGATGAAGCTTCAGCGTCTCAATTCGTAGACGGTCGCCCAGAGACGCGCTGCAAACCCTCATCCTCTTTCCTGAGGCTGATAGATTGAGCCGTGGGCAGACCAAGACATCTGGAGAAAGGATGCTTGAGGCAAAAAGGAATGCAAAAGCCGACGATCAATTCGTGATTAATATGACAAACTTCCACGGATTAAAAATTGGCAATTTTCCTCCTCACCGTTCTTGGTATAAATAGTCTCATTTCATTCTCATCACCACCTCTGTTTCCACGAGACTAAAACCAGGGCCTTTCTCCAAGAATAGAACTGAAAAGGCTTTACCGCCGGGCCTAATGGTACACAAGACACAAGGATATGGCCGAAATCCCTCGCATTATTGTTCTCTTCGCTTTGTTCTCGCCTTTGCCTTCCGGTCTGGTTCTGTTTTACCGAGATGCCACCATCGTCTGGGCCGCATTCTGAGCCGCTGGGTTCTGACTAGAACTGTCGCCTGGAGCTGTCCGCGCGGTGGCAGCGGTCGGTGTGGTGGGCGTCCCAGAGCCCTGCCTCTGCTGATAAGTGTACGGTGTCTGCGGCTGCTGACTTTGCTGAGTCTGATATGGCCTGGGCGGATACTGCTGAGCTTGTCCAGGGACGCCATTGACCAGTGGCTTCTGCGGCGAGGCGGATCGCGCCAGGGTGACGGCGTTGTCTTGCGCACGCTGTTGATATCCTGGCTGAGTCGGGCGGTACCCGCTAGGGGTTTGCGGTTGGGTTTGTGCTTGTGCCGACGCATTACTGCCGTAACTTCCATAACCATTTTGCATCGAGGGGCGCTGAAATTGTTGGATCGTGGGACGTGCCGATGAGTAGGGATTTGGGGAAGCTTGGTATGCGGTTTGCGGATATGTTGGTCGTGCAATAGTGGGGGTTTGATAATTTTGCTGCGTTCGGATACCAAACGCTGCTGTAGCGGGTGCAGAAGCATTGTAATTCCGAACTTGGGAGTTGTATGCCATTGGGTTGGCTTGTGTTTGTGGATAGTTCGGGCGCACTTGTTGAGGAGTCACTGCTGTGCGGCTTGCCCCTGTTGTTGCCTGCTGAACTATCTTTTGCCGTCGCAATATGTAGTCGTCCGTCTGTCCTGTACCCGGGTAGTCAGGCACTTCGACAATAAGTTTTGTCGAGATGTTCAACTCTTCGAGTTGATCTCCGTTGAGTTTAGAGACAGCAAAAGGTGGCAATGATGAGACCAAGACGTTCAATTGGTCTCTCAGCATCGTAAAGATGTCGATCTCTGGGTTCGTTGGCTTCGGTACCGTGCCGGCAACGATTGTCTCGAGGCTACGGTTTCTCTGATAGGAACTGAGAGTTTCGATCATTTCCGAAACTTCTTCCAAGAGCTTTTCGACCTCCTTTTCTGGATTTTCGGATTGCGCATCTTCTCCATCTTCCTGCGGCTCGAAATTCGCGACCAACTCGGCAAATTCATCTTTGTCTCCCGCTTCTCCAGTTTCCCCACCGGCCGCCGATACGTTGAGGTCTCTTGTCCTGAAAAGTCTTGATAGCTTTTGCTCGCCGTATTGTTTCCACCATTGCCTACTTTTGTCCTTGTCAGACACGAGAGAATATGAGTTATCTTTATTCGGCGCAAAGGAGGAATAGACAGAGCTGAACAATTCATCTGGACTTAAATCATGACCCTGTCTCACACTGTTAGCCTCGAGGGCTGCCTTGAAGTCATTGTTACTGGACGTAGGCTGTACCCTTCTTCGATCTTGTTGTAACTGGCTCCTTGTGGTAGAGTAGGAGAGCCACAAACCCGTGGCCAATCTGGCAAACTTGTAATCATGCTTATTCTGGGGCAGATTCTCCGTGCGACTGGAGTTGGGAATGAGTTCCAAGGTATTGCCTCTCACAACATCCCTTGCCGTGTGTGGCAGGTCCAACGGTTTGATCCGGCCAGCCTGGCGAAAGACTGCCCCAAATAATCTCTTTTCGGGCTTCTTGGTTGCGTCTTGATCTCCACCCAATGCGGAAAAGTCTGTAAGTTCAAATCCGTTGGGTAGCCTTGAGCTTTCAGTCTCAGATATATCATGCGCTTCATCTTTTTCGTGCTGTTGCTGCAGCTGAAGACCGGAGAATAGGACTTGAACACCGCCGTTGACCTGGCTGCGCAGAGACAGGAATTGTTTGGGATTTTGACTGACCGGATCTGCCTTGGGTAAATCCTGGCCATTGGTTTGGCGGACTTCGGATGACTCAGTGTCATACCTTTCCAGCGCATCTACTAGCTTTGATAATTGCCCTTGGACGTCGGATTCCGTCTTGCCGTTTTGCGTTGTCGCGGATAGGTCGGTAACCATGGCGCTTTGAACACTTCGGACATCGTCTTTGAGAGCATGAAAGGAGTTATATGTCCCTGTCAGAATACGATCCTCAATAGTATCGGTGGCGGATTCTGACTTGACAAGGCGAGCTCGCTTTACCTCAGGCGCCTCGGACTTGGACGAAGGCAAAGGGTATTTGAGAAGCGACGGAGTAGTGTCGTATCTAGTCTCAGTGTTAGTTACATAAGTTGTAGGCGTCGAAGGGAGCAGACGCACTTGCGGAGAACTCGCAGGACATCTTCCAGAGCAGATTGCAGAGCAGGGTCTTTTGGTCCGATTTCCGGGGATACCGTGCGCTTCCTCTTGAGTGGACGTAAAGGCGAAACAGTAACAGTGTCTTCATGCTTTGATATGCCGTTGACTTCGGCCATACTGGCACCTCGTCGTGATGGATTGGGGGCGCCTAGTTGGTGATGGTGTTGGCGGGCAAGGACCGGAGTGGGCTAAGCCAACCACATGCAAATCTCAATGTATATCACAATCCTAGTCTCTTGACATGGTTCGAATCCTCGCTGTGCGCAAGAGACGCGCGGCTCTTGTTTTAAAAGTCGAAAAAGTGCAATGTCGACTCTGGGAAAAGAAAAGGGAGCGATGAGGGGGTTGTCGACACGCGCCGTGGACTGCAGGATGACTGGATAGAGGAAGGCAACGAGAGAATGGTCCACCGAATGTGGTAGGGTGCAATGGAGTAAGCCGCCAGGAGCAGGCTGGTTGTGGATCGCGAAATGAATCTAATACCTGGCTGTTTTTTTTTTCTCGCTGCAAATGCACCGGGATCTGAGGTCGATGCAGTTCGACTGCAATCGACTGACACCCGCAGTCAGTTGCTGGCTTGGCGCGCCTGCACAGCTTCACCCTTCGTCTTCACCCTCCATCTCGCCTTCGGGTCTCGCTCCAATCGACAGAAATGACATTTGCATTGACTTCTTAGTCAACCTCTCATCGCGCGAGCCAGTTCTCTTCCTGACATTTCCTAATAGCTTCCCAACTGAAGCATCAATGGATGCTCAGCGTCCACCGTGTTCGCCTTCCGATCGGAAGACCTCTTCCATCCTTTATCCTACCCGCACAATCCCCTGCAAGAGCTGCCCAACACCGACATCGAGCCCGACATTATGGCAGTCAACCTGAAGGCAAGAAGCCTGCTCTTCCAACATCAGCTGCATCGGAGTTTCTAGCTCACCAACAAGCTCTTTTCCCTACGGAGTTCGCCGAGTTTTCAGAGTACATCAGACAAGATGGCTCCTTCCATCTCAACGGCATCCAGTGTGCCAAAGAGGAGGCAGGCAATAATAGAGAGATAGAGGTGGATTTCAGTCGCAAGCCTAACAACCACGAGAACCGTCCACTCCGCTGGTCACCGTTTCGCAGAAGATTAGATCAGCTTCTCTCCATGTTTCTTCCCTCTCATCCTAGACGGAACAGAATCGACTTGTCCTATACCAATGCTCTCAACTGGCAGATCAACAATCGAAAGCTGGACGAACAGTCTACAACGAGATTCAGGAACTCGACTGCTCTGCGCAAACTTCTACTCGACTACCTTCACAATGTCGCTCCCCTTTTCAATGCTACCCAGGGCGAAGAGAAGCTTTTATCTGCACTAAAGTCTACTTTTCCCGATGCATCTCTGAAATTGCTAAAGAAAATCGGCTACGATGTTACGGATATCGCCAGTTGGGCTTGGATATTTTCCTCTGACAATGTTGACCTCGCCTTTGCAAGATACGTCGCACTTGCACAACATGTACGCGAATCTGGACAAGGTCGGATACCGAAGTTCGTGTTTCTACAACTCCTTCGCGCAGAAAACGTCAGCGCTTTCGCCCTTAAGAGATTCATAAGAAGTATCTTGGTCGATTTACAGATCTCCTTGGAGGCCAAAGAGTATTTCGGCTGGCCTTGGGTCACAAGGGTGTGCCTGGTCGTTCGACTACTGCGACATGCTCGTTCGGTGGCACCTGAGTGCTTCGAGGACATTGGCCTCATTGTTAAGCATCTCTTCTCTGATTACTACACCGTCCATCCTCGTCGACTCGAAAGTCCGGAGTTACTGCGCCTTTCCCACATTTTCAATCGCTTCCTGTCATTGATCTCTCTGGCTCCACACAAGACACCTTTCAATGCATATCTTTCCCAGCAAAATGCACAGCTAGCACTCGTCCGTCTCATGTTTGATTTTACGCCACAACTGTTGTTGACTCGCGAAGGCTACCGGGCTTTGATTGCAGTCCAATTACTTCATCCCAAGACTGCACACGAACGTGCATGGGCGGAGGCTAAGTCTTTGTCTTGGCCCCCTTGGCGTCACATCAAGTCGGGAATCGAACAGGATCTCAAGTATCCTGGGAAGGAGAGTCGTGTTATCAAGCTATTGCGACGAATGAAAGCGGCGGGATATTCTCATGGTGATTGGGAAAGGAGTGCTGCTGTTCTAGCAGGGTGGGATACAGATCAAAGCCCTACGATACAATCTCGTGCGATCTTGATGCGCCAACGACGCCCGTGGCTTCTTTTACGAAGCTTTCGTGACAAGGAACAAAACCAAACCAACGAGCCGCCAGAATTGTGGGCTGCTCGCATCCGAGCTACTAGAACCAAGCGAGAAGCGTGGGCTTCCTTTTGTTCCTACGAGAAATGCAAACCTGCTTCCCAAGCACATTATCAGCCTTATTTCGCAATGTTGGATAAGCTCCTCAGCTCAACTGTCCAGCCAGGCTCTACGCTGGCTTGGAAGTATCTCGCAGGCGATGTCAAAGAGCCGTTTGAAGTCTCGACAAATCCCCGGGAGGTCATCTATGTCGAAACAGAAGTTCCTTCAGTGGAAGAATTTTACGAGCACATGTTGCGGGCAGGTGTCAAACCGGGTGGTCATCTTCTTGTCAATTTATTGAATCACGCTTCGAGGATCGAGACTGGGTTTGGTTACATTCAAGCCAGTCGGTGGGACGAAATCACGAAGGACGTCCTCTGTCACGCTGAGAAGTACCCGAGCTCTGTTATTCGGGACAGTCTGAACAAAATCCCCAAGCCCACTTTGGCTGCCTTCATTTCCCTCATATGCAAGCGCGGACCCGAAGATCAATTTACATTTCGTGACATCGGACGCATGGACTTTTCCACGGGCCAATTGATCCAGAGAAATCATCAAGATGTGCCTGCTTTGACATACGCATCACAGTTGCTGTTCGCAGCAGGCATCACGGACATTCGAGTCTGGAACGCCTTCATGGGAGGGGCATCAGTGAGCGTCGAGAAATCACCAGCCAACTACAAAGGTGCAGCGTCTAGAGCTGCAGTGTGGCGTCGCTTGAGGAAGATTCTTTCGCCCGGGGAGATGTACCCTGACATCCATCCCGACTTAGACACCTTCCGCCATTTGACAAAAATTCTTCACATGATGTTGAGAGATGTGAACCTGCACATACCACCAGAAAATTTGGGATCTCTCGCAAAGATCACGTTCGTTCGGGCTATTTATGGCAGCATGACGAAGGCGTTCCTCCCGGGGTCTGATCACTCGCTCCTCGTCGTGCCCAACCAGGAAGACCTCAAACTCATGGTTAGTGTAATGGTATCTGTCCATGACACCCCTGGATTGATTGCGCTTCTGAAGTGGATCAACGAGCATAAGGTAAAGTTTGCACCACCAAGCAAACATTCGGAATCCGATTCTCAGAACACAATGCACGAGACAGCGCAGCAGGAACCAGCGACTCTATCTCCGGTCCGCGACGTGCTGTGCGCAATCAGGCTCTTCCTCGAGGGCGGCCGGTCGCGGTCTACAAATTCTTCTGATGGAGAAGATAGTGCGTGCTTCGAGAGTCCCTTGCCTAAAGACCCCCGCATTATCCGGGAAGCACGGGAACACTGTCAAGAGCTGCAGTGGCCGTTGGATGACGAGGTCGGACTCTTCCTCGCTCGCGAAGTAAAGTGGGTTGAAAAGGTGAGGCGGACTGCGGAACTGGTAGCCAGACGAAAACCTACGACAAACAGGAAAATGCGAAGCACGCAAAGGATCGAGTTGACTGTGGATAGTGCGTCGAGATCCTGACGGACTCGACGTTAATTTTCTTGGGTAATGGTTACTCATGTGTTGAGTAGAAGCCGGCTTGGACGAAAGCTACCAATCTCTGATGAGCTGCGGGGAGTCTGTACAGGTACGCGTACTGTACGGAGTAGGAATGTATATACGCATTGATCTATGTATTCTGTTATAGAGAGCACGGCGGCGAAATGAACATAATAATAGGATGAAAGTCATTCTCATTCGAGCTTGAAAGGCTGTTTTTTTTGGTCTTTTTCGATTATTCATTTTAAACCTCATCATGCCCCCCCGGTTCCCTTCACCCCCAAAATCCTAGTAAGTAGTCCTGAAGTCCGACGCGTCGCATGGCGAAAGAAGCTCATCTAGTGAATCCGTGGGTGTGTTGGCATGTACTCCCTATGTATGTAAACGTCCTCCCTGGCTCAAAAGCGAAAAGCTTCGACTTTCCGCTCGCTTTGCATTTCGATTGCATGAAGTTTCCCCACCAGCACCGTCGAAATGCAAGCAAACATGGGGTGTTCTTGTCTCTCTCAAGGCTTCTTCAATCCCTTCCCTTTCCCCTATCAATCATTCCCAATCTATCATATCTTTCCTGCGACTGGCCGCTGCATGAATTTCAAAAAAAGGTTCATGGAAAAGAAACTTGCCGCGACTCGGTCACTTAGCCGCTCATGGCGAACTTGGACCTCGCGCGCAGAGAAGCGCCGAAATACCACAGGGCCCAGATGCCGATGACGCCGCCGCCTAACAGGCCGCCGAGTAGGCTGATTCCGCGACCGATGCCGAGGTTGACGTACAGCGGGTGCGCGTAGATGATGCTTCCGGCGGCCAACGCGGACCTGCACAGATCGTTCGCGGCAAAGAGAGACGCGGCGTATTGCGGGTAAGTAAGTGGCAGGTACATGAATATGCACTGGAACAGGATGAAGGCGCCGACGGCGTAGAACGTGATGCCGATGATGGAGACGATCCAGTGGATGTGTGGCGTCGATGTCCATCCGAACCAGAACATTCCCGCGGGCAGGAGCGTGGTGGCGAACAGGGCTGGCACGAGACGGTGTTCTTGGGCGCGAAGGCCGTTCTTCTTGATATCCGGTTCGAGGTAGAAGTACACGTACGAGACGTAGACGACAATGCCGAGTGCGCAGCCGACGACGATGCAGATGAAGACGATGCCCAATTCACCAATGTTAAAGTGGTATATCCCGATATAGACAAGGGGGAATGCTTCGAAGAAGGAGTAATAGATTCCTATTTCAGAGACACGCGCATCAATCAGACCTGTGTTTTGGTTTTGGGGGGGAAATGGCAGAAGCAAAGGGGAGTTTCAACGAAGAGGCTCACCATAAATCAAACTCGTATACACGTTCGTGAAAAAGACAGCGGGATCCTTCAAAAAGATCTCAATGGGCTTCCACATCTGCTCGATCGCGACCTTGGAAAACGACATCGTGCCTTGGTCGATCTCTCCTTGGCTCTTCAAATTTGCATTGCCTGTGAGCTTGCGGAGACGTTGAGCCCGACGCAGGAGGATGTTATTGGCCGAGGTTTCAGGCATGGAGAGAAACATGAGCACGAATACTGGGGATGACATCCAGAGGACTTCCCAGAGCGCCCAGCGCCAGCCTTCTGCGACGACCGAGAAACCTGACAGAAGAGGACCAAGTGCAGGTGCGCAAAAAGCTGCTGCGACCCATGCAGTAAGAGCATAGGGAAGTTTCAAGAGGCCGTACATGTCGCCCATGGATGCGCCACCAGTAGCGAGACAGGGACTACCCATGAAGCCGGTGAGGAATCGCAAGACAAGCAGGGAGGCATAGCTGTTTGCCAGTGCAGTCGGCACGCAGAGGATCACGAAAAGTCCGAAGGAGATGATGTAGGGAATATTTCGACCAACGGCCGGGAGTTCTGACAGGGGGGAGAAGATCCTGTTCCAAACCATGTCAGCGATGTCGACGACATTCTGGAGCTGAGGTGGCACATAGGGTCAAACTCACATTGGTCCAAAGCCATATCCCAACACGTACATGCTCAACCCCAAGCTCGCTTTGCTCTGTCCCACGCCAAACTTCGCCATGACTTGGGGTTCCGCTGAGGTATAGATTGCACTGGCAGAGTACACTGCGAAGGTGTATATGAAAATGAGAAAGGCGACCCAGACTTTCTTCCAGCTTCCCCAATTCTGAGGGTTCGCAGGATCGTCAGTGGTGTACCAATCCACGAGGATAATGCCATCCGAGGTCATTTGCGGGGCGATAATGCTGCTTTGTTGGCGCTCGATGGCTTCTTCTTGTTCGACCTCGAATCGTTCCCGTGAATAGGGCAGGGTCTGTTCTCTGGTCCTTGTGCGTGTGGTAACAACTGTGAACTCCCCCCGAGCAGACGAGTGCGCTGTAGGAATGGTGCTAAGCGGCCGGGCTTCGATATCCTCGCGGTTGATGTAAGAATGCTGGCGAGAAACTGGGTTTGGAGTGGTAGCATTGCTGGTCCCTCGGCTGACATCCACGTCTGGACTAATCTCGATCTCTTTTTCCTTCTCACTCACGGTTGCCTGCTCCCAGGGGATCGAGAAGCTGGGATGTTGTTCGGGAAAGGCGAAGAGCCTGCCTTTCGTGACCCAGTTCAGAACTTGCCCTAGAGGTGCGTCTTGGATTGCGTCTAGGATTGCGTTCACCATCTTGGCGATCTCTTGTGATGAGTATCTGCTCTGGCAACAAAGAGAATTGATTCAAGTAGGGAAACAATCAACATGGAAGAGACAACGGGAGGCTCTTCTTATTAGCATGATGAACACCCTCATCTTCATGCGACGTGTCTGGCCATCACATCATAGTCTGCGATTAATCATGCATGGGACAGTTGCTCGCCGTTTTCACGATGGCGTGCGCAAGAGATAGCTTTGGTTCGTCCGTAGCAGAAATGGGTATCTGGCATCCAATCCTACAGGTCAATAGGGTTGTTGAATTGGGGTGGGTCGTTTGTCGAGTCAGGGGTCGAAAGCATATCCGTATTACAAAACCAAAATGTCAGCAGCAGAGTTCCTTGGAAAAAGACGGGCTTCAGTTTGCATTGAAAATCGTTGGTTGTGGTGGCTCGACCACTACTGCCGTATGAGGAACGGGTGGTGTTAGCGACAAGGGGCCCGGCGAGGCTGCTGTAGCATCATCAGGTAGCAGTTAGCGCCTCCGGCGAAGACACCAGCAAAGTAGTTGCGAGAATTTCCCAGGCGTAGATGAGTCAACGTACGCCATGCTCAACAAGCACATCCAATAGCATTGACCTTTTGGATATCGGTTTCCTTCGGAGCCCTTCGGATTGGGGAGTCTGCAGCCCTCGCTGCTTGAATAGGTACTTGTCATAGTCGACTCAGGACAATGGCGCGGGTCCGTTACTGATCTTACATAACCAAGGTGGCCCAGTCGGACGAATAGATTTCCGTTCTCGCACGCAACCGCCCACGCCCGTTTATACCCATATGGGCCATTGCACTTCCTTTGTCAGCGAGGCTGCTGCGCGACGTCAGAATGCATTGGGTGCTCTTCTAGTCGCCGAGTGGCCAGCCCACTTTGGGTTTCGGGTTTCGTCAGTTTGGATTTCCCCGGAGTTGACTCTTCATGCCGTTACCGCTCGATGTCCAATCAACAGCAAAATGAATCTCTGGCTCGGCTTTCACGACGTAATGGACACTGCAGGAATATGAAGATGTGTCGCTTCCGATCGAACAAACGCCATTCATTTCGCGACCGACTCCCACAGTGTGAAGTATCTCGGCTTATCCTCCGTGAACAGATATGGTGGGATGAATCCATTCGGTAAAGCCACCATTTCAATTTCGAGCCGCACGCCAGCCTTTTTGAAGATGGGTTGCAGTTCTTTGCACTTTTCGATCATTAGACGCTGGGCGAGCACAACCTGGCTGATTTGTTCCACCGTTTCTCCATCTTCGGACAAAGTCAACCTGGCCTCGTCATCTTCTCGGTAACATTCGTAGGAATACACCAAGTTGTTGAGAAATCGGACCCCATGCTTTGCTCTGTCGGTCGCGATACATGTTTCAAAAGGAAACCAAACCCGTCGCCTAGCGTGAAACGGTGGTCGATCACCCAAGGGAATACCAAACACTTTGAGAGTCTCGAGATTCGGTGGAAGTCGGCGCCACGTGGCGTGATCGCAAACGGCTCGGACCCTGATTAGGTTGACTGTCCGCACATCAAGGTCAAGTTGCTTGAGAGCACAAAAAGCTGACAGATTAAGGTGCTGACCGGGATGATTGAATGGTTGATGAGATGGTCTCGAGTATCCCAGGCTCAAGGACAGGTGCTCTAGCGAATGAGTACAGTGCTTGGCTATAGCATCCACAAATGTCCCCGGGGAAACGTTACCGTGCATACGACTGCTTCTGGTAAACATGCCGTCATAGCGGATGCCTTCGCTGATTTTGAGCGACTTCAACGCGCGAGGAAAACTCAGCAGGATTTCCAGGGAAGGGGAGAAGATATCGCATTCTTCGAGATGCAAGTGCTCAAGATTCGTCGACCCAACGAGCGCCTCATCGTCTTGGAATTGGGTCAGCAGTCGGTCGGGAAAGTCAGTACTGGCGCATGACATTGTCAGCGACCGCAGATTCGGGTGCAAGAAAAGCATCGCATATTTGGTCATAGAATAGATCTCCTTTTGACCATCAACGAAGTGTAGCGTGCCTAGCATACTGTTTAGCTCAGGAAGCCGAGAATGATTGATCCAAGATGCCTACAATTCCGCAAGTTCGGCAGGGCTCTCTCGACGCTGTTGGGTATTACGGCAGAAGCTGCTTCGAAGATGCGCTCATACCTATCCTGGAGATTGACCCAGCCCACTCGCTCCTCGGGGAATTTCGCATTGCAGTCGGGCGTCTCCAGGCACAGATCTTGGAGGTTCCGCATCAAGAAAATGTACGGCGGTAGTGTGCTTAAGCCTTGATCCTCTCCAAACTTGGTGGAGACAAGCAGTGAGCGAACCCATGCCGCACGGCGGGGATTTGCATGTAGACTGGCAGACAGGGCAGAGGCTTGACGGCCATTAACCACCTCGATCGTGTGATACAGAAAGGGCTCGGCCAGGTCATCAAAGTGCTTGGAGACCAGAGTAGCGTTGCACAGGGTCCGGAAGTCGAGGAAGCTGAAGACGGTAATCAAGACCTCATCGGGGAGGTGTAATAATAACAGGGTGGTCGGTGTTTGTGCGATCATGGTGGTGGCCGTGGGTAAGACTTGCGAAGAGTGTGAGTGGCAGGAGGTCAAAACACTGACATTTAGGATTCTGCGCCGTCAAGTTGTGGTCCTGATGCCTGTGCGTGATGAAAGATGTGTGTCTTGAAAAGGGAATATGAAGAGTAAGATGTAGGAAATGGCCGACGATGATCACCTGTTGTTGAAGAAGGGGCCAGCAAGTTGAATCAGACAAGACCTCAGACCTTGAAGGGGGTGAAGGAACGATGTCATCGCTGATTCCGGCTAGGGCAGCCAAGACGTGGCCAAGCCGTGGCCAGACTCTCTGGCGCACTGCAACTGGGTGCCACCTCCCGCCTGGGCGCCCAACCGGCCCCCAAGGCCTTAGTTAAAGGGCTGCCCAGCGCCCACTAACCGAACTCCCTGGCCTCTCGCCCGGGGCTAGGATTAAAGCTGGGGGTTTGCTTTCCACGCGATCGAGGCACACGAGCTTCTACTTAAGATCTCGAATTAGATGTGGAGTACCTCGTAGTATTTTGTTTTGTCGTCGCAATATTGTAGCCTACAGCAGCCATGTTCCGGGGGCGCAGCTCTCAGTCGGTTATCTCGCAGCAGCCCTCACGTATTGTATGCACTTTTAATCATGATTCCCTGGTCCCGCAAAGTCATCGCCGTAGCGAGAAGCCTATTGAGTCTCTCACCAAGCTCAGGAGGTATTCGTCATAGACGAACATACTGTCATTCGAAGAGGGAAATGGCCCCGGACAAAAGCACGCGAGTGCTTTGTCGGTCCCTGACAACCTCTCGTTGGAGCCACAACGTCTCACGGCTCTTTGAAGGGCCGAAAGTCTTTCCCTTCAATGGATTCATCCAATGCGTAGTCATTTTCCTGGTTTGGAAATCATCACAATCTTCGCTTTCCATGCTCAAGCAGGCGCCTCATAGCCTCTCCTGAACACCCGTCCAAACATATCCACTCCAACTCTTTCACCCTTAGTTTCACTTTTAGCTTCGTTCTCTGCATTCGCCGGAATGTCCACCTGTTGTCCACTGACTCGCCATCCACAGGCAGTTTGGGCAAATTTCGTCAAGGCATCGCCTCTCAGATCCAGCCAACCGCTCAACACTCCCAAGTCGATTTGTCGAAAGGTCTTCCCCACTTCTCCCGCAATTCGTATTCTGACCAAATCTTCAAATCCGACAACATCTGCGTAGAGGTCTGAGTACAGATCGTCTGATTCTAGTGTAGACCAGAAAGCCTCGTACTGGGCGGATTCCAATAGTGTGTTTAGTCGGGTCAGCTTTTGTATTGACTCGGTGAGGTCGGTGGTGGGGATCGAGGTGTTGCCCGGGCTGTAGGGAATCGTAGAGGGAGGGAGAAGCGCAAGACAAAGGGAGAATGAAGGCGAAGGGAAGACAGTCAGGGCTTTGACAAGGATGTTTGTGACGGTCTCGGGATGGAGAAGTTGAGGATTGAACTGGTATCTGTTATGCCCCGAGGTTAGCATGTCAATCGGAGCAACAGCACACTGGGTTGACAACAGGGGCAAAAACTTAGAAGGAGAAAGCATCAGATAGAGCTAATCTTTCGACTCTCCATACTTCCTGAGGGACAAGTCAGGTAATAGGAAACGTGGTATGAAAATTCTCTTCATCATGCGAGACAAATGGGCCGTTGTTAGGGTACATCTTGCGTCGGACGGAATCCTTACAGTTTGAGTAGCGCCAGGCATGCATATGCGTCAAAGAACTTCTCCTCACATTGCTGGTTGACGTATTCTTGAAACGTGGTCGTCGTCTCAGGGTTGTAACGATTCAGGCCGTTGAGGATCTCGTCAATGTGCGCAGGCCGCTCCTTGCATTTGTCGAAGGCGTAACCCATCTTGATCAGGTCTACGGCGATCCAGGTGCGCGTACAAGGTGAAAGAACTGTTCTGAATAGAAGTGCTCGGGTGGGAAGAGCCCAGTCTGTCCCTTGTACCGAGATTTGTGGTGTCGATCGTGGTGAAGAATTTCGTTGCGCAGGTGCACACAGTCTCCGCAGTTGGCCCGATTCGGGACGATGTCTTGCCGCCCTATAGAACGTAGACCTGGAGGAAATCTACTAAAGCAGCGGCAGTCATTCGATATCGAGAGCCCGCTGTGGAAGCCCTGAAAGTCATGGACATTGGAATCGATTTTGCTTATGGCATCGGATGGATACATTTGGTGTATGCCTGCTCTTCCCGGTAATACACGTACACAGTGGAAGCAGCCCAACACATGCAGTTTTGTTTCCAAATTCTAGGAAATAGAAAGGCGTAGATCGTGAACCGCAGACACTCTACGAGACCGTCGTCTCGACTCTTGCTCCGCACCCAAATAGTCCCTTTCTCTCATGTAACTAACCAAACAGCTGCTCCAATGACAAGAGCGGCCATGACGAGAGTCAGTATTCCTGCGCCGGCCTTGTCGCCCGTAGTGATCTTTTCTCGTAAATCAGCAGGATTCGTTGGTGCCGTGGACCCAGCATTGGGGTCACTCTTCGAAGTCGCACCAGTGTTGGTAGACTTCGGAGTCAGAGCTTGCCGATTCAACAATGCCCCAATCACGGACAATGCGGCCATCTGAGAAAGAGGTATTAGCAATCAGAGCATCAAAGTTGCGTAAAAGCCAAGCAATCCATACCTGCTGTCCGACACCGGTCGAGGTGTCATAAGTGGACGTATACCACTGCATGCCGCACTCGCGACCGTTAGGGCCACCATCGCACTGTCCGGCGGCTCCTTGCGCGCTAGCCTGGAGTTTTGGGATAATCTGAGGTGCTGTCGATGGCACGAGCAGACTCGTTACGGCCATCCATCTTGCCAAATATGCCTTGAAGCTCTTTTGATCCTGATCGCAAACCAGATGCGCTTCACACTGAATTTCCGACATGATATTTCCGCCATACGTTGACGGGAAGAACAATGTGAACGTGCTGTTCAAGATAGTGTTCACCCTGTCCAGCCAGATCGAGCTGCCATTCGTGAAGTTGTACATGTAGGCGGCACCAACGAGCAGCGTGCCGTAGTTGTAGGTCCACACATATCTTGTCTGGTCCGTGCAATTGTTGTCCGCGTCAGTGTTGTCCCAGATATAGAGAATGCCGCTCGTGGGGTCCGTCTGCATCAGGGCACTGTTCTCCATCCAGTTGTAGACCTGATTGGCCCAGTCGGCGTAACTTTGGTTGCCTGTCACATAGGCAAGCCGTGCAGCAAGTTGGAAATTGCCACCGTTGGAGATGGCGTTTTTCAGATTATAGCCGGCATTGAACGAAAACACTTGCCAGTGGAACCCACCACCGCAAGTAGTAGTATCCCACAAACTCTTCTGAAAGTTGAATACGGCCTGGGCCAGCGAAAGCCACGAAGGAGGATTTCCCTCATTCGACTCGGGAAAATTTGCCTCGACGGCATCCATGGCCGAAAAAGCCCAAAAAGCTTGGTCATCGACACCCATACTCTTCGACTGGTTGGGCGGGTTGAAATTGTTGTCCGGTCCTCGCTGGAATTGGAGCGCCTGTGACACCACAGGGTTGTACGACGAGTCATTCGTGTACTGCCAGTAGTTGATGAGCGAGCCAAACATTGCGCCGGCTTCCCACCAACAGTAGATTTGAGGATTATTGGGATCGCAGCTCAAGCCACCCGGTAACAATCCAGGGACTTGGCCAGTTTGGTTCCCGGTGTAAGTGGTCATCATGTCGTAGGCAATTGTCGAGGCCGCCGACGAAATACTGTTAGGATCATTGATGTTGAGTGAAATGGCCAGTGCGCCAGGCACAAGGGCCAGAGGCAGGAGCCTCATGGCGAAGTAAGAATATATATTGGGGGGGAGAATAACGAGAGCAAAGTCAAAGACGGACAATGGAAGCTGATGACGTTCGAGGTCGAGGTCGAGTTCGAGTTCGAGTTCGAGTTCGAGTTCGAGCGCTGCCAAAATGTCCAAAAAGAGGTCGCGGAAAAATGGCTCCTGCTGTGTTCAGTGTTGAGCGTTGGGCGAGCGATTGAGATTGGCGCAAGAGCCGGGGACCGAGTCGTCGCTGTGCCTGCACAAGCCTTGTCTCGTATGTATAAGTTAATTTTCTGGCAGGATAAAAAGAATGGCGATTGATTGTCTTGATCTGGTCGGGATTGTTGGATAAGGACAAAAAGGTTACGGAGAAGAGTGAAGGGCGGCGACAAACAGGGAACTTGGAAGCGCAGTCGTCAGTCGATCCCTGATCGGTGCCCCCTTAACACCGACCACCAATGTTTTGGATCATGCGTCAAACGATTCCCAGTTTGAGCCGCGGACCGTGTCTCAAAACAATGACCACCATTCACCCGCCCATTATTTACCTCGTACCTCCACCCGTTTGGTGCCATCCTTGTGCCTGTCGTCCATCCTTCAGCGCTGCATCGGCTCCACCCCTGCCGAAGCGTTGCCCTCGCGAGATTGCGCTTCGAGCACTGCCTCATCTACTTGGTACAAACATACGCACACCCATTCCCAATGACAACCATACACTGACGCAGCTCGAACCGAGTAGCAGACGAACCCCAATCCCTCTTCGCCCTCCATCCGCTCTCTACTACTCCGCTCTGACGCGGGAGACGTGCAGTCCGACCACGGGCTTTGCAAGGCAGACAAGACACCTAAGCAACAGGGCAAGAGAGACACGTTTTTGAGGGGGAGGGGCTGCTGCAATCCGCCTAACCACCGACTAAACGACGATAAATTTGGAGCCCAAGGGAAAGCTTAGCAGCTCTTGAACAGACGTGGGCCCGGCCTGGCGAGCTGGGCGAGCTGGGCGCGGGCCCGGCTAGCTACTAGCTGGAGGCTTGATTGCCAATTCTAAAACTCTGGGCGAGCTTGACTCGGCCTCCGCCGAACTCGTCAGCCCTTCTTTTAGTCACATTCAACGCCTTCGATCCCTCTTATCACTTGCGCTTCAAACAGCCAATACACCTGCAGCTGTTTGGCTCACTATTCTTCAATGACGCGGTCTGGAGCACTGGGGTTGACACACGCCTCTTCTCCCTCAGTGAGTTTGCGAGTCGAAGTCTCAAGAGTGGTCCGTGCCGGCCGCCACAACATTTGAGGTCGGCGTTACCCGAGTATGTACAGTGCGAGGTATATTGGACATGGATCGATTTACCAGGCAGATAATTCAGACGCCAGTGCACCACGTCCTCACTTCTAGATCTCACCATCTCAACTCTCAAAGAAGTGTCCCGAGCCGGTATCCTCTCTCCGCACTCTCTTCCTCCTCAAGCGGCCGACAAGTCCAGCGGACTCGTACATGTGAAAGAATTGACCTGAGGATTCTTGAACGCCTCAATCATGCCCTCAATGGCCGCGTACGCACCCAATCCAGCCGTCGCCAACGCACCGCCAGCATGAATAACGTGCCACACATTGATGTACCATCTATCCGCGAAGAATCCCTTCACCAACCTCGTTATACCACGATCACTCCGAGCGGTGTAACCAGTTTGTTCGTTGAATCCTTCGCCAGGCCTCATCGAGTTCCTTTGCATGGTGTACGCGAGGTGGATGATGGGTGGGAAGGAGTAGCTGAACTGCACTATACAGAACGCTGCAATGACGGAAACAAAGCCGAAGTAATCCTGATCTCACGTGTTAGTGACGGGGAAGAGACGACAGTGATCGACAAGGTTTTCCAAATATCTGGTAGGAGGCTTCAGGGAAAGACACTGACCGGAATGGCAGCCGCGACAATAAATGCCACGGACCAGTACACTGGAACAATCGCACTGAAGAGGTATTTCCCCGGCTTGGTCGTCAAGGGTGGCGCATTGAACAACTCTTGCAGCACTTGATTGTAGAGCACCTTGATTCCGATATTGCCGTACAATCCCGCCGCAATCAAGCCTGACACCACGACTAACATGTCGCATGCGGCCTGGAACCCATACGGAGACAGACCCATATAGGCGATCGTGAAACTATACTGGCCCTGGTAATGATACACGTAGCACCCGTAGATGAGGTAGACGGCATAGATGAAGAACTGCGCCGTCCACATCGCTTTGATAAAGTCCCAAGGGCGACGCATCTCGGCCATGATTTCAACAAAGAGTTGCGCCCCGCCGTACGCAAAAACACCACTCATCAGGCCGTTGATCGCGCCGACGAAGTTGCCCGAGTCTGGCATGCCCCCGTAGTGGATGATGGGCGGGTAGACGCCGTTCTTGTCCGGTGTGATGGAAGCGGGATTGACGGCTGAGCCAGCGGAACCCAGGACGCTGATCGCATAGTTCGGCGGCGAGTGCGCCATAACGCCCATGGAGATGAAAATGACCAGCAAGTTGAGGCCGACGGCGACCATGGAGAAGACGCCAAAGTTTCGCAGCGTGCGCACCTGGCCCATGAAGAAGCCCGCGATGACGAACAGGACGACGCAGACGACGTAGCAGAGCCGGAACTTGGACGTCTGCGAGATGCCCTGGCCATTTTGGATGATGACCTGGCCTGTGATGAGGAGCAACTGGATCGATTGGAGAATGTTGACCACGTAGCGGGCGGTCGTGCCCATGGTGCGGTAGGCCAGATCGCCGTAGTTCCGGAGAGGATATTCGTACGAATCGAGGCCGAGATAGACTTGCCAGAGAAGATAGCCAGAGTATCCGGCCATGAAGGCAAAGACCGTGTAGAGAGCCACTCCCGGTCCCCAACCGAGGGTCCCCAGAGCAAATCCCACACCATAAGGGCCCAGGATATCTGTGGTGATGAGGTAGAAGCCGGCTCCCCAACTGGCAGTCCTCAGCGCCCGGGACGCATTTCGCCATTCTTCTTCCGTGATCACCGAGTGTCTGGACAAAAGGCTTCTGCGGCGAGACTGGGGGGCAGACTCCTGGCTGCCATGCCCGTTCTCCCCAGGCGCCGCAGATTTTTCGGGAGCATCCTTTTCCGCAGCAGTAGTAGCGACACCATTGTCGACTGGCACCCCTTGCGTGGTGACAGATGACTTCCTCCTGAATACTTGCTGAATGATCCCTCCATCAGCAATGTTTTGCTGGGTTTTCTCTTCCTCCCTGGTGCGATTGGCATAGTGTATGTATTCCTCGAACGTGACATTAGGGTCATAAAGTTTGCGCTGTGATGGACTGATATAGGTTTTGGGCCTGTCAGTATTGACTGGCAGCCCACCATCCTTTGCGTCTGCCAAAGACATGTTGACAGAAGTCAAGAATGTGACACAAAAGGTTGTATCACACCAACCGAGGGGAAATTAGGAAACCAGAGTAAGATCTCTTGACGGCGCAAGACAGAGAGGGAACAACGGGTCGGATGGAGGACAGACCTCTCTGTATGTACTTACAGAAAGACCTTTTACGACAGGCGCCCATCTCGCCTTCAAGTCGCATACGAAAGGACTTTCCTGTGGCGATCGATACTGCCCCATGTCGCGTGGTGCGATCAACGCAGTCTGCTGGTTGTGTGGATAAAGGACGGGGCCGTGACACGGATGGAGGAAGTTGAAGGCGGACGAGGTTGCTAGGATCATCGATAGGGACTTCGTCCAATCTCGATGAGTTGTCAGCCACCTCTCGCACAAGCATTGTCAAGCTTTACCCAAAGCCAACGGCATCCGCAGCCTCGGACGAGAGGCCAATTGAGCCTTTGAGTGGACTGACCACTGACCACACCTTGCAAACCGTGGGTAGGGTTGCCTTCAGGCATCCGACACATCCTATCTCCATGGTAGTGTTGGTGTTGGTGCACGGACTCAATGCTCCACGGTTGCTCATCACGCGTGCCTCTCCATATCTCGGGATACTGCGCATGCGCTGAATGTGTCAACCAATGTAACCCTGGTAGGCGAGGGCGAGTCTTCCAGAAACCTTGGAATCCGCATTCGAATTCTGACGGAACGGGAACTTCCGATGTTGTAGTAATTACCTACTATTTGTGAGCGATGCTTTTCATCCTGCATTGGGCAACTGCTTCCTCCGGATCCTCGACCGAGGCGCATCAAGCCTTGCGAAGAGCATACCTTGCATGGTCTTCGGGTCCTACATGGCGTTTCCACCTGACCGTTATGTAGAGAGGAGAGTAAGGTCTGGTGGCGTTATGCGATTTGACCAACGTTTCTTGATTGTGTGTTACTTAGGTACCTATGGTTTTACCGGCTTTCTAGGGATAGCCGTCATATCCTCTTCCCGACTGCTAATCGTATAACAATCCCACAAAAACACAGTCGTCATGCCGTGCCTTCACGTTCGGTTCCTAGGTAAAGCATTGCTTTGTCGAGAGATCCCACCACAACACAACTCGCTCGCCCATGTTGGCCTAGAGAAGGGACTTTTCGCTAGGCAGATTTGAATCGGGGGCTGAGATATCTTTTCGCAAGGGCCACCCGCGTCTTTTCTCTCGCAGTCTCAGGATTTTGGCGCAGGATTTGGCGTAGGGCTCGGCGAGCGGAGCGGCGTTCGTGCTTCAGGTGTACGGGCTTGTGGGGTGTGAGCTTGCGACCTCGACGCAGACCGTCTCCCATGCTCGGTCTGGCACTATAGACCTAGCATATTTCCAACCATACCCGCATGTGCAACGCCGGCTACATGTTTGATGTGGTCCGCTAATTCTTTCGGGTCCACAAACACCCTCCAGATATGGTCGGGAACATCTTTGAACGCGTCGATGAATCTTTGGTTCTTGTTCTTGGCTTCCATGTGAGGAGCTTCAATAACTTTCCGAATGTAGATCGCCTTGATCCAGTCAGGATATTTGGCATACATCACAGCGTACGCTTCTGGGTCTGATTGGGTTGAATCACCGATGCAGACGAACTTGCGGTTTGGAAGCCAGGATTGGATCTTTTCGATGCGATCAGTCTTGTATTCTTTGACACCTTGAGTGAGAGATTGCAAGAGGCCGCCTAGATACATCCACGAGGCATCACGCAGGATGAGCGTCCCTTGCGGATAGTTGGTGCTGAGGAAGTCCTGGAGGAATGGGTACAGGTTATACGGAGAAGCTGACAGATAGAACCAAGCGGGACATTTCAAAGACTCATTGAGGACCTTGTAGAATTCTGGCATCCCCGGTGTGGTCTTTGGGATGTCGGCAAAGGTGGACTGCAGGATACCAGTGGGACTTGGAGTCATCGTCACTTTCACTGTGTCATCGATATCTGAAATGACAGCCCAGCCTTCGGGGCCGACAAATCGTGTATTGGATTTCAGGGTTGGGAAGATATCGCCTTCGCTGGTGCAGACCACCACCTTCCCGTCGGCGTCATCAGCACCACCCGTGAGCAAGGTTTGGCTGCTGATCCCATTGGGGTTTGAGGGTCCCAGAACGCGTTTGTGGGGGATTCCGGTGGGACCTGGGCAGGGAATCTTGATCTGAATTGTGCGTGCTGGAGCAACGGCCATGACAAAGGGCTTGATACGTTCCGCGATCCTCTGTCTGGCCGCATCATCACTGCCAGCCTTGCCATCCAATCCCACCATGTCGGCAATGGCACTAACATATTTGGTCAAATCTTTTCGGCCCTCACGAAAGAAGCAAGCCACAAATTCAGATTGCCAAGGCTGAGCAGCGTCTCTTCCCGGCTTGATCGGTCTGTATGCTGTGTTGTCCAGGAGCCATACTATGTTGTCCTTGGGGTCCGCTTTCTTGCCGAAGGGGTTCTTCGAACCCAACAGACCTAGGTTACAAGTCAGCGGCCGGTGTTCCCGACAGTTAGAATCATGGCATACTGGTGCCTTTGTCGATGAAGCTCATTTCGGTCTTGCTCCAGCGTTTGGGTAATTTGGCTTCGGCCTCGTCAAAATTCCCATCTTTGCGGGATTGGGCCTCAAGGGGGGATTCGTTGACCTTTTGACTGGCGAGATCCATGGCAGCCTTGTCTTTTCCCTTTGGCATGATGGAGAAGGCCCTATGAATGGCTGGTCCAAGTGACCGCGAGATGAGTCGAGCTTGTGACGAAGTAGAATGATAATGATAATGTGCCAAATACCAAATAAGCTGCTGGGTTGACCTGTGATGGGGAGTTGTCGAGATGCGCACAGACGAAAAGAGAGGTAGATAAGAAAACGAGGGAGAAGCAGGCAGCTTCATGGCAGCTGATCAACCAGAGAAGGAGGAACACAGACTCGAGATACGCAGCAGGAAGGCACGAGGCTCGTCATTTCTTCAGGTACCAAGAGCAAGGGTAGTCAGCAGGAAGGTGAACACACGGACAGACGGTCAGCCTCCGGGCGCCCATCATAGGCTGTGATGAAGAGGTCAGTTACAAATGATTTGAAGCGTCAAGAGCTGCAAGCCCGAGACAAGGTGGCAGAAACCTGCTGGTGATCCTTGGCCAGCTTTCGAAACCTGAAACATCCTCATGATCGGGGGTAGATCTGAAGGAGAAGCATGATCTCCATTCGCCTTGGCGTGTGGCGCATACTTGAAGGAGTATGGCGGGAGTCATGCTCAGAAGCCACTGCTCAACAAGGACCGGGACGGAGCCTGAGAGCCTGGGAGCCCGAAATTGGGCAGAAGCCCTTAAAGCCCTCTCCTAGCGAGGTGCTTGTACCGAGTAGGGACCAAAGGAACCTTGACTCGCCAAGTCGCGTAAAGTGCCAAGTTTTCGTGTTTGCGCGTGAGTCGCGTGTTGACGGTGGCTTGGAAAAGTCTCGACGACAAGTACAGAGCCCTCAGCCTTTGCTATCGCTCCCCAACCCAAACAAAGATGGCTTCAAGACCCGAGCTCAAGGTATGATATCTTTCCTTCTCCCGCTCCACATTTCCATTGCTTACAACGATTACAAAGGTCGATGACGAGACCGGTTTCATTCGTTCATTCCGTTCTCTCCCACCCAAACCGGGCGGAAGCAACACCATCCGTGTCATTGACCGAGTCGACTGGTATTCAGCGCACGGAGAAGATGCAGAATTCATTGCGCGAACCGTCTACAAGACGACTGCTGTCATTAGGAACCTCGGGCGAAGCGAAAACGCTTTGCCCAGCGTCACTATGTCTACCACCGTTTTCCGCAACCTCCTTCGAGAAGCACTGTTCAAGTTAGGGAAAAGAGTGGAGATCTGGGAGGTCAGCGGGAAAGGACCATGGAAACTCATCCGCCAAGCGAGCCCCGGCAATTTGCAGGCAGTCGAAGAAGAGCTGGGCTCTGGCATGGACAGCCAAGGCGATAGTGCACCTATCATCCTAGCGGTCAAGGTGAATGCGAAAGCGGGCGAGGCAAGAAGTGTCGGTGTTTGCTTTGCAGATGCTAGTGTCAGAGAACTTGGTGTCAGCGAGTTCCTGGACAACGACCTCTATTCCAACCTTGAAAGCCTGCTTATTCAATTAGGGGTGAAAGAGTGCATTGTGGCAGGCAGCCTCCAGAAAAAGGATCCCGAATTAGCCAAGATACAACAGATTGCCGATTCGTGTGGGATCGCCATTTCTGAAAGATCTGCTGCCGACTGGGGAACTAAGGACATTGAACAAGATCTGGCCAGGCTGCTCAAGGGTGAAAACGCAATGGGGCTCCTGCCTCAGACGGACCTCAAATTAGCAATGGGTAGTGCAGCTGCCCTAATCAAGTATTTGGGCGTCATGACAGATCCTAGCAATTTTGGACAATATCGGCTATACCAACACGACCTTGGTCAGTACATGAAACTGGACGCAGCCGCACTCAGGGCTCTGAACCTCATGCCTGGCCCACGAGACGGCGCAAAGAGTATGAGTTTGTTTGGTCTGCTCAACCACTGCAAAACTCCGATTGGAGGGCGTCTCCTCGCACAGTGGCTGAAACAACCACTGATGAATCTTTCGGAAATTGAGAAGAGGCAGCAGCTCGTGGAAGCTTTCGTTACCGATACTGAACTTCGTCAAACCATGCAAGAAGAACATCTTCGCTCGATTCCCGATCTTTACCGCCTGGCGAAGAAATTTCAGCGCAAGGCTGCAAACTTGGAAGATGTGGTTCGTGCATATCAGGTTGTTATCCGGCTTCCAGGTTTCGTTGAAGCTTTGGAAACTGTGGTTGACGAGCAGTACCAAATACCATTGGAAGCACAGTATACCTCAAAGCTGAAAGAATTGTCTAGCTTTCTTGGAAAATTGGCTGAAATGGTTGAGACTACCGTGGACCTGGATGCTCTGGACCGCCATGAATTCATCATCAAACCGGAATTCGATGAGGGGCTCAAATTAATTCGTGCCAACCTTGACAAAATACAGCGCTCCATGGATGTCGAGCATCGTCGAGTTGGCAAGGACCTTGGTCAAGAGCTCGACAAGAAGCTCTTCCTGGAGAATCACAGAGTGCATGGACATTGTTTCAGGCTAACCCGCAATGAGGCGGGTTGCATACGAAACAAGAAGGATTACAAGGAAATATCCACGCAAAAGAATGGCGTTTACTTCACGACGAATGCACTGGCGGAGTTGAGGAGAGAGCACGATCAGCTCTCAGGCTCTTATAATCGAAAACAGTCGTCCCTAGTGTCAGAGGTTGTCCAAGTAGCCTCGTCATACACCCCCGTTATTGAACAGCTTGCCGCCATCATCGCTCACCTAGACGTGGTAGTCAGCCTGGCACATGCCTCTGTCCATGCTCCGACAGCGTACGTCCGCCCGAAGATGCATGGGCGAGGCACTGGAGATACCATCTTGAAAGAAGCGCGTCACCCTTGCATGGAAGCTCAGGACGACATCAATTTCATCACCAATGATGTTGAATTGAGACGAGACAGCTCTCGGTTCCTCATCATTACAGGTCCCAACATGGGTGGCAAGTCTACATACATTCGTACAATCGGTTGCATTGCTCTAATGGCGCAGATTGGCTGTTTCGTACCCTGCACAGAAGCCGAGTTGACAGTCTTCGATTGTATCCTCGCCCGTGTGGGAGCATCAGATTCTCAGCTCAAAGGCGTGTCAACGTTCATGGCGGAAATGCTGGAAACAGCAAATATTCTGAAAAGCGCCACCAGAGACTCGCTGATCATTATTGACGAGCTCGGTCGAGGTACGAGCACGTACGACGGCTTCGGCCTTGCATGGGCCATCAGCGAAGAAATCGTGGGGCAGATTGGTGCCTTTGGCTGTTTTGCCACTCATTTCCACGAATTGACGGCTCTGGCGGACAAGTTTCCGAACGCAGTCAGGAACCTTCATGTGGTTGCCTTTGTGGGCGATCAGGAACAGGACACTGCGATGACAAACGGCGAAAGGGACGCCAGTGCTTCGAATAAAAGAAGGGAGGTCACCTTGTTGTACCGCGTTGAACCTGGCATAAGCGATCAGAGCTTTGGCATTCATGTTGCCGAGCTTGTAAGGTTCCCGGAGAAGGTGATCAGCATGGCGAGGAGAAAGGCGGAGGAGTTGGAAGACTTCACGAGTGCAACCGGCGAACAGAAGGAGAGTGAGTATTCCAAGGAAGACGCAGAGGAAGCCAGCCAACTGCTGAAAGCCATGCTGAAGAATTGGAAAGAGCAGATTGAAGGAAGGGACATGAGTAAGGATGAGAAGCTACGGCTGATGAGAGAAATGGTCAAGGGTGACGAGAAGTTGATGAGGAATCCGTTTTTCCAATCTGTACAAACACTGTGAAGCGAAAAGGCCTGGGAGGAACTGGTTTGCTATCGTAAGCGTGAGCGCGGTGTTTGGGCGTCAATGTCTCAGGGCCGCCTGAAACAGATGGTACATGTACGCCACTGGCGGTTGAAGCAGAAGGAAATGTCATCTTCTGTGCTGTATCCCTCATTCGCTGTGAGAAGCTTCACTCGACCACTGATGCTGATCAGATGCAGGACTTCCATCCCATATTTTCCTTCCCAATGCTGGCCTCAATGCAAACACGCACGGCACTCCAACCTCACTCATGCCGTCGTGTTCTTGACATTAGTCCTCACATCATCATTCCCACCGTTTTGCTCAGCATATTTCCTGCTCACATCCTCCGGTCCCTCACCGGCGGCACCTTTCTCAAAGTCGCCAGCCTTGGTCGGTCTTCCAGTACCTTTCTGGATGCCACCACCCTCTTCGACCGGGATCTCTCTGTTGTCCTCTGCCCCGGAGACCTTGGTGCCGTACTCGGCGGTGCTGCCGGGGAATTTATTGGTTACTGATTGATCGATGCCGGACTCGGTTGCTAGAAACACGAAGATTGGGTTAATATTCTGTGCAGGGACGGGCATGGGAGAGTGTGGTTCGATTTGTTCCCATTTCTCTGGGGTGAACACATACTGCTGACGCTTCCTCCAGGGACTGTTTTGCCGCCAAACCCTCCATCTTGAGCGCCGTGCTTGAGGTCGGGTGAGGCGAGATCTTGTTCCGCCTGTTTGGCGATGTCCATGAGGTCTTGACCTTTGTATTGTTCGGACATGATTGGTGGTGAGTCTGTCAGTGATTCTCAATGAAGACGTTTTCCGCCAAAACCAGTGTCGCGTGACTGTAGCCAGGAGAGTAATTGCAGCAGAGACGACTGCTCATTGTGGTTTTGTACCTGACTCGCCGAGTGTCATCAGAGCCGTGTGGTGTCACTGGTTGATGTCATACTGAGGATAGCGATCACTTGCCACGGAGATCAAATCCGAGTTCGTTGCAATGCTTCTAGCCTCATCTGGTTGCGCAAGGCTGAGATTCGCTGGAGTATTGCTCGTCGTCTGCAGTGAAGAAGGTCTGGCAGGTGGCTGTGGTGCTGCAGTGGCATGTAGCAGTTCCCTCACTTCTTCTGTCCCAGTATTCATCCATCGCTGCTGCTCACCCAACCTGTGGGTTGTCCCCTGGTCGATTTCAGGTCCTTTTCAGGTCCTCACGGTCCTTACTTCCATTGCGCTCTTGCCTCGAGATAAAGCCCATGAATGTACCGCATCGCAGGCATCGAAGGTGCAATCCCCCCCAACCCAAGATGGCCCAATGCTCTGATGGTGACGCGCTTCTTTCTCATGGTGTCTGTGAGCCACTTCCCCATCATTCCAGCCTGTATTTCTTCCGATCCCCATTGAAATCGGTGCCACGTTCACCTTTTTGTCCTCCTGATCTCCCACCTCGCAAGATGGCGTCAAACCCTGACCCTGCTTCTCTCAGTGCCCGCAGCCGCCGGTCTTCCATTTCTGCCATTCCGCGGCCAAAGTCTGGTACCTCTCGTCATGCTACACCCACAGGTGCTCGAGGAGACCGGAGAGACTCGGCAGCAGGGACAAGGATTCTGAACATTGGTCACAAGTACAGGAAATCATGGCACCCTGAAGACAGTGTCCCGCCTAGCTCATTTCGTATGCGTCAACCCCAGGTCCCGAACCCCAGGAATGAGTCTTTGCTTCCATACAAGCAACGATCTCATCATGATCTGTCCGGAACCCAACAGCAACTCTATGTTCGAAACCTGTCCACGCACTCCCTGGGCGGACCTGATGCCGTCGTAGCTCCACATCAGCTCAAACAGACATCCAGCACTACCGCACTGCCCAAATCCAAGACGATGAGCAGCCTCCTCTCTTCACCCCGTGAGACCATCACCAGAAGACGCCTCCTTCAACCCCTCGAGCCGCCACTACCACGAACGCAGACCTTGGGCAATATCTCGTGCTTTGGTCCATTAAATGAAACGCCTTCGCCGAGGAAGCCAATCTCAGTTTCCCTTTCCCTTCCACGGCAGCACCATGACAATCGAAGTCACCTCAACGTCGCCGATGCGTTGGTCGAAAGTAGGATGACAGAAAAAGAGATGGACTTGATGATCCAGGTCCAGAAAGAGGCCGCAATCAATCGTGCTCGACTCAGAAATTCTTGTCAACACCGAAACCCTCTAGAATATCCTCCTCCTGCGCAGTCGACGAAGCGAACAAATGAGCAAAGAGCGACCCTCAAGTTGTCGCTGAATGACGTTGCCAATACACAGCGTCTCGAAGGCATGGAGAGGATATCCTCCTCTGGGCGGCTCCTGTTCATCAATTCCACTCTAGCAAACAAGAACTGGCGAGAGAGTGACCTTCCAACTTCAACAACAATGACGACTAGCATTGGAAGCATTACCAGCTCGAATCCAAGCCAGAATTCTGAGAGTGATCCAAGACATGTCAGAGACCACCGACTTTCCTTCAGCAGGACAACTATGCTAACCGTCAAGCAGGTATATGTTGCAGAACACACATCATACTGGACCGGGCGATATGTGTCTCTTTGTGACCGACTTCGCACGAAGGAGCTTAACGTACCACCCCCATCACCGTCGAAATCGAGCGAAAAGAAGATTGATCGTCTTTTTGACAACAGTGAGAGAGTTCGTATGAACAATGCGCTCAATGAACTGAGAGAGCATTGCAAGACGGAAGAGGCCTTGAAGAGCTTTGACGACTTCGAGAATACCCTCCTCAAAAAGATAGGAATATCGCGCCAGAGCCTGCATCGAACTGGAAGCCTCGCATTTGCGGGTAGAGAGGTAGAAAGGAAGCAGGGAATATCCGGGTCGAGTGCCTCCAGGTCATTTCCCTTGAACATGTCAAATTCTCCCAGCAACGCGTCAACGCCAACAAGTCGAATATCAAGCGTCAATGCTGACGCCGTGCTAACCGTAAATTCCAAGTCGTTCTATGGTGAAGGCGCAATCGCAAAAAGCAAGACTACTGGCAATCTGGCAGCCCTTATCCCCCTCATCCCAAAACGGCAGTATGTTGTTGCAAGCAGTTCGCTGCCAAAGTCGAATACCGTCCAGCCAGTTTCACATAGGCGCAGAACATCCTACTTCGAGTGTTCTCCCGAAACTCGAGCAAAGGCTATGAAAGAGCGAGAGGAACGTGCCTCTCGTAGAGCAGCTGAGGCCCATCGACGTTCAAGCTCACATATGCCAGTCTTGGACGTGACCAAGAGTCGCGGGCAGAGCAAGGACCAAGGATCATCCTCCAGGGCTGTGAAAATCTCCGGGGCGGCCCAGTCTCAACTCAACTCTTCCAACTCCAAAACCGATGCATCGGGAGCAGTGGCAGATTCCCTGAGTGCCGCCATGCTCGAGAGCGGTCATGTTCGCCCCCCACCGAATACCGTGAGTGCGGCTTTGCCCTCCCGAGTGGAGCTCGTGGAGTTGTCTGGAGGTGGGAAAGAGAAGGTCGTCAAGTCACGGCGCAAGACCGAGAGACAGATCAGCGGGGAGATGGTCAAGATCTTGTTTGGAGCTGGTATGCGAGAGGTGAAGAAGATGGGACGTCGAGTAAGTGGGATGAGCTGGCCCGGAAGTAGCGATGAATTTTAACGCCTTGGAGCGGGAGCAAGTGCGAATGTGTTGGCGAAGGGCGTCAAGAGATGGGTTATGCGTTCAACATTGCCGCAGTTGGTCGTTCAGATAGGGGAACAGGGGGCAGAGCAGAACGCGTTCAGACAATTCTATGCTAGGCATCAAGATTATGTGGGCACCCAATGGAACTCCACCTGTACATCCCTCTCACCATTCCCGTCATCAGCAAACAGATCGACTTTTTCTAATCTCTTGGGAATGCGATTCGCGTAAAACACGCTCCGATTGTGATATGCGAGTACATTGATCCCATCATCGTTCTCCGCGTATGAAAATATCCCCTGTGCCGTAGCAGAGTTTACACATTCGAATCTGGCGGTTTTGGGGTTGACCAGGCACGGCGCGTACGATGAAGAGAGGGAGAACAACGCTTGGTGGCCGGGGTCGACGACGTCGTGTTGGGCGCGGAAGGCCGCGCACGTGCCTGAGACGTACCATTGACCCTGACGGATAAGGCAGCCCTTTTTCAAGGACGTGGAAGATGTACTGGAGGAGGCGGAGGAGTCGAGGATGTGGATTTCCAAGCGGCCTCGGCCTGTGAATGGGACGGCTGTGCTTGTGCTTGATGGTGAAGATGTCGGGTTGCTGATGGTAGTGGTCGTCTTCGACGGAGGGGAGGGAGGCAGAGGCGCGCCGTCACCAGCGGTCTTGGGGAGGTATTTGATTCCTCGCCGTGGGCAGTTGGAGATGGCTCCGTCGGGCGGCACGGGGACGAAACGTCTGCGCACGGCGCTTGCGTTCAGGAACGGCAAGCGGTGTTGATGACCAAGAAAATCTACGGTATCGCGGTTAACAGATTCCTCCGGACTAGTGGAGGTCGCAACGGCTTCGGCTTCGGCTTCAGTCCCTTGCGTGTAAGATGTATGTCTCAGCGAGCCCATCACGGCGAAATGATACCATACTTCATCCAGCTCGCCGCGGCGGTTGCAGCGGAATGTCACGGGCTGGCCGTGCGCAGAGGACCGTATTACAGCGTCCTCCAGCTCTCGCAGCGTATACCGCTTGTGGGAAGAAGGAAGGATGCCAGCCTCCGCGAGCAAGGAGTATGTATCGAGCGTCCTGAAAAGGGAGGTCGTGTGGATGAAGTAATCTAGCACGTCTAGATGGCGACGATGCTGGCGATTCGGGGAAGGCGGAGGAGGACGAGGAGAAGGAAGAGCCGCGTAACAGGCCGGCTCAAGTGTTGAAATGCATGTGCCGTGTTTATTCCACTCGTGAGCCCACAGGTGCTCGTGGTCGCCGTCGAGGGAGAGCCAGTACGTCTCCATAAACGAGAGCAGGTCGTCGATCATCTCCGAAGAATTTCCATCGTGGTCCTCCCGGTCCTGGTCCTGGTCCTCTACGGCGTGACGGAGGACGCTCCGGATATCGGAATGAGAGCGTGAAGAATCGCAGAACGCGTCGAAGCCTCCGGTGCAGAGATCCGGCCAGAGTCCGTGGATCGTCCAAGAGTTATTGGGCCCAATGGGCGGTGCGGTGTCCCAGAATTGCGTCTGCAGGAAGTGCCCTGAAGGGTGGTTTAAACAGCATGTGTCTATATCTTGAGGCGGCGGTGAGGGACACGACAGCACTGGAGGATTGGGGCATTGGGCGGGTTTCAAGGTTGAGGGTAAAAGGGTGTTGTTGTTGATAATGTTGGGTGTTGTTAATTGATTGGGGAGAAGAAATGAGGACAGGACGGGGATTTGGCAGAGGATTTGATAGAGAGATGCCATTGCGGGATGTGTGATAAGGGCAGAGTAAGGATAGCCAGGTGATGGCAGGTCTTGGTATTGTATATAAAAAAGGCTGTTGATATTTGAAGCAACAACTCGAAGTGTCAGGGATGAAGTTGGCGAGCGCGTGGTTTGCGTTCCCCTGAATATGACGTCAGCGAGGCTGAGCCGGTCACGAGGCTAACGACCCAATGCTCATCAAGCCCCCTAACACTTCATCCTGGGGGTATTTGGTTCCGCCTTGCTTTCTAATCTCGTCCATAATCTCCATGACACGGATGGTCTCCTTCCAAGGCATAATCTCATTCTCTTTCCGGCCAGCAGCGATGTCTAGGGCAGTATTGTCTGCCTCGTAAAAGAATCCGCGGCCGATGCGAGGGTAGTCGTAGTGCTTGCTTTCAAAATCATTCTTGGTGTTTTCTTTGCGTCGATAGACGGTAAACGACAGAGGATGCGATGGTGCCGCGCCATGCACGTCGATGTACCCTTCTGTGCCTTGGATACGGCAAACCACGTCACCCATGCCACCAGACATAGTAGTAGAACTGACGATTCCCTGTCTTCCAGTCGACGGATACTGTATCAGAATGCTCGAGGTGACTTCAACCCCATGCAGATGGCTCTGAGTTGCCAAGACAGTCGGCCTTTCAGAATTCTCAGGTGTGTTAGGGTCGAGGGCCAGAAAAGCCCATGTTAGGGGGTAGATGCCAGTATCTAATAGCGTGCCCGCACCAAGCTTCGGGTCTTTATACCGTGAGGTGTCCGGCAAGCTAGGGATATGAACCAGGAGGCTGAAATCAGATGACATGCGAAAGACATCCCCGATGACCTGATCTTGAAAGAGTAACTTCCTCAACTCGGTCACGAGAGGTCGATGCCGGAGCCACATTGCCTCGTGGACATAAACACCTTTCTTCTTGGCCGCATCAAGCACCTCTCGTGCCTCGCGGGCGTTAATGGTGAACGACTTCTCGCACAGAACATTCTTGCCCGCGGCAATGGCACCGAGACAGTTGCTTTTGTGAAAGGAGTGCGGAGTGCCTATATAGACGCAATCCACATCTGGATCGGAGTAGACCTGGTCATATGAGGCATAGATGGTTGGGTTTGCACTTGGGCAATGTTTGGCGGCAAAGTCTTTGCCCTTTTCCAGAGACGAGGACCCGATGCATTGGATAATGTGTTTTGCTTTTGCGTCTGGTCGGTTGAGCATGAGATCTTCGACGAACCAAGAAGATATGAGGCCAGTTGCTGCGGGCTGCTGTCAGTGTAGCCCCCAGCATTCAAAGTGGCCGTCACATACACACTACTCCCCACCGGCAAGTTGGGATCTCGGTAGCCATAATGGACTTGGGGGCTTACTGTGACGGGGCAGCTGGATAAGTACTTGGGCAGTTTGGGCAGTGAAGAAAGGAAGCCATCATTCGATTAGGTATGGACTACCTCGTACAATAGTTAGTCAAGAGGATAGCGGGGTTGGGAGACGGAAAAAGATCCCGCCGGCAAATAATGGCGGATCTTGATCACATGATGTAGTCACGTGATATGGAGTGGGTAAGAGCGGGATGCTCTGCGACCCCAGTTAAAGCTTCAATTGTGGGTTTCTACCTCGTACCCGGTACACGAGTGCACCCTCCACGTTCCCATCAACGCCCCAGTTATCCACTCATTGTCCCTCTTTTTCAAACCGACCGAATATATTGGACTGTTCCTTTTACCACGATACAGAGTTCGCGCCGCATATTAGGTACGAGATAACAGTACACACAACACGCACTGGCTCTTCGCTTGGCCGAGGTCAAGGTTGAATTCAACGCCCGAACCCTTGTCACCTTGATCAGCGGCTATCGCGCATTTCCGCATCATCGAGAAGTTCGCACTCCACTGACACGCTTCTACCATATCACAGTGCCGCAGAAAGCGTTGGACTTCTGGGCACCAGCCTGCGCTTAGTTGGTGTCGTAAGTTCCCGCCCTCAACGCAGGTTCCCAACTTCCACTATCATCGTCCTAGACTAGACTGACTTGTTTTACTGCAGTTCTAGACAACGCAACGATACCGCGTTCCTATCCCTAGACATCAGGTCTCGCTCCCTATCGCTCTTCATAATCACATTCTCCCTCTTTGTCACCCAGACAGGTCATCTTGGAACCCGCAGCCATGGGCCGCTTCACCACTATGATCCTCTCCTGCCTACACAACCTGCTCATCCAACTCCCGCAGAATGGCTACCACAATATCTCGCGCGTCGTGCAGCCCCAAATCCGAAGCATATCTGAGAGTTTCACCATTGCGACTTCCGCTTCAAGGCGCAATGCTGCTGCCCGCAAGGAGGATGGGATAGAGTTGCAGCCGATGGCGCCCAAGACCTCAGGTGAGGCGTCCATGAAACAAGACGTGGTTGAAGGTGCTCAAGTCCGATAGACCATGGCAGCCTTGAGGTGGACACAATTCGGGACCATGAAGAAATCATTTACAAGAGATTGGATCGAGTTTGATCTTGAGAGTCCACGGAAGAGACACCCTCCTACCGACGACCTCGCCTCTACATCCAGAATTGCTTCCCTTGACATCAGTTATCTGAACGGCGATCTATCTCACTCAAACAGATAACTTCAGAGCCCATATTGCTGGGCAATGAATCGCCAGAAGAGTCTCTCTTGCCTATGCCGATTCGCACGTTGCCTAGCACCTTCCTCCCTACCGGCAACTGTTGCGGAAAATGTTAGCCCAAAGAGTCTCGAACAACAAACGGAGCTGAGACGATTTCGCCCACCTGGTCGAGCAACAATCCAATTGCAGCGGAGTTAGAGATATTCCCCCGCTCCACGATCTCGCCACCAAGGTGCTGGTTGAAGCCAGAACTCCTTGTTAAACAAGCGCTTGTCACGGCTGGCCTGAAAGACCTGGGTTTAAAGACTGAAAAGGCGGACGGCTTTCTGAACCATGGAAATCCTGCTTTTTCATATTTCCCCGCCCGCCTCATCTTTCTATGGGGTAACAGTGCTCTGAGTCACCTCGATCGGGCTATCCGGACAAGACAGATTGATATGCCAGCAACATCGCCTCGACGGGAGGGAGGAGAGGCGGAGTTGAACGTTTCGATTCGAACCAGCCCGGCAGGCAGGCGGGCAGGCAGACGGACAGATAGATGGGCCGAGTCCACGTACCCCATCCACCTCCTGGAGGGACACAGCGTGGTCCGACAGAGGACATATTACATTACGCAGTATAGGTCCAGCGACCACAGAGAAGGTTGCTACTCTTCTGTAATACTTTGCAGTATACTATATCGTATCGTATTGTATGGTGCTATGCTGTGCTTTGTTTTGTTGCCTTGTATTGTGTTGCGTTGCACTGACCCTTTGATTCTCTAATGCGTTAGTCTGTCCTCGGTTCTCTGTCCTTCATCCTCCATTATCCTAATGTCATCGCACTATAGAGATAGTGGTCACTTTTCTTGGAATTGGAAAAAAGGGTTTATGCAAGATTGAGTTTCGTCTCCGGTTCGAGTCGAGTTGATTCAAGTCAGGTTGAGTCTTCTCGCTGTGTTCTCGTTCCGCTTTTTACGCGCGGACGGGCAACTAGGCCATCCTGCAAGCCTGGGCTGCATGGCTATGAATTTGGCTCCAGCGCTCTTCAATGCCGCGGCCCCAATTTCTTCGGTCTCAAGCACTCATGACAACGTTCCATCACCCCAGTCAGACAAGAAGATCAGGTCCAGACCGGCGCTCGTACCATGCCACAACCCACATCTCCCTCATCGCCAATCGTGTGGCATGGCTCATCAAGTCATTATCAAGCACTTGGCGTCCCTGTCAGCAAGCCAACTTGATCGTCAACCACGAATATGCCGTCTTCCCTGATGATACAACTGGGCCACGGTCTTTGGTTCCGAGTCTTCAGTGCGATACCCCGATTCATTGCTCACCATGCTCTCTCTGAGTCTGTCTCGTCTTTCTTCCCTTGCGGAATCGCTCTCATAACCATGATGTTCTGATTCCCTTGGTATGGCGCCTGCCCCTCTGAGATCTCGAGTGCCGGGTCGAAGGTGAAGGACACGTGCCACACCGGTGTGAATATCTCCTTTGTCGTACTCGTCTTGTTCCCGTTCGTTTTCCTTGTTGTCGTTGGCTTCGTGGGCCTGGTAGGCTTGGTAGGGCTGAAAATAGTTCGGTTTCGATGGACTTCTCCGCCCTTCATCACGGATGATTCGTTCAATGTCGGTTTCCGTCTCGCTGTACGGCAGCCCACTCGATGAATTCAACATATCCAACGCACAAATGCTCTTGCGGTAGACTTCACGATCGCTGCTGGCGATGCTGTGATCCGATGTGTTTTCATCTGTGACTCGCTCTGTCCGAAGATCACCCTCTGGAGGTGATGAGGGGAGGTCGGAAACCTCGGTGATTTTACTTAGCACACGTCGTGCAGCGGTTTGACCCATGATGCCATTCTTGAAGTAGTCCGAGGTAATCTGCGCCGCGAGAGGGCTCTCGACTGACTGAGGAATTTCCGCAACTCGAGCTGCTGGGGGAAGTGGCCTCGGGTATGCAGGCGGCTCAGGGAGAGACTTGTCCTTGTCGACGGAAGATGCAATATTAACCCTGTGACTTTGTGTTGCGCCGATCGAGTCGGATCGCGGTCTGATTGTTGGCGCCGTCGCGACGGACTCGCTGGAGGCTTGGGAGCTATCAATGGGTGTGTTTGGGGTCGTCTGCGCTCGTGGATTTGTATGTGTCTGTAGAGAAGGTCTGTGGCGAAGACCGTCCCGGTCGACGGCGAACGACACCTCCTTAGATGAGTACCTAGGATCGGATGGTGGAAAACCAATCATGCTGTAGCTCGTGATAAGGGTTCCTTTCTTATATTTTTCCTTGTCTCTCTCCATTCCGAAGAATCTCAAGGCTTTGGAGGTGTTGCTGTTCCTAGCAGCCACAGGAGCGGAGTCCAAAGAGGTCTGGAGCATTGCTTGAGCCTGGGACATGACGTTCTTGACATCCTCCCGTCGTGCGAAAACTTCCTCGCGGGCACTACCAAGCTTCTGACGAAGGTTCGCAATCTCAGCGTCGCGTTGGTCGATTTCCAGTGCATGGGCCGTCTGCAAGCTTTCCATGTTCCCTCGCAGCTCTTCGTACCTTCGGAACATCATTTCCGAGTCCATTTGCGTCTCTCGACTCTCGGCTAATGCGGCACGACACTCCTGTACTTCGTTGCTCAGATCATCGTTTTGTTGTACCAGAAGCAATAGTTCGTGATCTTTTTCCCGCACGAGTTTGAGGGCTTTCTCGTACCTGTCCACGTACGCGTCGAGGTTTTTGGACTGATCTTTGATCATCGCTCCCTGGCCATGCAATACCTTGCGATAATCGCCAACCAGGTTGCGCGCGTCCCGTAGGTCTGCTTCATATTTGTCGAGGGTGTCCTCCGCGACGCGAACGTAACTGGTTAGCCCGTGAGCCTCCTTGCCAGTGTATTCAGCTATTAGTTGGAGAACCTGTTGGGTCCTAGGCTCACGGATAGAATCGGCCCAACTGGGGAAGTGTTTCTGAATGAATGTACCCAGAAGGTGTGCGACTGCGTGGACCGTATTTCGAAGTTCCGAGATTCTTCTGTCTTTAGCTTCAATTTCCTTGTCTTTCACCACCATCTTCGCCAAAGCGTCTTCTACCTGTCCTTCGAGTTCATTCAGTTGTTCATGAGAGACCTTGGTATCACGCTCAGCAAGCGACTCCGCGGACTCGACAATCTTGCGATAATCGGCAGTGATCAACCGCATTTGATCGGAGAAGGACTTGAGTGCCTGAGGAGTGTTAGACTGAGGAGGGTTCCCAAAGATCGCATTTCTTACACTGTTCAAGGTTACTTGGTTGACGCTTGACTCGAGCTTCAAGTTGCCAGCCTGGTGGAGGAGAGTCGTCATCTTCTGTAAATGACTGCGCATCGCGGGTAGCCAGTGCTGCGATATGGTCACATGGTCGCATTCAGGGAGTTTATCCAGCAACTCCTCGACGGCCATTGTGGTGAATGGCCGTGTAATCTGCGAAGCTGCAGGAAAGCGGCTTCCGATGGTGTAGGTAGGCATTGTGCTGTGACCACACCGGTCGTGCTTTCTCAAAGGGGTGGCCAGATTTCGTAAAGCTTCCATTGTCCCGTCATCGGTAGACACGGAGGGGGAGAGAGGCGGCACAGAACTCAAGGTTGATTCCTCGGTGTTTCGGCGAAGCAATCGAAGAGAGGGCGGAGGTGATATAGGGTCTGTTTGCGGGAAACCTTGGCTCGCTAAAAGAAGTGAACCTGGCAACTCTGCCGCTGCCAGTGAATACAGTGATGTTGGGCTGGCTGGCGTCTCCGGCAGTGCGAAACCTGGCGTGGAGGGTACGGCAGGGTTGCAGGGTGAAGAACCTCCCTTGATATCAGTTCCTAACAGTAAATGTTTACGGCGGTCGGTGGGCGTCTTGGGAGTCAAGAGGCCTCCAAGCCCCGAACTCAACGGTGCCAGAGCCTGACCTGATGATATGGCAGCAGCTTCGCAGCTACTCGATATTCGAAGCGGAGGAGGTCGACGACGGAGTTTGGGCTCAGTCTTTGGGTCCATTTTCCCGTGCATTTGATCCCCAACCGCGAGTTCAGAACAGACAAGTCCACCAAGTCCACCATTGGGAACCACCTTGGTGCCATGTGCCCGTGTCTTTGAACCAAAAATGGACGCCATTGGTATAGCTGGATGAAAGGAATCGGGAATATCAAAGGAGGAAACAGAAGAAGAACGAGTCGCCTTTGGATCTGACTACGCCTTTTGAACCTGGAATATGCTCACGTATGCACCATGACCATGCAGAGGGACACCGTTGTCCACATCCTGCTATGCAGGGGGTTGAAGCAGAGATAGTCGCACCTGAGAGAGAGCTTCAACAAGCCTATCCAGAAGAGGGTCGGAGAACGAGCCAATCAAGAAGTCATCGTGACGAGCTCGAAGCCCAGATGAGGAGAGATCCGATTGTACCACCATCCCCAGAGTCCCCGAGGCCACCTCCTCAGCTGCAAGGAGGCGCCTAAACCAGGCCATCACGAGGCCGGCACTTGACGAATCTCCCCATCGTCCAGCTCAACGCGGGTATCATGATGAGACGACCAGTGGCCGAGGCGGGGGTGAAGCCCAGGTCAATATGACAGCCAGTTGGTATTGAAGCAAGTCCAGGACAGTTATCAGAGCAGCAGAAGGGAAAATTTCGAAGGAGGAGGAGCAGAAGGAGAAACGAGAAATATGCAGGGCTTCCGAAACAGGATTAGTGCGGATTGGCAAACCGCCAAGTCCCATCTCGCTGTCGAACAACATCCTGCCAACAGTTTCTCCCCTCCACCAAACTCATCAAATACCCTCCCTCAAAAAACCCCCCTCGGCGGAACCCGAGTAGGGCTTTTCACATAGATGCTGTGGGATCGGCCCGAATATGAATCCTGCGGAGTCGACGAACAGACCGCCCAAAAGTGTCAAAACAGATCACACACAGTCACCATCAGACACAACACCTCGCAAAGGCCACGCAAGTAAAAGCAAATACCGATCCGCCGCCATCAGTGCGTCCGGAATCCACAGCGGCGATGTCGGAATCTTTGTCACCTCCGACAAGGGACAGGAGAGGAGATGTTTGCAAGAGCTATCTGATCTGTTAGAAGAGGTGCGTGCCAGTCTTGTCTCGTCACAGACCACCAACTAACTAATCACATCAGGTCTTCGATGATGACTCAAGTAGTCGTCCGCCGGAGGCAGCCCTAGACATCCAGCGAAATAAGGATGACGAAGGTGACATCGAAGCCGATATACATGCCGAGTTGGACTCCCTGAGATCTGAACGAGGGCCCCAAAATGGGCAGTCCCAGAAGTTCTCCTTGATTATGCTCGACATACCATGTGTCTCATTTATTCGATTCCCCAGCAACTCCAGACTGGATCCCGTCGAAACTGTCCGCAAATTATGCCTCTCGGCCTCAAGCAAGGAGGGTGCTGGACCGCGAAGTCGCTACATCAGGAGACTCACGCCGGTGACTTTGATTCGGAAGACCCTGAATGACGGACTCCAATCGCTTTGTGATCAGGTCCTTCCCAAACACTTTTTGATCGACGTCGACCCGGAAGACGACAAGCAAAGTTCTGGAAGCGATGGCGAGTGTAAGCACCAACCATACAAGTTCGCCATCCGTCCGACTATCCGCAACAACAACAAGATTGACCGAGACCGTGTTATTCGGCTGGTTGCTGACAAGGTCGCCTCCTTGGGTCAGGGGAAGCACTCTGTAGACTTGAAAGGATATGACAAGCTCGTCCTTGTCGATGTGTATCGAAACGTAGTCGGCATGAGCGTTGTCGGGAGCGAATATGAGACATTGAAGAAGTTCAATCTGGCCGAGATCCATGCAAGCCACTATGGCAATGGCGACAAGGACTCTGCAAACGGTGAAAGCTGACACCAAACGGCAAAGTGTTTGATGGCATAGATGTGGGCTGTGGAGGAGATTAAGAATCATCATCCTCAAGCGTCATTTCTCCTCACTGCTGATCCTTCGCATCTTGTCGACGACACGCTTCCAGAAGCCGTCAGATCTGTCAGCTTCACCGCGCTGCTCGGTATCCTTCATTGTCCCCTTTGCCCGCCAATACCCAGGCCCATGCTGCTCAATCACCTTATCGCATCCTCTGAGCGTGCCTCGAGCGAGCCAGAAGCCTTGCCAATTTGCTCGAGATGAATTTTTCATTGCAAGCTGCACTGTCGCTGGCGGCTTTGGTCGGGAATATTGTTCCAGCCACCATTTTCGATATGCCTCGCTGAACCTGATCTGAGGCATTGCGAGCGACTGGGAGCCTGATTCGGATGTGGACGCATAGGGAATCGCGATCAGTGCCTCGGAGCGTGAAGAAGAATGATCGACAAGAGAGTTGCTGGTGAGACTTGACGAGGCGAATGGGCTGCCGCAAGTAGTAGTAGGAGGCGAAGGTGCTTTCCTGGGCTGCAAGTATGCGGTCGTGTGTTCGAAGTCGACCAAGAAGCCCTGCGCGTCATACCGACCGTACCTTCTGGCAAGCGCACGGCTGGACGGCCACTCATCCCGCATATTGATGTAGTGAGCAACACCGTCTGATCCGGTGTCATGGGATCCTGGAGGCAAGGTACAGCTTTCCGGGAAGTCGGGGAAGCCATCTGTACGTGTAGTGTGATCCATCATAAGAAGAGCTTGGATACAGCCTCTTGGGCTGGGAAATAGGCGACAATCAGTTGGTCACACCGAGGTCCGAGATCCTGAAACAAGAAAGGAAGGCAGCCCTTGATTACTGGTACTGAACCAGCTCATTGTCAGGAAAGTCAACAACGAGCTCACAGTGACGGGTCGCAACAAGCCGATCACAGAGCCGTTTGCCAGAAAAGGGGCACGATGTTTCTTGCACTCCACCAAACAAACCTCCTCCCATCCTGGAGGTGAAGGGGAAGCAGAAGGGGTCTTCTTCGTCACTTGAAGCTCGCCTGGATATGGATGATTTCCACTTCCGATCACGACGTATGGCACGTGCGCTTCCTGAAGCTCGACTGGAGAAAGACGACTAAAGGAGCGGCACTGTCTGAGCCTTCGACATAGCAAGTACAGACTCCATACTAGCGCGGTGAGTCTGGCTCCCTCCGCTCGAGGACAAGGCTGGGGTCGTATCGGGCATGGTCAAATATTAGATATCTGGTTGCCGCACATATCAGTGGTTCTTCAATGGGCAAGCTCCCGACTTTACGTCAACGCAATCACCGGTGTACGCTAATGGAGAAGAGTTCATCAACCTGAGCATGACGATTGCATCAATCCTGCACTAGAAGTGTTAGAAGAATACAATTTCCGAGACCTGTTTCCATTGCCTTGGCCGCTGCGACAATCTTGGACTTGAAGCCGGATGAATAGTTGAGGAGGGAGGATTACAGCCATAGCGCACTGAGTGATAGCGTGATGACTGCTGTATTACAGTGGTGGAAACACGAGGACAACCCTACGAGCTTACGGCACATGACTTCGCATAGTTGCTTAGGAGCTGTCTAGAGCGAGTGTGAAATGACAGGCAACGTGCGGGAGGGCGCACTTATCAAGCGACCATTTGTGGACAGAACCCCCTATTGCCATTTTTATATCGCACGGAGTCGGGAGACATATCCGCATGGCCTGCTGAAGACTGCAGAGAGACTGGTGTGTAGCATGTGCGAAACCACAGCTGGTCTTCTGAATTGTCTTGTTCAGAGACGCCACTAATCGGCGCTGCCATCTGCCTCCGTATTCTTGTAGTTTGTTGTATCTCGGAGCGGATGTGGAGTATTCTACTTGGTGTTTCCATGTCAAGTACTGTGGTGGGTGAGATCTACCTCGCTACCTAAAACACTCTGCACACTCCACGTAGGTACAGTACTTGTTATGTACTCGGTACAAGTAGTAAGAAGGCTAGTTAGGCGATTCACCCAATCAGAGCATGTTGGGTGGATAAGGGAACAGTACTCGGTAGCCATTGGTGGGTGCGCGTGTCCTCGTGTTCAAGTGCGGGCCTGGCGCGGGGTAACTGGGCCTTGGCTTGCTCTGCTCGTTGTCGTGCAACTTGTTGGTTTGGTCGCTGCCTGGAAGCAACCGCACCGAGCACCGAGCACCTCCAGCAGCACCAGCTGCCTGATTCTCTCTTTACGCTCACCTCTCTCTGTGTCTGTCTCTCATTCTCACACAATCAAACCTATCAAACCTCCTATGTCCTTCCCTATCCTCTAGAGATAGCCACGAAACTAGCCTCCACGCTTCGTCATGGCTGATCTCGATCTCGATCTCCCGGCCTTTGGCATCCGCGACCTGAACGGCCCTACATCTCCCCCAGGCATCGTTCAGATTTCCGCCTCGCAGTATGACAGCACCATCCGCACTCAGCCTGATACCGCCCTTTCGTACATCGACCTCGATGATGGGGAGCTTATTACCGTCGGAAGTTCGTTCGAGCTGCAACAGCGTCTGGAGGAACCTGTCTCTCCTTCGACCCCTGCCGTCCCCTCCCCGGTGAAAGCTGCAAGAGAGGCCAAGGAAAATATGCTGGTACATATCTTCGACATCCGGCACACCAGCAGAAGTTTGGCTGTGTGGAGAGATCACGAGGCATATACGACCAAGAAACTGCGAGAACGACACAGGTCGTCGTCATGTTCGGGCGAAGACGACACTAGTCCACCTAGGGCATCCCCACCTAGATCTGAACCTCGATCTACTCTCGACAATCCGACCACTCAGGATAAACTGAACAAGCGTCCCGCCGTCTCCCCTCGATCAACCCAGGTCTCGGACACTACCACGAGTGATGAGAGCAATGCTGGTAAATGCTCCACGACACAAGCGACCCTCCCTGGTCAAGGCGAGAGTCCGTGTCAGATGGACAAGACCCTTACCAGTCTCTTCACAGGTATCGAACCTCATCTAGGCCCTTTGGCTGACTTCCTTGAATCCACAGCTGAGGGACTGCGAAGGATTGCAGAAAGGACTGCTGAGGCTGATGCCAGCCCTGTCGAGTGTGTCTTGAGCGGGTTCAGGAAGATTATGAAAGATGCCGGCGAATTGGGTCTCGAACTATTGGCTACATTGAACGAGGAACTAGAGAAGAATCGAAGCAGTGAAACCGGGCAGGCTAACGGAACCCGACCTAATTCAGAAGGACTGCAACCGTTCTCCCTCTCCGCTGAGGCCGAAGAGCCCACCCCAGAAGACAACCCGCAGCGTGATGTTGAGCCTTCTCCAAAGAAAGTCAGCTTCATCGAGACGGCACCTACGGAACATCCTCCCAAGGAGCTGAAGTCTGAGGTGCCGGAGCCCTTCTACAGGGACAGCCCCTCTTCAAAAGGTCAGACATTCAACCTCGTATCATCCGCACCCTCCACCAATACTCAAAAGCCACCTCCCTTCCGCCCTTCCCCCATGGAGGAGGTTCTGTTTCCGCTCTTGTCGACGCGATCGCGTCTTCAATCCGGGCCCGACTCCATCATTGACTCTCAGCGATCTGATTCCGATGCCCTGACCCGTTATCCACCCTTGCCGTCTCTCCGAAAAGCCGTAAGCATCAGCGGATTGCACAGCAAGCCCGGACCATCTGGTAGTCGTCAATGTGGCTTGGGCACTTCGTCGGCCTTATCTCGCTATCCCAGCATTGGCCAATTTGAAGAGCAATCACGTGCGAAGTCTCAAGTCGATTCCGACTCGGACTATTACAGCCGTTGGCCAAGTTCAATTTGGCCATTCATTCCGCCAACTCCCAAGAAGACAGACGTCTACAAGAAGCCTACAGTAGAGGATGAAGATGAGCCTGTCTCTACTCTTCAGGCAGAACTGACAGGAAAAACAAAAGCTCCCGCCATTCAGGATGTCCCCAAGTCCACCACAGTGTCAGTGCCTGGTGCCTGGCCTGACCAAAAGCCTGACCAAAAGTGTGATTATGCGGGTTATAAAGGGCTCAATACCATGGTTGCTCCTGGCAACCTGTCCAAAGATATTCTTCAGAGGTTCTCGGAGAGAAGGCGGGACTCAGTTACCGGTGGTCTCCCGCAACGGCCTAGCAGTCCCGTTGGTACGACATACGCTCGCGGACCAATTTTTCCCAGAAAGTCCCAGACAATCAGCGGCATCAACCCTGCGGCGAGACTCAATGGGCCATTTGATCCTCTTGCACACATTCCCGCCTTACAGCCTCGACCCCAACGATCGCAGCCAGACCTGTCAGCTTCCACGTTAGGCTTTCGGAGTGCCGCGGGAGACCCAGCCTGGCCTGACCCTTTGACCTATAGGAGTCGGACGGTTCACCATACTGATCGCTACAAGCCTCATGATCCTCCTCTCGAGACCCAAGTGAAGAACAATTGCAGCACAACCACAAATTCTAGCGTAGCATCCTATCCATATGTGAAATCATCTCCTGTGCAGTTAGAAAGGTCTGGGTCCCAACCCTCAACCAAATTTCACCGTTCAGTACCTGTTGCTACAAAACCTGCTGCTTCGACTCAGAAACCTGTGTGGCCTTCAACAGCAGGGAGGAACACGCATTCTTACACAACTGGATCTGCATCGATATCCTCCGTGCCACAGCCCGTTCGATCTCAGCCAGAAATAATCCGGGTGCCACCAAAAGTCAGTACGACCTTCAGGCCATCACCCCCGATCGCGCCTGCTCCGCCACCAATGTCAGCCGCCAGTACCATCTCTCGCTCTCTATCGATTCTTTCCCCTTGCTCACCCTCATTCACTCGTCCTCGCGCTCGCTCGGGGATCTCCCCACCTGAGCCTTTTTCGAGCCTGAGCGTTGATGAGTGTGTCAAGACTCTGAAAGGCATGGGCTTTGGCAGAGACGATCCGAATGAATTAGCTCGCTTAAACGTCTATGCGGCGGCCGCTGGAGGAGATGTTGAGGCCGCAATTGAACTTCTCGAGGACGATCGTGAAGCAGCCAGAGTGCTCCGGAAGAAAACCGACAACATTAGGGAGCTCGGGAAGGAGGCCGATGTGGAAGAGAATCCATGGGAAGACTAAACCAGGTGTGTCCTCGTCAGGTGTTGGAGCCTACAATTATGAAGTGATGATGTAGTCAATGGCCAAAAAAAATGCAAGCCGAACGAAAAAAAAGCAGAACTCTTGGACTTTTTCGATTTTGATTTCCACCGGCGCTTTCTGGGAGTGAATGGCATTATATAACCCCAATCAAAAGGGACTGACTGGATTTTCTCTTTCGATGAATAAAATGACAGCGACAAACCCTTTTCAACGTCTCGTGCGGCAGCCATGGGTGGGGACACCAGGGGCGGTTAGTTCTATCTATTGTATCCCGCAACCCCTACCTAAGAGAAAGAGAGAAAGAGGGAGGAACTGGACAGAATGAGATGTATTCTTACGTATCAGGATTCAATCTAGGCGCATATATAGGACGGACGACGTGTACCTCGTTTGTGAGATTGAATCTCTCGATCATTAATAGGTGCTGCCGGTCGCTGCACCTTTTTTGTTATTGCCATATATCATATCAGTGAAGAGCTGCATCAAGGATCCTCTTCCTGACTTCGTCGCTGAAACTGGTGGCGACGACTTCCTGGTCCGTCATGACGTCCATTTCGGCATCAACGGCAGCTTCATAAGCCTTGACGACGTTGTCCTCGTCGACTCTCACTCCATCCTCGGCCAGGATCTTGATACACTCGGAGATGCGCGCGATTTCTCGTCTGGTGCCTTCTCCGATATCGTCATTTTGGCTCGAGTAGATGGCACTGCTGACAACGTCGTCGAGATTCGATATGCTGACGCCGCCGCTCATCCTGCCCTGATCTTCGACTTGTTCCATGTGCTTGCTCAGCCAGATGTATCCATTCACTCCGAGGATGACGTTGATGTCTCCACCGCTCTGAGCACCACTGTTGATAGTAAAGACCTGTCTGCGGCTGCGGACCACGCCTCCGCCGCCGCCGGTACCAGTGACGGCGAGGAACATTCCGTTTCGAAGCTTGCCGTATTTCAGACTTCGGGTATGTAGATTCGCCGTCCCGTCACTACTCCTCAGCTGTTGAACTTCCGCAACAAGTAAATCCCCTTCTTGGAAGTAGTTCCGCATTTGCAGTTCATCGGCAGTTGTGCGTCGTCTCAGGACACCTCCTGGGAGATTTATGGACGACAAGGGTAATTGCGCCAACAAGGGCGCCGCGACGTCCACTTTCCATTGGTTCTTCTGGACTTCCACTATACGGCCGACAACGAGATCGCCAATTTCGGGTGTATATCTTGCGCGAAGAGGCGCAACTGAGAGTAATTTGTTTGTCTTTTTCAGCGGGCCCGCAAGAGTCGCGATCATGGTGGTTGATTGCTCGGGCATGAAGGTGCCGTGTCCCCTATTACCTGCGTCAGTAGAATGTACCTCGAGTTTGCGCCGGGGCTGTGCGCACCTACCTCATCCACTGCGTATCATCCGTAATGACCTCTCCGGGCAGGGCTATCTGTCGAGACGAAGAGGACAGTCGGCGACGTTTTGACTGTCGGCTGCCTTCTTCTTGCACTGAGACATCGCTGTCCTGGTCGCCATCATCGTATGCATCAATTTGCACGTCCTCCTCTTCAGGTTCTGGGGGCAGTACAGCTAAGCCCATATTCGCAATTGCCTTTACAAAGTACGTTGAAGACTTGGGGGATTGCGAATCTAAGAGCAGTGAATTGGAGAATCCGGAAGAACTTCGGCGTCACACGTGACGATAAGAAAAGAAGCTTGGCATTTCTCTTATCGAGATTCTGAGAAAAACGCCGTCGCCATCGTTGAAGTCGTCAACAACATCACCATAAAACAAGACTCTCTCCTTAACTGCTTCGATTCGGGTCAAGCTTGTCTACTTCGACATCGCGATGGTACGCCATAAGAAAGACGGGTCCTCTTCCAAGGCCAAAAAGTTCTCTACCAAATCGCGGCATACGCCTCGCTCAACCCGAGAGCCGCGAGAAGGTGGCGAGGATGAAGCTGTTTCTGAACGCCCGCCTTTCAAAGCAGCATGCTGGGATTTCGGTCATTGCGACTCAAAGCGCTGTAGTGGTAAGAGACTCATGCATTTTGGTATGATGCGAGAGTTAGCCGTGGGTCAGAAATTTCCCGGTGTAGTCATCTCGTGAGTAGGCCTCGCTCCAGAGCTCTCTCGTCCTGTTGACAAAACATCCAGTCCCAACGCGAAACAGATCTTATCACCCGCAGACCGAGAATTACTTGAACAGCACGGCGCCGCCGTGGTCGAGTGTTCATGGGTCAGATTACAGGAAGTTCCATTTTCACGGATAGGAGGGAAATGCGAACGGCTTCTGCCCTATCTTGTCGCCGCCAATCCCGTCAACTATGGGAGGCCGTGGAGATTGAACTGCGTCGAAGCCCTTGCCGCATGCTTTTGCATTTGCGGTCACGACGACTGGGCCGAGATCATTTTGCAGCACTTTCCCTACGGTAAGCCGTTTCTCGAAATTAACTCCCAGCTCTTCAAACGATACGCCGCATGTCAGAATGAAGATGATATCAAGAAGGCCGAAGAAAAATGGCTCGCCAAGCTAGAGAAAGAGTATGCAGACAGTCGACTCAACAAAGACGCTGCTGGAGGGGAAGACGACTGGGCTGGCGGGAATATGAATAGGAGGGAGGTCTTTGAATCCGACGATGAAGATGCTGAACAAGGTGAAGACACGGATTCAAATGCAGATGATGAGCACGGCCCTCTGCACCAAGGCGTATCATTGGAATTGCCCCCTGATGAGGAAGATGAGGACGAAGAGGCCGAGATGGCCGAGATCCGCCGAAAAATCCTGGCCTCCAAGCCATTCACGGACAGCTTCCCCGCAGAACCACCAAAGAACGATGTCCAGCAGTCAAACAACAAGGAAATCGGTAACAGAAAGACCAAAATGACACTTACTCCGACAGAACAGCCACAGCAGCTGGTTGATTCGGACGCAGAATCAGGGTCGGTCGAGGAAGACTACGACGACTTTGACCAGATTGCGAATGCGACGCCAGTGACTGACCGCACGGGGATAGTTGCGCGCGAAAGGCAGAAGAAGCTCGAACAGGCAAGCGCATCATTTTCACGCACGCAGCTCTCGGCACCAAAAAGGTGGTAATACCCGAGGAACCTGATGTGTTAATTTGAAACGGGCTTGTTTGCAGGCCTAGAAGGTTTGAAAGTCTTACAGAGCAGCTCATCCTCGTGCCTTAGCATCCAGGGGATGCGTCAAGCCTTCACCACCATTCACCTCACAGATTTTGACATGCGGTATCGGTTTCAGAAGCACAAAATATGAGACCGCAGGAAATGAAAGGATACGCAGTACCGCAATTCAATGAACGAAAGCAACCAGGCCAGACCGGATTACTCAACAGATATCGATGCCTTGGCTCCTTTTAGCACCGCCGCTACAAGGCACTCCGAAAAAACACGCCGATGCCTTTGCAACTAGGGGTGCCATTTTCCTTTCTACTGATTGCCATCAACAAAGCAACCTGCCCTAACGCTCACAGCGAAAGATGACGTTGAATTCGCTTCGGCGGAGTTCGACCCTCGCTCGGTGTCAGACGTTCTTAAGCAATTAGCCGTCACCTCGCTGGCAATATTCCAAAACTCCAAAGTCGAGTTTGAAAACCAGGGCAGAAAATGGACGGACCAGACAGCCAGCGAATTATCATGCCAATAAAACAAGCAGCATCGACGTCTTCGTATAAAGCGGCAGTGAGGGAAGCTCCCAGTAGGTCAAGGTTCTTCTAGCATTATCATGCGTTCCCGGCACCAACGGTAGCTTTCTCCGTCTACCCATCAGCTCTGTATGGACAGGCTCGCAGATCCACATGCCAAAAGGCGAGAGTGGGCTAGAATTGCCCACCTCTTCAACCAACCTTTCGGGGGTTCATACGCATACACGGCACCTCTGATCTTACAGGCTTGGACGTTCTATCCATAGGAGGAAAAACGACGTTGGGAACCTGAAATATATGCCTAGTGTGCTATCATGAATACAGATCACCAGGGACCTTTGGAGGTCCTGTTCCGTCGAGCGTTTTTGGATGTGTAAGCGAAAGAGCTTCGAGGGCCAGGGTGGACCTGCAGCGGGCATAACTGCTTCAACTAGAAGTCGAGCCAAAAACATGGCGATCACTTGCCGAAACGGTAAGCTGAAGCACATCGTCGGTCAGGGAAGCTGCACAAGGGATGTTCCTTCCCGCGACGAGCCATTGCCGAAAGATTCTTGTCTCTATGAGGGACCTTCACTCTATGTCTGCGGATGGACAGAGCAGACGTGCAGTTGAATTTCGCAATGGAGCGAATCTTCGTTGGGACCTTTGGGCGATCTGGTGGTTGATCCGCTAGTGATCACGGAAGTGCTTGCTCCACCCCTCTGGACAGGTCGAGCTCCAAAGAAATGGCGGATGTTCTAGCCGCAGAACTCGCCCGATGAATCTTCTTTTTCTAGCGCTAGCAAAAGGCAAACGACTTGTGGGGCCTCGAATCGAAGAGGAGCTTGGAGTTGTGGCCGTGGCGAGGTCATGGCCTCCAAATCTCGCGTTCCTTCACCGAAGAAGGAAGTGTGGTCTCGTTAATTATTCCTCCACAAGAGGCTTCCGCTCCGGACTCGAGTGGACTGACCTTGAGTACCCCCCTTGACCCCGGTTCATGAAGGATGTCAACGGTCGCCCCCCCATACAAAATACAACTTCTCGTGCAAACTCGGTAACGGATCATTGCAGACGGGATATAGAGATAAAATGCCTTCCAGTCGACACGCTTCAGCCAACAGCGTGGAACTGTCTCCGCACAAGTGCACACAGTGAGGCATCAGGATCACAACATAAGAGACAGCCGCCGGCAAAGTAAGTGGCTACAATCCCGAAAGGTGGAATAGTCCCCAAGGCACCGCCATTTCCTCCCTCAATGAACGCTTTTGGAGCGACGATATAAACCATCCCACAGTCCCTTGGTCTTTCAGCGGGAGTAGAGAATGGCCGAGGCGCTCGTCCAAAATCATCAATGGCAAAAGAAGAAGAAAAAAATAGAAACAACGGAATTAGGGCGAGGCAACCGGTCGTAATCACCCAGGCGCCGACGATCGATGACCGGTAACCACAAGCCCGGGCCACGTCGACAGGTAGCTGTTGTATACGAGATCGCGGGAAGGCTGCTGGGCCTGTTGCTCCGGCGGCAATTGCGGCAGCAGAGCCATCTCCGGCATGCTGAAGGACATGGTGGACTGGCCATAGTATGGAGGGTGTGGTTGCAGCGTGGGGGACGTGCAGAGACTCATGTCGACGAAAGCATCGACGTCTAGGTGCGGTTCCATGACGTGCGCCTGGGTGTTAAAAAGGGGTTCGTCCTGAGAGCGCGTCCGATTCTTGGCGCGCTCCGATCGAGGTGCGGGCGAGAGCGAAGATGCCAGCTCAAACTGGGCCTTCATGTTAATCTCCTCGGACGGCGGTGTGCGAACAACGTCGGATTCTGAGGGTAGGTGGGTATTGGTGTTGGTGTTGGTGTTAGTGTTGGTGGTGATGGTTGTTTGCACCGGTTCGTTGGCTGCTTGAGGGCTGCTGCTGGACGCCGATCCGGTCGACACGACGGACTGCTTCTCCATGTCGTCGGTGTCATCCCGCGGAGTGATGGCGTGGAACCATCTCTGCGGCACCTGCCGTACGCCGTTGTAGGTGTTGTGCACCAATGGTTCTGTCTCCTTTGGAAAATTCAGCTCGTCGAACTCGGGCTTCATCAGGCCCAGCCCCTTCAAGATGTCATCCGTTGAGACCTCTCCTTTCGACTCGTCTGGGATGTCTCCCGGAAAGCCGGTTCTTCTTCGACAAGCCCAGTATAGTTGTTGGAGAGCAATGTCGGTCAATTCTCGCATTTGATAGTAACTAGGAAAAGGGATCATTGTTAGGACAAGTCTTCACCCGAACGATCCACGGATTGCTCTCTCACTAGTGTCTCGCCTCTCTTCGTCTGGCCGAGAAGACACACGGGCTGTCAGTGGCCCGGCAAGTTCTGCATGGCTGGTCTCCATCACACTGCGCAGGGTTAGCGAAAACAGTCTCTCATCATAGATTTGAGTGGGATGACCTTTGCCTTCTTGATCCTGCACCGATCACATCTGGGTTATAAAAGCACCTTCATCAGTATACCTTTTCGACAGTTCAGGCATCAACAATGCAGTACAGACTCGGCATGAAAAATAGAAGGGAGGCCACTTACGCACGCGAAGTCCTGCCGCGAGAAGTTCTTCGTCTCGGTTTGGTCGTCGGCCTCGTGTTGCCACTCGGTTTGGAGGCTATTTTCTGAGCCTTCATAACTGCAGACACGTCGCTCTTGTGAAAGCAGAACATGTACCCGTGGATTTTGAAGCTCAAGCTGTTGTGGGCGTATGCTCAGTCTCAATGTCCAAATGTCTCGACACGCGGTGGCACACAAGCCGCGCTAGAAACCAAGATATAATAAACAAACCCCAAGGAGGAAGCCCTATGACGGAGTTGCTTACAGGCCAGCTGCAAGGGTGTCTCGTATGCAGCAAAGATTTGCTGCGGCACATTTCATCTAGCAGCGACCAGCCCATTCTTCGACTAATGGTAGGTAGATCTGCAGCGCCCCAGAACTGTACATGCGTGGCTCGGTGGGTTGACGGGTGACCAACAGTCCTACCTATGATAGGTCGATAAGGGCAGAAACCACTTCTTACGTTGGGGTCTTGATACTCTCCCTTTTCCTCCCCAACCACTATCGTCCATTAGCACTAGGTAGGGGGGGAGGGCCTAGTTAGGAATGACGTAACCAGGAAAAGTTTGGAACAAAGAGAGGCCTTGGGACGCCAACAAAAAAAAATGCGGGGGAGATTGAAAAAAACAGATAGTAGGGGTAGAGCAGCACCGAAGTACCCGTGGTACCCGTCCTCGCCGTGTGTCTCCGGAACCATGTCAGACAGGCTGCTGACAAGGGTCTCGATAGGAACCAAGCTCCTTAGCGTACCTACCTGTATCCTTGCGAGGTAAGCACCGTAGTGGTAGAGTCGTCACATTCCCGAAGCATGACCTATTATGCGTAACAAGTACTCGGTACTTCCTCATAGGGTGGAGTCGATTACCCCTCCTTCACCCCCCCTTTGAGAGGCATGGTGGATCCCATACGTGATGACTAGCCAATGGGAGGAATCTGGGCGTCGGGGCAAAATGGCAAGTCTCCTGAGTGGGGCAGGAGCAGTGGCAGAAGCAGTAGCAGCAGCAGCAGCAGCAGCAGTGGTAGTAGTAGCAGCAGCAGTAGTAGTAGTAGCAGCAGCAGTAGTAGTAGTAGCAAGGAACAAGCGTAGTGTTTTCCGCCTTGCCTGTTTGCCACATTCCGCTCTCGATTTCCAATCCTTTTCGCACAGGACTTTGTCGCATTGTGCATTGGGCCGGACATGGGAGAGTTGGTGGGCTTCTGGGAAATCCCGGCGATGGCGGGTATCCACTCTTCTAATTCTCACTCCAAGTAGAATATCCATGTCATACCCCGAGCATCGACACCGAGACGAAAGGAAACGAGGAATCACAGTAGTACTACTCCGTCGGACTCGGGGAGGTTGTCGCAGACCCTCTCGCCTGGAGATAACTTCCAGCGCGCGAGGGTGATCGGCAGGCAGTGCTTTCACGTCTCCAGGGAAGATCAGCCTCTTTGGAAATACACAGCGAGGTAAGGAACATGGTCGATCGCGGGTGTTTTCTCCTGGCGTGTGTGGAAATGGTGACTCCGGACCTCGTATATCCCACGCTTGTGGTTCTTTTTATTGGACATGTCTGGCGGCTGAACCAACGCCGTTCCACTCCATCCCTCCCGGAAGAAACTTCCTGCCATCTCTGCTGCGTTCGTGCACGCTCACAGCCAGGCACTGATCCGCATTGCATGTGAGGAATCCTCGGCCGGATATGGTGACGAAAGTGGTGACAACGTGCTCCCACATCATCTCCCCCCCTTCAACCCCACACACATGTGCTGGATCAAGCTATACAAAGAAAGCTTTGAGATCATTCGTGATCGTGCGCTTGAATAGCCACCCCTTTGTTTAAAGGTTAAAACCATGTCAACAATAGACCCTATGACTTTGGACACCGAGTTTGCGACTTCACCTACAGTGGCCGACCAGCCGGACGTGTGGCAGCTTCCACTATCCACGCATTTTCGATACAATCAAGAACTCAGCCAAGGGACGCCTGTTTTCGACGACAATGATCCCTTCTTCACCAGTTCGCCCGGCCTGGACATGCAAAGGCCTCTGCCTGAGTTCGTGCAGCCTCAGGCCCTGTATCCTCACGATCTGGAGAGATCGACTTCCCCTGCAAGTCAAGCTTCTCAGTCAAGAAGAACAAGTTCCAGAGACTCGACGACCAGCTCCGTTTCGCTGAGCCACCAGCAACTCCTCCGGCGCATGTCCCTGGCCACAACAGACTTGAACGACAACTCTTACCGGCCCAGGAACACCCCGGCTCGGCGGAAGAAAAGCACGACCGGCCGCATTGCTCCACGCTCGGAAAAGCACGCTCGAGAGCTGGAGCTGAACCGCAGAGCCGCGACCAAATGCCGGAATCGGCAAAAGGCGTTTGTCGAGCAGCTGCAGCAGCGGTGCCGCAAGGAGGAAGAGAAAATGCAGATGCAGACCTCGCTTGTCTCGGCGCTGCACGACGAGGTTGTTGCGTTGAGAAACGAGGTCTTGCGCCAAAGCTTTTGCGACTGCCACTTCTTGTCTGGCGCATCGACAGCCATGCTCTCGTGACACAAGAAGGCGCTGCTGTGGCGCTATGCTCGAGGTGGCAAGCTGCCTCAAAACAAACAGCACAGCGCCCGCCCCCCCAGCCACAGGTGACTTTATGGCCCCTTGACATCAATCAACAAAGGGACCCAGCTCCTCCAATTACCCAGATGCCATCGATTCGAGAACCCTGTCAATCTTTTATTGAAACATCCCCTGATCCAATCGATCAGCCGGGGGTCTCAAAAAGACCACAGTATCAGACCAAGACCAACAGGTAACGCTCCACGATTCCAAGTGCGAGGAAGATTTGTTTTTTCTTTTTTTTTTTTTCTTTCTTTTTTTTTCGACAGGGAGACACGTAGGCGAGCTGGCGCAGCGCACGGAATTCTCGCTGAAGGGAACGAGGGCGGCAAAGGGGGAGGGCGTTCAAGAAAGGCGTCAACCCTACACCCACCCCTCTGGCCTAGTAGTTTTTTTTTTAATTGCATTTGTGTGTGTCCACATATCTACCACCACTATTTTGTCTGTTGCTAGCAACCCGTAGCATCTATCGTTCCCGGTCCTCGGCCGAAACAGAATGATTTTCGAGTCGTGACCTGCGTTATGTACTTGTTCGCCTCTGTGCAGACCACCCGGGTTCACTTCATTCGTTCGACAACACCCCATTCCACATTTGCCGACATTCGTTCTCTGTCCATTCACTCAGCCCAAGCCACGCTATTTGATTTTAGAACCAGTTCGAGGCCTAATCCAACATACATACATACATACATACATACATACATACATAGTGACATGGCTCGAGTTTTTCGTCTACAGTCTCGAAGCGGGCTTTTCCTTCTTCACCTCGTCCCTCAAGATGCGTTTCAGAATCTTGCCGCTGGCGTTCTTGGGGATCACGTCCCTGAACCGCACCCCGCCTTCCAGCCGCTTGTACTTGGCCAGCCGCTGGGCCACCCAGTCGTAGACGTGCTTCTCCGTCAGATCCTGGGGCGCCGTGCCGGGTCTGCGCACCACGTAGGCACGCGGGGCCTCGCCGTCGAGTTCGGTGGCGGCGGCGACGCCGATGACGGCCGCGTCGACGATGGCCGGGTGCGTCAGCAGGACGCCCTCGATCTCAGGCGGCGCGACCTGGAATCCGCGGACCTTGATCAGCTCCTTCTTCCGGTCCACCACGTACCACAGCTTGGTCTCGCCGTCGCAGTACATCATATCCCCGGTGCGGTAAAACCCGTCTTCGTCGAAAGACTCCTTGTTGGCCGGCGGGTTGTTGAAGTAGCCTTTGATCACGGTCGGGCCCCTGGCGCACATCTCCCCCACGACGTCGTAGCCCGTGACGTCTCTCCCCTCGTCGTCCACCAGCTTCAGGTCCATGCCGGGGATTGCCCGCCCGACCGAGCCCGTCCGGTCGTCTTCGGGCCACCGGAAGTGCGTGAGAATGCACGAAACCTCCGTCATGCCGTAGACCTGTGCGAATGGGGCGCCTGGGCCCAAATACGGCTTGATTGCTGCCTGGGTCTCCTTGCTCAGGGGCGCCGCGCCCGCAAGGCCGTGCCGTATCGTCTTCAGCGAGTACTTCTTAAGGAGCGGAGACATGGCGATGGCCACGGCCATGGCTGACACGACGTAGAATTCCGTCACTTTGTACTTCTCTATGTTCGCCAGGAATGGCTCCAACTCGAACCGCCTCATGACGTACGCGGTCTCGCCGAGCTTCAGCGTTGAGGTGTGACATCGCGGGGCGATGGCTGCGTGGAACATCGGCGTCGGATACAAATTGATTGGTTCGTAGTTCTTTTGGTACACCATAGGGCTGTACAAGAGCTCGTGCTGGGCAATGAGATTTTGGTGTGAAGTTATTGTGGCTTTGGGCAGGCCAGTTGTTCCAGAGCTCGTCAATCGAGCAGCCGTCGCGTTTGCACAGGTGTCGAGATCGTCGAAGCGCACCCAGTCGCCTTCGCCATGCTGCATTAGGTCTGTCCAGCTCGTGAATCCTTCCGGCACGGACTGGTGGGGCTGTGTGTTGAAGATGCGGACATTTGCCTGGGGGATTCCCTTGTCCCTGGCTGCTTGCAGTAGAGAATCGAGTAATTCCGGCTCACTGATGAGGAAGCTGGCCTTGGTAATGTCGACGTGGTGCCGCAATTCGTGGGGTGTGTAGCCTGGATTCGTCCCAGCGAATACTGCCCCAGCACCAACAATAGCTAGAAAGAGTATTGGATAGTAAATGTCGTTGAAGGAGTGGATGAGGACACAGTCACCCCTTTTCACCCCAGCCTTGCGGAGACCGCCAATCAATTGACGAATGATCTTCCGGGCCTGAAGGTGCGATATGGAGCGATTTGGATTTGTTGCGTCGATGAAGATCTAAGGGTTCGTGTCGTGAGCAACAACGTCATGTGAAAAGAGCAAAGTGTTCTTGGCCATTCACCGAGCGATGTAAGATACTTACCGGTTTGTTGACGTCGTATTTTGGCTCATCGAAGATCCACGAGCAGATGTCTTTGGTGGGTATCTCGGGGGTTTCCCCCGCTGCGAGAAAGACCATAACTGACTGACACCAAATAGCAGAGACGTAACGCTCTTACGAAGGCAGAAGATGCTGTGCGATGTGAAATTGTCGCCCAACGTCAGAGTGCACAGGAATGAGACGATCAAATCAGCCTCGGTTGTTGCTGGAGCTAACCACAAACTCGATTGGGAAGATAGACCAGGTCCCCATTCACAATTAGATCTTCGGCGCGGAAATACCAGGGTCGAATGCAGAAGACTGACCAAAATGAATTCGACGAGGTAGTGTCAGCAGAAAAGCACCGGTATGGAAGATCCTGGGATCAATCAATGGTATAAATACTGGCGACTCTGGGGCCACGGGCTGAGATCAGTTTGAAAAGACCATCCCAATGCCCCAAGATTAATATTATAGCTCAGGTACCAGGTCCACAGGAAGTTGGCGGCCTAAAAACGAGGCTGACACAACCCCAGACTTTGGTTCACAAGAGCTGATGATCCAGCTCTCTCGATTAGCGACGGAAGATACAGTATGTACCTAGGGCCTTCGTCAGAAGTATCAGATGCACAAGTCATAAGGCACCTACATAGTTTCATTGTGGAATATACTGTACTGTTTGTGTACGAGTACTCTTCTTTGGAGGGCTTCGGGGTGAGGGTGTTACCACTAGCAATGATTAGCGCTTATCTTCGTTGCATATGTACCCAGGCGCTGATATAAGCCAAGGGGGCGGGGGGGGGCCGGGGGGATTACTCCGTGTCCACGTCCCTTGGAAAAATTACCCCAGAATACCTCGGTGTCACCAGGTCGAGAGCGGGCTCAGAAATGTCTTCTCAGGATGCTCGTCCATGAAGCGTGTCGCTACGAAGTCCCGAATCTGGTCAAAAATCCAGGACCAGCCACGCCGGGCATAGTCTATCGATCTTCTGCCGTTCCACATAGGGATCATTACATAGTAGATTCCTCCGTCTTGAGGGCTGCCCGCATATGAATGGGATACGAGAGTGTGATTGCTGACATTGGTAAATGGCTCCATTTCCTGGAACTTGAAGGCGGATGTATTCCGTGACCTCTCTGGTTTGCTTACAACGACTTCACGAACCAGATGGTGCCGGAATCTCTGCCTTTCTCAGCACTGACCCCGTTGTCAATCACATAGGGGAAACGAGAAAATCCTACGCGAGGATAAAATCTTCCTGCGTCGTCGTTCGCTGCTGCCATGAGCAGATGGACACCTCTTGCACCTCGCTCCTTAGCCACACCGCAAAACTGCTCAATCAAGCGCCGGCCCCAGCCTTGCTTTTGATATGGGGTTAATATATCGATGTGTATATGCGCTGGCCATTGCTCCATCAGTCGAGGATATTCTGTATGTAGCATCGAGTGTGGACTGAACATGATTTGTCTGAGTGCGTTTGGTAGATTTTCATTCCAGCCGGTCTGCTCGTCAGGCCCCGGCTGTTCAAACCCCTGTGACTGCAGATACGGAGTATATGTGTCCTTATACTTTTGCACAAACGAGACGGTGTCCGGAACGCCGAGCAGGTATCCTACTGCATGACCGTTACCATCATCGAGAACGAAGCAGCTGTCCGGTGCTAGCATCAGATAGGGACGACACCATAGGAACGAGGCATAATGCAGACCCGGGTCGCCTGCACTGCGCAGATCTGGCGCGGCGGTCTCACGAAACTGCATCCATGTTAGAAGTGGTCATTCCATTGGCTCTGATTGGCGAACAATATGGATCATTGCATCCTTGTCTGACTCCTGGTACATACGGATGAAGGCCATTCCGAGCTTCTGCGCAGGCGAAAGTGACAAAGAGTGGAAGCGGTCCTAGCGACAATATTCGAGTTGATCGGTGGGCATCATGAGTACGAGAAGCACAGGACTACTCTAGGCGCCCATATAAACACAGAGACTGAGTCACAGTCCACAGTGACCTGCCATCTTGAGCTTCGGACTGAGGCGGTCAGGTTGCAATGGGATGCAGCGAGTGTTGAGTTACGGCGCGGATTGTCGGATAAAATCTGGTGGTCTGGGCAGTCTGGAGATGCCGACAAAGAGCCGAAGTTTATCCTCGAAAGCGGAAGGTGAACCGATGATAACTTGTCAAGACCTGTCAGGACTTGGACTTGTCCAACACAGACTGCACGGAGGAGTCGCTTTCTCCTTTTCACCTTCGAGTAGCATGTTCAGCCTGGAGACATACGCACTGCTTTCATAGCAACCATTCTGTCCTCGTTCGGGAGTTACTCTTTGTGCGCCAAGTATACCATAGCTTTCTTCTACTTAGCTTGGGTGCCCTTGTGATGATGTTGACACACGACTGAAACGAGAGAACAGCAGCTTTTCCGACGTCACTCGCACGCGCCACTCCATACCCTGAGGGATTGATATATATCTATCTATCTGCTTTCAGCCTGAACATCTCCTTGAATTTCATGCTGTCCAAACAGCGGCTCTTTGAGCAGCGGGCGACGGGCAACCCTTGACTTTCTGCAATTTCAAATGGTTTGTTGCGGCTCCGATTTTCAGGGGCAGGGTACTGGCAGACCAGCATCACAGGGAGATTGAAATCCTCAAACCAGAGCTCCATTGGTTGTGACCTGAACCATTGCAATATTACTGCAACTGGTTTCAAGAGGACTCAGACCACTGCCCGAGAAACAACCGATCGACGGAATGCAGTATTATTATCATGGGGTCCACGTCTTCATTGCGGGGGCTCGCTGTGTTTACTTCTAATTTGCGTACCCCGGTTGGGCGTCACCGCCGTCTAGGATGTGTTACCATGAAAAACTATAGCACTGCATTCACTCCTTCGTCTCTTCAAGACGGGCATGTCCTTTTCCCCAACACCGCCTCTCAAACCTCACGACTAAATCTATTGGTAGATATCGGGTCCTTCTCCAATCAGGTGCATTTTGGGTACAGAGGTCACTGATTGTTCAGAGAGGCAATCGGACCACGAAATTAGCACGGGGAGAACCCCTTCCCTGCACGAGGGCATTCTTCCTGCCATGCCCGTTTACCCGTTTTGATGTTCGGACAACTCTCCAAGCCTCTCTGGGCTGCTTTTTCAGGTCTGATTCCTTTGTCGCTGTCATGACCGATCACGTGAAGGACATCCTGGATGCTTGTATTGCCGTGTTCGAACTGGCCTGGCAAGGATTTCGAAATGCGCACAAACGTAGACGTACCCATCAAACCAAGGCCTTTTCTATTTCATTTGTACCGTGTTCAAGGACACAGAGAGCAGCTCGGCGGCTTATTCGTCTCGAATGATGGGCCGCTTGATCCGAGCATACATGCGTAGGACAGCCTGGACGGCTAAAAGTCCAATGAGGATGCCGATTTCCCTTCTTCCTGATGTGGATCAATGATCAGCCGGTGTTCTCCATCAGATCGGGCTTGTTTGCTTGGCTACGCAAGGAATTGACCGCGTCTTGATCCTATGTACTCCTCATCATCGGTCTTCACGTAGCGATATCGATGTACAGAACACCAGGTATTTTCACATGGGAGTCGCTGTGATAGATTCTCAACAACACCACCAACCCAACTCAACTTCTCCGTCCTCACCGCCTCCATTATATACATACTCGTACACAGCTCCACTAAAAATCTCAGATTCGACCGCCACCGACTCTCAACCACGATGGTGGAAAAGACTTCCCCAACAATGATGACAACAACAACAACAGCATCATCATCAACGCTGTCAATATCAACCAATGGACCCAGCCACGTCCCTCGTCGCTCGGGCTTCGGCACCGAGGGGTGGAGGGAAGATCCACCGGCTGGCCGGATTTGATGTGGTACGAGGAAAAAGATTCTTAACCATATCCACCTTTTGTGCGAAACCTTATCGGCGGGTCCAGCGGGTGGCTGCATACATCGTTCTTCCTAGCATTTGGTCTTTGTTCATGAGGAAGAGGAGGGGGGGAAAGACGAAACGACTTTTTTCTCTTTTCACTAGTTTCTTTTTTCTTTCTGAGTCACCGGCCACAGCACCAAATGCCCACCGCCACCAGTTCCCAAAATCCAATGCTTGGACTTGCAACTCCGGAACTAGCCAGTAGTAAGTTCCAGAACTTTCAGGCTTCGCGGGCCCTTTTGGGCGCGAGAAGTGGGAGTCTGAATGGGACGATTGCCTCTTCCGGAATACTCGCCTTGTGCACCAAAAATACCACGCGGCCCGCCTACGGCGTCCAAGGCAGGTATTTTCTTGTTCGTGTCTTTGCGTGAGTGGTGCTATGGGGAAATACCCTGCTGCCGTGACAGACAGACGGCACAGACACACACGCACACACACAGAGAGAGAGAGGGAGACAGCGTAGGCCAACAGATTAGGAGAGAAATATATCGATAGGTAGAAAAAGAACGCCCTACAACGCGCAGCCATGCGTTCACAGCGGCCTGCGCGCCGCGGGATGAACCACGGGAGACACTCAGGTCTGTACTCCGTACATGATTGTACGCTGTGCTCTGTGGCGTCCTGTACGCACTCTAGGTAATACGGAGTCCAGAGATCTTCCCCGGCCCCGTGCAGCCGTACATACGGCGAGCGGGGTGAGTTGGATCGAAAAGAGCCTTTGGTCTACGCACCGAGGAAAGATGAAGACGAGGAGGACGAGGAACAAGCAGGGGAAATCGGTTTCGGTCTTTGCTTGGAATGGGAGATTGGTATTGTCCATTTGTTCCCTGATACTATCCACTTTGTTCAATTAGGGACCTAATATGTCCTTGTCTGTCTATCAATCTGTCTGCGACAGCCTGCCCAATTACGGGGATATTGCTCCCCCATTTCCTCCTCCTTTCCTTTCCTTTCCTTGCATTCTTCATCCTTCCTCCTCCATCCTCCATCCTCCATCCTCGTGCACATTTCGTATGCGCGCGAGAAAAATCTCCAGAGTATCAAATCACCAAGGGACGGTGTAGAGAAGGTGGTTTTGCGCGTGTCGGTCGAGTGAAGGAGCGAGGACAACAGGTGTAGAGTGCTAAAGCCTCATCCAATGGCCTGTGACTGATCGCTGCCCCCCCTCAATGGCTCACTCGCAAAAGTCCCGGCTCTATGTTTCTCGTCACCTGGTTCTGCGGCTAGATTCCCGGGCTTCCGTCCGTCCGGTCATCGATCTTGTTGCCATAGACATGAGGGTTCTTCGAGGGTAATTTGTCCGCTTCAACGTTTTGTTTTTGTTGGGGACAATCTCAGAAGATCCATCTTCCATTTTGCAAGCCCGTATGGAGAGCCTGGGATCTGCGCGATCATCAAAGGCGGGGTGCGTGGCATCCGCCAGCCGGTGTGTCGCTTGCTGCGTGTTGTGTGTGGGGGGTATCATTGAAACTAGTAGGAAAGTCGTCAACATCAAAGGGTCGTATATCGTGATAGGTCTCCAGTGAGATGGGACACAGGTGTAGAGTGCTGAGCCTCATCCAATAGCCTGCGGCGTTCATCTCACGGGCCTTCGCGATTCCGTCCTCGTCAACGCCAATCCGCCCAGGTCTTCCTGCCCATCCTCCAGATCCAGCGGAAACCCGTAGTCGTCGACCAGTTCCATCTCCGCGTCCGTCGACCGCTGCGCGTGGTCCGACGACGACGATGACCGTTTTCGCTCTTGCGGCATCAGGTACTTCTCGTCTGTGGGTGATGTTTGGCGTTCTCGCTCTGTTCGCGCGATGTCTTGGAGAAGTAACTCTAGCAGGTGGTCATGGCTGAGTTTCAGTCGTAGATCCTCCCGGACCTGCTTGTCCGACGACTTTCTGCGTGCAGTGTCGGCCAGGTGATATGTTTCTTCGCGAGACAGACGCCGTGTTGGTGTCAGGTCACGTGAAGGCGGTCTGCTGAGTGGTTCCATCATTGATAGAGGCATCTTGTGCTTTGTAAGCGGGTTTAGGCGTTTTTGGGGGGGTTGTTTTGTTACTTTGGTGTAGGAGAGAGACACTCGGTATATGAGTGTGCCTGTGTAAGTTGAAAAGTTTTGCTGTGGATACTGAGTCAAGAAAAAATCGGGCTGAGAAGGCGGTGGGTTCTGATTTTGTTGTATCCAAATAATAGTGTCGATGGGGCGTTGGAGCCTCGCTGTGACATGTGAAGGCTGAAACTCGGATGAATTTTTAATCTTGTCGTCACGGGGTCTTTGATCTTGATGCTCGTGTTCGGGCCTTTGGTTGATGGCAAAACGTTTTCCGACGACCCGTAAGTCTGTTTCCTTTCCCTTTGGGAATGCGTTGTTCTCTGAGGGAAGAAGTTTTCCACTAGACCAACACGATGTTGCAAGCTGTATATTATATCACTTACTTATGCAGGCTACGGAATATAGTTTCACGGATGCCTGAGTCACACAGCCCATTCTATGGCAATTATCGCCGTGGGAACCATATTTCTCCACCGGGCTGTAGCAGTGCGTATTCGTAAGGTGCATTCAGTAAACCCGGGGCCCGAGACGGACGCAAAGGCAGCGCTGCGTAGATACGCGGACGGGCGTACGAGAAGAGCGAGTCCAAGGCGCAGGACTTGTCAGCGGCCATTGCCAATCTAGCCGAGAAATAATCCATCAATCAAATCAGAAAAGCCTTTTGACTCACGCCTAGCGAACCCAAGAGTGGCAGGGCTGAGGGATTGGCTGCTGCCTTCTCACGCAATGCCAGGTGGCCAGGACGAGGCGTTTGAATTGGTCCGTCGGATGCAAAATGCCGTTTGGGCAAGTCTTGGGTGTCGCAACCTTCACCGCATGGAGAAGGGAATGGCCAAAGAGGCCGCGGGCTTGGAGCCGATATCCGGAGATTGTCGACTGGTTCGTCTTCGGCCGAAGAGGTGGACTTTGTTAGGTAAACGACCACCGCTCACCAGGCTTAACACCATGGGCTTATGGGGCCTTATGGTGGCTTATTGCCGTTCCTCGCGCTTGATGACAGATTCCCGTGATGCACCCTGGATCCCTTTAAAATGAACTGCACGCCCTGCGCCCTCTCTGAAGACGTGTTGGACCCTCTGGGCAAGTCGATGACATTTAGCCATCTCCCTGTGCCAGACCAAACTCCCGGCGAGAACTCAGTGATGCGCTCAATGTGCTGTACCACCACCCCGCTGTTGCGGCGTGTCACTTCTGAACGGGTTACTGAGTGAACTCCTTATTCACTCCTCTGTTTCGTGTAGGTATGATCATCCGAGAACGGGATGCTATACAGTCAGCTGCCTCACATTTCGTTTTGGCGGAGATGGGTGGGCGCCCAGAAGGAACAGTTGCGGACCCAAACCATCTCCTCGGCCCCGTCCCAATTATTACTGCCTTGGCTCGCTATAATAATTATAATCTGTGCCGAGTCCCCTTGTGCCCCGGCTCTGGACACTTCCGAGGAAGCAATACGAAACACGAGGGGACCGAAAAACAGGATTTGATATCGTTGCTTACTACAAACCCGGGGATTAGGTCAGATGATCGCATTTGTACACACCATCTCGCCATGTATTTGTTATCTGATTCTTCCCTGTACGAGATACGGTGCAGGCAAAGGCTGTTTGCCACAAAAGGGAAAAGTGTTAGCTGGGGCAACTGGGGCATTGTTCCCAATGCTCCGGGCCCCAGTTCGTCGGTGCAGCCACTCTGCGCCCATCCCAGAACGCATAACGTTGGGTGAAGGACAAAAGACTTACACTGCAGGGTCGAGAATAATGTGTTGCACGAACGACTTGCGGCTGGACTGCGCCTCGGACGAACACAGAACTCCTTACCTGACATTGGTGTCTTGATATTTCTGGCTGTCTAGTTGTCTACATGAGCATGTCACGTGCCGTTACCCTGAGAGGAAGGACTTGCCCCTTTTGGCTATCGTGGTGTTACAGGGCGTCATCAGCGCGGCATCGTCTGCGCCTTGTCACAGATGAATTTTTCAAAGGGTTCTTGTCTGTGTATATCGGCTCTAGACGCGTGAAAGGTTACTTCTGCGCCGCGAACAGGGCGACTTCGTTCGAATCTGACGGTCAAATGTCAGTTGCAAGACAAAAGGGCGGCGAATTGCACCAAAGGCCCATGGGTGCCTTTTGGTCAATGTACCACTATGATCTCGCTGCTTGATATCATCCACACCGACAAACTTGTCCCAAGGGCCTCCATCGCGGTAAGCGGCGCACCAAGGAGGCTAAACCTGTCGGGAAAGGGTCGAATACAGGGTCAAGCCGAAGAATCTTCTCTGGGTTGCAACCACCCGAGTAAATCATTTGAATCTCCCAAGAGTGCATTCATCACGACCAGATTGTAGCTAGACCACTGGGATCTTCGGCAACGTGCCTTTCCTCCCGAACCATATCTGTGAGGCTTGGCCTATATCGCCGTTGGGAGATACGCATATCGTCCGTCGTGTCCAGATAATTCACTGGATTTCATGACTTGACTTCGTCGCTCTTGGGGGCTTTGTTGTCGCTTTCCAAACTTCCCTCATCGTCAATCGGTCTTCCTTGACTGATAATGCTTGCACGCCGTTGCTTTGCAGCCTCCTCCCTCTGCAAAAACCTTTCTTGCTCCCTTCGGCTCTTCTTCAGATCCACAAAGAAGAACAACAGCAAGAAACTCAGCCCGGTCAGCCCGAACAGGAAATAAAACGGCAGGCTATTGTTTCCCTTCGGGTCGGCATCGATGATAGCGCTGCTCACAATTGGTCCGATGAATGCGCTCGTCTTCCCCATGATCGAGTATAAGCTGAAGAACAAAAACTCTGTAAACCCGTGTTAGCTGTGGCAATCGGAGTTGTCTAACAGGAAGAGCATCGTGCAATTGCGAAACAGTCTCGCATGGACTTGAGGGCACTTTACCTTTGCCGCGAGGGGTAACCTCGCTGATCATCGTTTAAGAATATGCATACCACTGGCACACGAACAGGCCGTAGAAGGCTTGATATACCCAGAACTCCCACTCGTGGTGAAAGCCGAATGACTGCGACCAAATACCTATGACACCCCAGCCATCAAGAAGGAGTACACCAAGCATCACTGCATTGAACATTGTTTTGGTGCTGAATCCGTAACGTTTTTGAATGAGCCAGGAAGCAAGAATGCCGGCATCTTGAGCCGCGATCCCCACAATCAGGAGGTAAGTTAATGTCAGCGTATTGTAGGAGACGACCGAATTTTGCTGAGTAGCAATTACGGTGACCGTCGTGTTCAATGAATCGCCTAGCAGGAAATATCCTACAATTTGCATTAGTCCGTCAGATTTCAATAGCGGAAGAACAGAGGGACACTAACCAATAAGATACAGCAGGCTCTGCTTCAGCTCCCAGATTTGGACCAAGGCACGCCAAATATTCCAAAAGCCAACGCTGACGATGTTTGTCCCAGGCGGGAGTTTTTGACCAGGTCGCCTCTTCTCCAGGATGAACCAGGGGATGGCAAGCACGATCCAGACGCCCGTTGCATATGCAATGAGAACTGAAAGGCCCCACAGATTGTTTGCAGCACTAGCATTGACATCCAAAGCGAATAGTATTCCGACTACCAAGACCGACGAGTTAGCGTTATTCGCCCATGTTGGCCAGCCAGCAGTACTGGCCGTGGAACCTTTGCCATTGAGGGTGGGTCATAGGTCCGATAACCAAATCCCGGAAGCAAGGACACTTACCCAGCACAGCAAGAATGACGATTTCCCCAGCACTTTGCATGATAAATGCGATTGCGCTCCATCATGTCCGCAAAGTCATACTCATCTCTGCTGATCTCTCTATTCTCATGTTGTACCGCCTTGCCTCTCTCATTTCGGGCATATTTCTTGCCAGCCCGGGAAAAGCTGGACAATCTCTTGTTAGGGCGGTCTAGAAGAGCGAAACTGGGGGCTGGAGCTTACCAGCTGTCCAAAAGGTGATGCACATTTGATATGCAATCAAGAGTTGGCTTCACTACCACACAAGTCATGTGACTGTCACTGCCTCTAGTGTGTCACTGCCCCTAGTGCATCATATATCTACCGCCTATTGCTTTGTTCATAGTTCCATAGTTGTATGCTACATAAGTTTGCTACCAGGATCAACTTCAAGCCGACCATTAGCCGCTACCTCATTAACAGCTTCGTTCTAAATCGGAATGATCTTTGAGCCATAAAATGAACTTACTAATAAGCCCAACGCTCCCATTTCGAAGTCTTATATTTTGGATCGAATTGATCTGGGCCAACAGGGCGGTCTTCCTCAAGGCCACCAGGGGTGGTGAACTCGACATCTTTCTTTGGATCTTCTGCCTCTGGTGCCGCGGCAGCCGCTATTATTCCAGCATTTGCGACAGACATGTTGGCCCACACGAGAAAGGCTCTCAAAGGCAAGTTCAACCCCGCCGCCAGAGGTCCTGTTGAGCTTGGGGAAATAAATTGCTATATAACGGGGCAAGCGGCAAATACGCCATCGTCGGCGATCTCCCGCTGGATGGACATGGGATAGGAGGCGAGGGTTAGAATGGGTATGACGAGAAGCACCAAACAAGCAACACAAGGGCGACATGGTCGATTGCTGCTGCAATGCCTAATGGCCGACCATCACGAGTGGTCTAGAGGGGAGTGACTAGTCGCCGTGAAAATGTCAGAGTTGCAGTGGGTGAAGAAAGCGGGTATGGCCGCCCATTCACAGGGCCCTTACAAGGAGCCTTTTTTTTTTATTTGCCAAGTGGCTGTCTAGGGGCGCAAGATAAGCTCCGAAGTTTTGACAGCCCTGATCGCCCCTTGGGACTACATCCTGTAGGTAAGGCTCAGAGAGAGAAGGGCGCAATAAGTGTAAGGAAGATATATTATCAATTTAATCTTGCGTGTAGCTGTGTATGCCGAGGTTGAGAATCATATGGAGCGCCGAGCCGGGCACAGAGAATCTGGTTTACCAAGTGGATTATTGCAAGAGAGAGAGAGGGCACCATGGATGTTATCTGTTCAAACCAGCTGATGAGAAAGTGACCGGGAACGGAAAATAGCTGTTCCTGTACGAGGGATCCTCGCAACGCATGCTGCCCATGACCTTTGCACGTGACAGGCGCCGGGGAGGCCGCACACGGTTCATGCCCAACTTACTGGGTACATCATCGGTCACCTTTGACAACAAAGACCCTCGAATTCAATCAAGCTCTAACGAACCAGAAGCAGAGCTCGGCTACAGCGGTGCCCTGTCGATCCTGGTGATAGGGTCAAACACACCCAATTTCTGGAACGTGGCTCGAGCCGTGTCTGGGATCGACGATGGCTGTCGGGGGTCTGTGTGCCTTTTCCGCAGGGGACAAGCAGCGTGGTACCCAGTAAGGTGTACTGGGTACGAGACTCTGTTTTGGGAAGTCCTGATGTTTTCATCTTTCTATCCAGGTCCAGTTCACGTATCGATCATCAAAGAACTATTGTTAGTCGTATTCTTTGCATATACTCCCAATAACGCATTTCAACATGATCACCACGACCTCGAACGTTCTGGCCTGGGGACGGCGACCCGCGTGAGGGGTGGATATTTCTGGGAAGGGCCCTTGGGGCTGATGACATGAAAATCATGATGCGGTAATAGGAGGCCCCAAATCGACGATTGGACAGTTGGAAAGTTCCAGACCATTTTGCAACTTTGGCCGATTGCGTCCCAAGATCCAGATCACGGCAGACCTCCCAGGACGCCGAGGACCACATTCGGCCCGCCGGCGGCCACATCAGGTGCTGACGCTTGGCACGGGCTCAGAGCTTCATCTGCGATTTCACATGGTGGCGCCCGATCTGTGTGCCCTTTCCACCCTTCCTCCAAGGCTCTGGAGATCGAGCCAAACAAAGACTTCGCTCCTCCCATTACCACACACCACTTGCCCACCTGGCGCTGCGGGAAGCAACAATGGCGAGCGCTACTCCTTCACCTGGCGTGGTCATGATTTCCTGTTTCTCACCTCCTCATGATCCTCTTCGACGCTGTGTAAAGCCAGCCAACTCCCTCTCGCCGCGTTTCAATTTCGATCTCGTCCGCCGAAGCCTTGTCGGCATCGAGCCAATCCTCCACCATCCGAGAAAGCGCTTCAAACTTCCCTCTCTGCAGGACCAATACCGATTAGCCCACCGAACCACTCCCACGCCGCAGCGACAACCAGATACGACCTTTCATTGTCTGGTTGACTTGACACCTTTCCACCACGGCGCGAGAGCGATGTCGCAACATGCCGGACTCGCACAAATCATTGGGACAGTCACCTAAGAGGGCCCTCTCTTCAACGACCAGTAGCAATCCCCGCCGTTCTCATCCGTCACAATCCAAGTCGCTCCCAAAGAATAAGAAGGTCAAGATCGATCACAATCTCCAAGGGTCGGGGGAGAAGGTGTCTCTGGATCAGGCAGAGGTGGCTCCGAGTCTTCCGCAGGGAGAAAGTCGTGACTCGAGCAGTGACCAGAGCGCAGCCAAGTGGTTTGCAAGCAAAAACGAGAATGTGGTCGACTCCCTGAACAAGAGAGGTTCGCAAGAGAGTAGGAAGATCCTCTGCTGCCGCAGGCCCTGCTGCCTGCCGCCTTTGCTAATATGCGATAGATGAATCACCTTTCTACCTTACCAATCAGAGCACTTACCGCCCGCCTAAGAATCTCCGCTCGCACAATGCAGAGAGCTTCGGCCCGCGGCCGCGAGATGATACCGAGAACGATGAATTACGGGGGGTCATTGACGATCTCACCGTCGAGAACAAGAAATTGAAGCATCTACTTCGGAATTGGCAGGCTCGGTCAAGTCCCACCAGCAGTAACCCCGACAGAGTGGTGGAGGTTCGGTTGCATGGACTACCGGCCGAGAAGAAGAGGGAGCTGGAAGATATACTGAAGAAGTTTGCCACCGGGCTCACCGGAGATTCTTCATCGCAACCAAGTTCATCAGGCCCGCTTGAAAAGTCGGCCTCCAGTACGGGATACGCTGCGTTTCCGGCGCAGAGGGTCCCCCTGGACCCTAACAATACAGACTCTGGTTATGCCTCCATCTCGAACTCTGGATTGAACTCCACGTCGCAGTCTAGTGGTCTAAGACTACGCGAACCCGTGTCAAAGAGCAAAAAGGAAACAGACATCGAGAATTATTTGCACGACATTCCCGACTCGCTCTTCCCGCGGGAGACTGTCTCTGTCAGCGACAACGCCAAGATGGTGTTGGTGGTGCAGAGGTTGGAGCAGCTCTTCACGGGAAAGAGAGCAGCACCGGGAGAGCATAGCTTGCCTGTCCAGCAACAAAAGATCTCCCGTTCTGCCGCCAAGGCCGATCGGCGTGAGGATCAAAGGCTCAAGCGAGCGTTGAGAGTGGAAGGCTCTCGTGAAGCCCATATCTTGCCTCACGATTCCAAGATCAATTTCGATATCATGGACGCCAGTGGTCAGCCCCCGGGGACTCAATCCGGATCCGATCAATCGTCAGCGGAGGGAAGAGGCATCCCGGCCTCGGAACGCCCCGGCTCCCCAGATCAGCGGCCCACTCGGCCATTGGATCTTGACATTCATCGCGCGCAAACCGCCGCCGATAACATTGACTATATTCGACATCTGGGCTTATCGTCGCCTCAATTCGAAGACAACGCTGAAGGCAAAGAGCAACCCTGGTTGTATCTGAATCTGCTTGTGAGTATGGCTCAGCTGCATACGCTCAATGTGACGCCGGCCTTTATTCGTAAGGCCGTCAAACAGCTCAGCACCAAGTTTGAGTTGTCGAAAGACGGACACAAGATACGGTGGATCGGGCGGGCCCCTCAAGCTGAATACGTCAACCGAGAGAGTCCAGAGGGTGCGCCACACCGCATCTCTGAGGATACCGGCGACGACGCCGGCCGTCAAAGTGGTAGGAGCGCTACCAGTACACTCAACGAAGTATCCAACTCCGCCTCAGTTTCAGATGACAAAGTCCAGAGAGGAAAGCTAAGTGGCACCTCCAACCTGGTCAATTCTACGACAACATCTTCGAACCACGTGCCCGGCCATCAGCCAGCAACCCAATCCAAGTCCACGTCTGCGTTCGATTATAAACCTATCGTGTTTCAAGGGAAGAGGACCTTTCTGAAGGCCAAAAACTCATACCTGGATTCGTCGAGTTCGCATGGTGGTAAGTCGCCCAATTCTACCGGTCTGGTCCGTGCGCTCAGTCGATCGAGCCTCAAGCCCAGAGAAGATACCTATGAAGGCTATATGACATTCTTCAACAATCCCTACTTCTTCACAGATCTGAGTGGTGATAAATCTCCCACAAACGCCAGAGCGAGCGGGTATAAAGGGCCTCGGGATACTTTGGGTATCGTCAAGAAGCGGCCACTCGCAGACGACACCCTGCGAGACGCCAAAGCTTGTTATTTCCTGTCTCCCTGGCCACAAACACGCAGCAGCTGGCCTCAAAATTGTCCAGAGATGGACATATCTCTTTCACCCATCAACTCTGCAGGGGAAGATGAGACACTGCCGCTAGAGTTTGAAGCCTCTGGTCTTGGGGGTGTCCGACCTGAAGATAACTTTGCGCTCGACGTTCAAATCGCGAGAAAGCGCCAGAGACTTGACAATGGTGATGGCAAGAGGACAATCCGGCAGAAGCGGCCTGCACAATACTCCTACCAGGTTGTAAATTGCACGACGCTGAGCCTGCAGCCTTCGCGATTGCCACCGCCAAGCTATGTCTTCTTCACGGCGAGCTCATCGTCCAGCGCGGGGAAAGGGTACTATGACGAGGATGACAGCGATGAGTCCTCTGAAGCGGAATATTCTCCCGCGCCAGCTGGATTTCTATGGCAATGGTCGTCGAGTTCAAATGGACGACCAGGCGAGGACGATGGCTCGGTGGCAAGTTCTTCCCTTGGCGTGCTGGAAGCAGCGCGAGCCAGAATTCCACTACCTGGCGCCACAAATGAGTTGGGCAGGACTACGAGCGGCAGCCTCGCTGCCACTGCCGGAGCAAGTTGGAGTGCCGCTTCCAACGCCGCTGAGGGAGACTTTGGCAATGGCCAAGACGGAAACTCTTCAGACGAGATGAGCGTGGACCATGAAGTTTGAAGCTTCATTCCAAGGTGATGGGTTGGGAAATTGCTTCACCTGGGTGTATAATGAAATGGCAATCGGACAATACGTCCGAATGAAGAGCATGGCGTTGGCGGACTCTGCTATATGAAAAGCCCTGCGATTTACTCGTGATTTGGTGGTGTTCATTCAGTGTTGGATAACCTGACGTATCTGTATATACGAAGTGTAGCAAAGTGGCAGCATCATGTCCAAGATACCCTTGATGAGATATGTGTGAAAAGACAATTCGAATAGATTTTTCAACTCTAACCATCCATTGATGACGGTCTTGCTGCTAAGCAACGTTTTCTCGACCTCTTTTCTCGTCTGGGCCTGTTGCATCGGATGGGATGTTTGCGGGTTTTCTCGGGGGTTGGGAAAGGCCTCGAGGGGTTCCTGGCTATGACTTCACCCGCGACGCTTATTACCCCCCGGATCCGAGTTGCTTAAGGGCATCGGAAAAGTCACCTAGTCCTTAGCGTCGTAAGCCTCACTAGCCCCCTGTTCCCCCCCCATCGCCCCCTGGTCGCCTGCTGGCATTCCGCATGCCTGCCAATATGTCGGCGACACCAGCGGCCTTCGTCTGCTCCGTCTCCATCGGATCCGTACCTCTCACTGCGCTGCCTCGATCCAGCGGCAATGATTCCGGGGTGCTTTACCGATCCCGCGCTGGCAATGATATCTCCGCTTTAAACAAGCCGAGCTGCTCAGCATGTTGATCTCCTCAACTCCTTTTCCTGCCCCTGCTCTCACTGCTGTTGCTGGCGATTGTTATCCTTTCACTTGTTGTGTGATTTCCCAAGTTTTTCTCACTCCCAAGACTTCAGCGAATGCTTAGCTGCATCTCTTGCTGAAAGGCAGTGAAAACCAAGCCTTCATCATGTCATCCTTCCTCGAGTCCTCTCTCCGCATCCCCTCCAAAGCATCGAGAAGTTGGCGAACAGCGAGGTACTTTACACGCGATCAACGGAAGGTGAGTAAGACCGCCACAAGCAAGGGAAACCCCATCAATCATTTACGGAACATTCCTATTGACGGCCTGTCTTGTTTGAGCGTCAACAGCAAAACCTCCTCTTCGCCCGCTCGTTTTCGTCGACCCTCCGCCGCCATGAAATCAACAAAGTCGTCCCCTCCGCTGCTGAAGCGATCAAGGACATGAAGTCCAACTCCACCCTCTTGTGTGGTGGGTTTGGACTTTGCGGCGTCCCCGACACTCTGATCAACGAGGTTGCGAAAACACCCTCCATCACCGGTCTTACGGCGGTCTCGAACAATGCCGGCATCCCCGGTGCCGGTCTCGGCCAGTTATTGGAGACCAAGCAAGTGAGGAAAATGATTGCCAGCTACGTCGGCGAGAACAGAGTGCTCGAGCAGATGTACTTGACTGGAGAGATGGAACTGGAACTTACACCCCAGGGGACATTGGCTGAACGCTGTGCAGCGGGCGGCAAAGGAATTCCTGCATTCTACACACCAGCTGCATTTGGCACGGTCGTACAGACGGGTGAGATTCCACTGAGGCACAACAAGGATGGCAGTATTGCACAATTCGGAAAACCTAGGGATGTCAAGGTGTTCAACGGGAAGTCATATGTCATGGAAGAAGCCATTGCGGGTGACTACGCGTTCGTGAAAGCGCACAAGGCTGACAAGCTCGGCAACTGCCAATTCCGCCTCGCGGCCAACAACTTCAACGGCGCCATGGGCCGCAATGCCAAAGTCACCATTGTGGAAGCCGAACACATTGTTGAGGTTGGCGAGATTGATCCTGTCGCTGTGCATTTACCGGGCATCTACGTGAGCAAAGTGATCCAAGCAACGGCCGAGAAGAAGATCGAGAAATACGTCAACCGCAAAGAAGAGGGCGCCGACGTCAAAGACAGTCTTGGGAAGGGTGAAGCCGCCTCGAAGCGCGAACTGATTGTGAGACGTGCCGCGAAGGAGTTCCAAAACGGCATGTACGCCAATTTGGGCATCGGTATGCCTATGTTGGCCCCGTCGTTCGTGGATTCATCAGTTGAAGTCCAGTTACAATCTGAGAACGGCATCCTTGGTCTCGGCCCCTATCCGCGCAAGGGTGAGGAAGATCCTGATCTCATCAACGCCGGCAAGGAAACCGTCACTCTGCTCCCAGGTGCCTCTTGCTTCGGATCAGAGGAATCATTCGGTATGATCCGTTCCGGCCGCATAGATATGTCTATGTTGGGTGCGATGCAGGTGTCCGCAAGAGGTGATCTGGCAAATTGGATGTTACCCGGCAAAGTTAAGGGCTTCGGTGGAGCGATGGACTTGGTGAGCAATCCAGAAAAGACAAAGGTGGTGGCATTGATGGAGCACACGGATAAGAAGGGGAACCCCAAGATTCTCAAGCAGTGTGAATTCCCACTCACAGGAAGGGCGTGTGTCTCAAGAATTATTACAGAATTGGTGAGTTGCTCTTTCTCTCCTGATTTGAACAACACACCGGAAGAAGTCAAATTATCCATTTGCTAACATTGGTTGCCTTTTACCTACAGTGCGTCTTCGACGTGGACTTCACCCACGGTCTCACGCTTATTGAACTCGCGGACGGGGTCACCGTCGAGGAGGTCAAGGCTAAGACCGAGGCGCCTTTCAAGGTCGCGGATAATATTAAACCTATGCTCTAGACGCCCATCTCGTTGCCCACGACGTGTGCGGAGAGACAGTAGAGACGTCATCAAAAATAGAAGAGGGCAATGCGGAATGTTTCTACAAAGGGCCACAATTTGATCTGAGAGCTGTTCAACGAAATTCTGACTCGGAACAGTCCATGCATTGTTTTGATTTTCAGCTTGAGGAAAGGTCGTCAAGTTGACTGCCAGTTAAAACTGGATCCGGAGCTGGAGCAGGAATGCAACTCGCGCAATTGAGGGTCTAATAGCTCCTCGGAAGGGATGTCGACAGCCAACCTATCAAGGGGCAGAAGACTGGTAGCTGGCGCAGCGCTGAGACATGGACAGGAACAGGACTCCGCCAGTCTCAACTTAGACATTTGAATGTCCCTGCTCAAAAAGGGGGGCGAGAGATAGGGAAAAGCGAAAGTTTTGAAAATCGAGCATATCGAATTTTTGGCGGGGATCAAGCGTGATATGTATTTATGTATTCAGACCTAATGTTAGTTTTTCAACAAGTGCATTTCAAGCCTATTAGGTATCTAAGGCTGCTGTAACCAGCACCTCAGTCATCAAACCAAGAGCTAGACGCTGCGTGCTTGTCCTTCCCTTCTTTTTTCGCTCTCCACGACTTCGTGGACCCTTTCGTCTCGGCTTCGGTCTTGCGCATCGTCCCGCGCCCCAACCAGAAGCCCTGATACGCATGTGCACGCGTTGAGCCGGGCAGGACCCGAACGACTGCTGGCTGAGCGACATACCGGTGCCTAACACCCGCCACGACCACGGGGTGGGCAGCTGCCTTGGTCGTGGTCGTGCTGGTGCCGCTGGAAGCCGTCGCCGGGCGGAGGCGCTCATACGCGTCTGAGGCATGGCGATAGAAAGGCGAGGCAGCACCGGCACCAGCAGGAGTCGAGTCCGTGGAATAATGCGAAGACGACCACACGCGCGAGCAGGGGAAGGGGGAAGGCGGGGAGGAAGAGAAGGGGTTTCCACCGGCTTCGTCCCTGTACTCGTCGCTGTGCGAGCGGTTTCTGATGAACTCGGCCAGTTGCTCTGTCGTGCGCACGTGCGGGGGCAGATCTTGCTGCTGCACGAAGCTGTCATGCAGCCTGCCCGTGCCGTTGTCGTAGCAGATGCTGACTGATGTGAGGCTGTCGTTTCGATCTAACGCTTTAGCGCCAGGAGGAGGAGGCGGCGGCGGCGGCGGCGGCAGAGGTCCACTTGGGCGGAAGTCGTAACTGGCAGCAGTTACTGGCCTCGAAGGAGAAGAAGGGACATTGATTTCAGCTGCGTTAGAGGCACCTCCACCTCCGTCGCCGCCGCCGCCGAAGGACTTACCTCTTCTAGCGAGTTCCGAGAATCTGAAAGGCATGAGTAAATTGAGTTTAATGTTTTTGCTTCAGAGACCCTTGAGCGGGCTTGAGAAACTTTCAAAGCGTGGGTGTGGTGGTGGTGGTGGTAGCAGTAGCAGCAGTAGTAGTTTTGGTAGGAATTGGTGGAAGACTCTGGGCATTGGAATCTCTTTTCCATAGGAAGGGAGGGAAGGACGTATGAAGAAAAGAACGAAGCAAAGGCAGATAGATAGAGTCCTTCCCGAGAAAACAATGCCCTCTTTGTGTTTCATTATTACAGAGGCAGTAGAGACGGAGTATTTCTTTCACTCTCTGAACAAAAGAATGTCGTTTCGCTCCTTTTGTTTGGTGCAATGGCCACCACGTGCATCGAGTATGTAGTCGCTTTGACAAAGAACATGGCAATCTTCCCAGAAGCCTCCAAGGGCCAAGGCTTCCTGAATGGCGGGTGGTATACCGAGTAGCTTGTCTGCCTTCTGTGCGACGTCGCTAAATCACCGCAACAATTTGCGAGGTAACTAATTATATTTCAGGTCAGCGAACGGTGGAAGGGTTCGGTCGGATGTCCTCGATGGCCCTTCCCTTGCCCTTCCCCAGCTCGGCGTAATCATTTTGCGGGGGACAACGGGGCTGAGCGGTTCAGGGTAAATGAGACCCACTAAACAGCTATCATAATTGGCCCGCCAAGGGTCCGGCCAACCCTTTTCACAACCCCGACCGAGGCATCTTCCACCTCTTTCACCGAGCACGGGTCGACAGAGGTTTCAGTGTTCAGCGGTACACAGTTTTGTGCCTCTGGGCCTTGACTGGGATCCCGGACTAGGCACTGACGGCATCTGATCATGGCACTGAACCCCGCTCGACATCCAGTCATAAATATGCTCATCTCCGTAGGATTCCAGTTCTCCTTGATTACTATCCTCCTTTCTTGATATATTTCGCCCTGTGCTCGTCTTTTATTTTGGGACAATGGCAAGGCCAGGCCCACTTGACCGCGCCAGTCGCGTTGCTGTAGGTGCCCTCACCCTCCCCATCAGCCTCGTTCACCGTGCCGCGACGGAACCACTTCTTACCGGAACTGTGCTGGCTGCTCTTACAAGAGCACCTGTTCAATACCGGGCGCGTCTCTTAAAGCTCCTGGGGGATGCTGGTCTGTCCCCTGAGCGTATCGCACTCCTCATCAAATCGTTGAAGTACCTGCTTGCCATTGGCCTCGTCCGAAAGCTCAACCAGACACTCACCAGACTTGCTCTCAACCACTGGCATGTCTTTAGGAAGCCAGGTGCACCATTCCGCTGGGACAGGCAGACGGAGCTCGTGGTAGTGACCGGAGGATGTTCTGGCTTCGGGTACGAGATGGTAAAAGGGTTTTCGAAACATGCGAGAGTTGTCATCCTCGATATCTCTCCACTGCCTGAGGAGTTGAGGAAGCGTAAAGTCCTTCGTCACCCCCATCATAGATAGCCTGCTCACGCAAATACTTTAGTTCCCGGCGTCGACTACTACCAAGTCGACTTGACAGATTTCTCCGCGATTGAGTCAGTCGCGGAGACGATCCGTAGAGAACATGGTGATCCGACAGTCCTTGTAAACAACGCCGGCATCGGTGAGCCTTCCCGGTCGTCTTCTCCTTTCAAGGAACACGATTCGCTGACCAGAGAGCCTTGCAGCGAACGGCACCAAAATCATAAATAGCGATGCGAAGTTGACCGACAGGATCTTCAAAGTCAACATCGGGTGTCACTTCATTCTGATCAAGGAGTTCTTACCTGGGATGCTGAGAGCAAAGAAAGGTCATGTCGTGACCATTGCATCAATGGCCAGCTTCTACGCAACACCGGGTCTCGTCGATTATTGCTGCACAAAGGTTGGGGCACTCTTTCTCCATGAAGGTGAGCTTTCCGAACACTCCGAGCCCTACCGGTGAGCGAGATTGACCATGGCACAGGCCTGCGATCGGAGCTCCGAGGATACTACGAGAACGGCAAGTGCATCCAAACCACCTCCGTTCATCCATCCTGGCATGCAACTGGCATCGTGAAACCCGTTGCGGCCAAATTGGAGCAGCTCGGAATCAAGTGTGATCCGGCGTCGAACGTGAGCGACGCGGTCATCGAACAGGTTTTGGCGGGAAGGAGCGGCCAGATCTTCGTGCCAAGGACAGAGGAAGGCAGGGCAGGGCTGAGGAACTGGCCGTTGTGGTTGCAAGATGCGGTTCTCCATCTTCAGAGAAGAGTGCATAACTTTGACGTGTCATGGGACTGAACATGAAGGAAAAGAGCTGGCAGGATCCGTGTTCTGAGTTGCAATATGTCCTGTTTTGAGGGGGGAGGGAGGTGTTTGGGATTTAGTAATCTCTCTCTGGATACTGTATCTTCTCTCGATTTACCTCGTATTGCTTTCGGTCCTGGTGGCCGTGGGAAGATATTAATAAGCATTGACGCCGCCCCTTCTTTCCTATTTAGGATGGATCACGAAACCACCTCAATCCTGCGAAATGAGTGTAATTCCCACCCCAGGTTTGGTGGCTAAGCCGCGGCAGGTGTAGCTTTTCTGCAACAAGCCTAATGCAAGCACCAGCAAAACTCCACCATTAGTGTTGCTTTTTTCCAACATCCCTCCATCACACCATCACTCCCTCCATCCCCATCGAATCATCTGCTTCTCTCCTGTCAGCTGCTCCATTCGACGCGGATAAGAATTCGAAAGATGAGTGGCTTTTTGCAGAATCCCATGTCGCCGGAAGCCAGGCAAATCCGCTGGACCCAGCCAATGGCCTTTCCTCACTTCCGCGGTGGTTGATTAGCTCGAAAAAGGTGGCTCTTGGGTCTCTTTCCTGTGAGCGCTAACTCTAAGGACGTGTTGACATGGCTGGCTGGTTGTCTTGTCCAACCTCTCCTCCTTTTGACCAGAACCCCAGACAGGGGTCGCTCTCGAGCTCGATTCTCCTGTCTACAAGTATTTGGTAGGCTGGCCTTACTTCGACAAACGCACAGACCGTTACCTGATTTGGGCGTGTGCATGGCGCGTCATCCCTGATGTTGTGCAACTTGGTACATGAGTCTACACTCGTTCCAGGTAAGTTCAAAATGGACGTGGCAGATTTTAGTTCGAAAACGACGGTAGGCAACCCTCCACGGCAGTCTGATCTTCAGAAACAACGACGATCCGTTCATTGCTATTCGTCTTGGGACTTCCTTGACCTTTTCGGTTGAGCTCTCCGTGGGGCTGCCCGGGCAAACAAAAGGTCCTGTGCAATGTCTCGCAGAGGCATAGCGGTCTTGAAGAATCTCCCAAAGTGGTCATCAGCAGTTTCTCTCCATCTGTCACTATTATCTAGACGCCGAGCGAGCGAACTGCTCTGGTACAAGGACCAAGGCGTGGAAGCTCGGAGGGAACTAGTACCACTCCTAAGTTTCGCTCTAATTTTAGTCTCGTGTTGCTTGATCTTTCTTCAGACCCATCTTGCCATCTCCTCGAGCTATCGGATGGCTTTGGTGGCGTCTGGCTCCTGCGCGGGACTGCACCACTTCGTTTTGAATCTCGACTCTGGAGGGATTGGATATCACCGGAAGTCCTAATATTTGACCCTGGTGAGAACGAAACGAGGGGCATCCAGAGAGACTTCAATGATCCACTTTGCCCGGCCCGGACTTGGCCACTCTGAAGCACAGCTTCACCGACGTCTGTTATTTGCGACGAGTTGATATCGAAGCGGTCATGCAGGTACCATAAGACACCTCATGGTGCCGGACAGAAAGGTTGCGCAACGTTTACCGCATCATACAAAGGACGGCTTCCAATGGCCCCCTCAAAGCCGTTGGGAGTTATATCTCCCGAAGATCAAACCGGCCTGATCCTCATTTTGACCGCATTGTCACTCTGCTTCGTTCTTGTCGCCTTTGCAATCCGCCTCTATATTCGAGTTCCCCAGAGATTGTGGAAGCGGGATGACCACGTTTTGACAGCTGCCACAGTAAGTTTTAACACCTGCACGCGAAAGTGGTACAAAAAGGTCCTAACGCCCTTTTGGGTCTTCTCCATTGTTCAGACATCGCTCGTCTTCTACGCCGTTCATCTGGGCCTGGGACAGCAGAAGGTATTCGAGGGCCATTCGCCCAACAGCGATTTGGTCAAGAAGGTACGAAAGCAGAGTCAACATGAGAGGAATGATGTGCTGAAATGGAAACCAGTACTATTTTACCAATGACTTCTTCTACCTCATCGTTCTGCTTTTCTCCAAGCTGGCTGTTTGCTTTCTCTTCCTACGGTTGACGCGCCGGCGAGGACATATCATCGCAATCTACACGACCATCGGGCTCTGCGGTGGCTGGTTTCTGCTGTCCATCCTTTTGATCAGTATTGGCTCTTCATGGGACCGGGCCTTTTCCACGCCGGTAATGTTTCAACCCATTCACCCAAGTCCAGGAACCGTCAAGTTGACTTTGGTCGAAACAGTTTGGCAGGTGGCTCGCTGTCGGCATCACGGATTCAATTACGGAGCTGATCTTTGTCCTGTTCGCGGCTTTCCTGGTCAGCGACCTGCGTATGAGCAAGGTTCAGAAAGCCACTGTGGTGTTTGCATTTGCTCTTCGGCTTCTGTGAGTGATGATCTGTTCCTGAACCAACATCTGTTGGCACTGCTTCTGACATACAATGCTTCATTTTAGGGCGGTCCCTGCCTGCGGAATCCGTCTGTACTACCTCGACCCTTCCACTTTGTCCGGTAACCGCAACCTGGCCCTCTCGTTGGCCATAGTCTGCACGCAGATCCAACTTGGCTACGGGGTGATGGCAGCCTCAATCACTGTCTTGAAGCCTTTCATGGCCGTCTACGAGAAGCCCATGGGCTACACGGGCTATTCCAACCATCCGGCCAAGGGCTACGCGACCAACAACAGCGGGCACCTGTCTTTCAAGATGCAGCCCGTTTCACGGTCCGAAAAGGTCATGCCGGATGGATTAGCCTCGCATGCAGTGAATTTCGACCCTAACCAACCCACATTCTCGTCGCGCATCCCAACAGCGCAGAAGGAGAAGAAAGGAAGCAACGGACACGAAAAGAGTGACAGCATACACAGCCATGACAGTCGGCGCTTGATTATTGAGCGCAAGACGGATTGGTCTATCAGGTATGAAGAGGCGGAGAGCCACAAGAGCAATTTCAGCGAGGGTGCTGCATCTGTCTCTGATCGTTGAAGCGGGCCGCGCGCATATACAAGACAGACAAACGGACCTCTTGGGCGGGAACGGCAGAGTTGGAGTTCTCACGACTTGTAACCTTATCTACAGCATGGATCTTAGGCAGCTGGGCGGGACGGGACAGGATGGGAATGGAAGGGAATGGAATGGAACAGCAATCAGGGAACTCACAGCCCTCAAAATGGGGCGTCACAAAATATACAGATCCCCCTGTGTGCTTTTTTCTACTGCATACCCCGGGGTAGAACTGAGGATTTAGGCGCCTAATCATTCATCTAACGGGGGTAACGAGTATGTATTGCAAGACATACACAGGGTACAAATGACGAGTGCTATGTGGGAATGGACACGACGGATCGGCCAGGCACCAGGTACACGGGATTAGATGACAGGACGGCAGGACGGATAAAATTCTTTGCAGCAACAACGTACATGACTTAACACAATCAATGTCCAGAGTATGCCCCCAGGTTTGTCGACGAAGTTGCTTTTTGTCGTCTCTTATCTCTTTGTTGTATGTATGTATGTACATGTCTTTTCTTTTTCTGGAAGGGGCTGGTGAAAGGGGGCTGTCTTGTTATCTGAGACTGTCTATTCTACTTATGCTAACCACGGTTCCTCGTTTCTAATGTGTACTGCTTCAGTGTGTACATGGGTAGTGGAAGGACGTGATACATGTGTACCCGTACAGTACTTTAAGCCTTCTTGTCTGTCTGGCTGGCTGGCTGCCTTCCTTTCTTGCTGGGCCCCAGTCTACAATCGGCGACGGCGGACAGGAAGAGAGCAGTGGAGCACATACAAGTACACAGCTACGAGTCGGCATAAGGTGGAGTGCAGTATGTATTCCCTAGTTAGTGCTCGCCATGTATGCCGGAGAGACTAGTTAAAGTGGAAACCGGAATCAAGCGTCGCAAGTAGATCCTCTTTTGCTTCCTTCTGTTCCTTTCCTCCCCTTCACCTCCCATCCGCCCCGTTCATCCTTGCCGTCGTTCCATCCACACCACCAACACGGGGGGGATTTTCCCAACGAGGAGCGCTCGCGCGAAAAGTGGGCACGCACCTACAGTAGTCGTGTACCTGTCAGGGAGGTATGTGGGACTCCGTACTCGGCACTTGGAGCTAACTGTCTACTTACGACTAGGTACGAACGATAGGTGGGTAGAAGGACAGCGCAGGGTTTCTCTGGCAAACTCGACCTCAACGGACGTTGTCTCTACCATGGCCGACGGCCACTCCATACCTGCAATATGTACGTAGGTACCAAACATGGGCTACCGTAAGCGAGCCAGCGAAGAAGGAAAGAAGGAAGGAATACAAGTCGTTATTGTCTTATTGCAATTAGTCTAGATACTCTGTAAAAGGATCACTGGAGCTAGGAAGCTCGGTGGAAGGGGGCGCGCGCGAGAGACAGATGGTGTTTTGTTCCTTGCAATGCACCTGATATCTTTATCGCGGGCTTCTCGTGCTGCTGCGGAACATACAGTACCAAGTACATATTTACACACGCGGAGAGCAGGAGGGATCTAGACTGCCCTGGCCCCTTCTGCCGCCAAGTGATGAATTCAAAATTGTGGACCTCTTTCGCTTACCGCAGCTCGTCTGTGACTTCTTGTCCTTCCGCATCGTGCTCGAGGGTTAACGGCAGGGCAATTCGGTTAGTGCTGCGTGTTCTTGTTGCTGTACCTGCAGTACCTACTACATGGCTGATCTCTCATCTTTCACCTCCTTGTTTCTTGAATGTCGTTTTTTTTTTTGTTTTTTTGGGTTCTCCTACTCCCTTTCGAAATCGAATCACCCTCGCCCGCTGTTTCAGCTGGTGTTGTGGGAGTGACGGGCACTCAATTCAACGGGGGTTCATGCACGGTCGAGGCGCTCACGGTGGCTTGGGCTGAAGCGGGAAGTTAAAGAGAGCTACTGCGAATTTACTAGGTTACAAGGAAAGCCCAGCCTAGCTGAGAAAAGGGGAGAAAAAGCGAAAGAAAAGCTTTGGAGAAACAGGGTATGCATCTGCCATTTTGGTCTCCCCCTTTTTCCCTGCGCAAAGGCTAGAAGGCAAACATTTTGACTTCTGAGAGCTTTGAGGACACCACGTAGTAGGTAGTGTATTAGCCTGCAGTTGAAGGTTTAGGTTTTGGCAATGGCAGCAGGACTATGTACTAGTGGCCTCTCAGACATAGGGCAGAAGCCCTTCCATGATGTAGGTGCCCTCAGAGGCCTCCCCTGTAAAGCGCCGTTTCATTTTGATGACGATACAATTATACCCCTTTTGCGTGGCATTCCCTCCATTTGAAAAGGATTGAGAACTGAGAAAAAGTGATTTGAATACCTAATCTGAGGCCCCGAATGTGTCCACAAGCCCATTTAGTTCCTACCCTCCACGGTCACGACGGGTCCAGTGTAGACCTTCCTCCCTTGAACCACGTAGAACACTCCAGAGATGATCATGACACCAAAGAACAGTACGACCGACCAGTTAAAGGACTCGGCGTCCACAGGGGTGCCATTGGGCCAGAAACTCCAGAAGAAGGCAAAGAGAGAGTAAAAGATGCTGAAGATGTTGATCGGCACTCCCCATTTGCCTAGACTCCAGCGTGCCTTGGGCATTAATTCAGGATGATACACGCGACGGTATAGCACGCACGTGATAGAGATGGTGTAAGAGAACATGAGCGCGCAGACCTGTACCGAGATGATAGCGTTGAAGGCAGCCGAGGAACCGATGTTGATGATGGCAAGGAGACAGCTGATGATGCAGGTCAACGATACGGCGTTGGCGGGGATGTGTAACTTTGGGTGAACAGCGCCGATCCAGCGGGAGAACGGGAGACCCTCGTCGCGGGCGAAGGCGAAGGTTTGACGCGAGGTGGATGCATTGAAAGAGATGTTGGAAGCGATGACCAAGATGAGGATAAGAATGGTCAGGGCGTTGACGCCACCAGTGGACAACGATTGGCGGAAGATCCAGATAAAGGGATATCCAGTCGGATCGTTGAGAGCACCGTCAACGTCGGTCAAGGCGAAGTTGTAAGTGATGATGAGCACCAGGCCGAGGATCCCGTTCGACACGTAAGCCCAGAACATGGCGTTGGGGACATTGCGACCAGCATCCTTCACTTCTTCAGCCATGTGCGCTGTGCAATCAGAGCAGAGGGATCCGTAAATGGCCGAAATCTGCCCAACCATTAGGGCGAGGCCCATGCTAGACCAACCTCCTTCGTTGGTAAATTGAGTAAAGGCGACCTTGGCGGAATTTCGAGGCGCCATTACCCAAAGGACAATGATAACCGCTGCGAATATATGTTAGCGCTTGAACAGTCTCCGGACTGTATACCAGATGATCTTCCCAAACAAGAGACGAGACTCACCGAAGAATCCAAATACATGCACAATAAGGAGCACATTTTGGATAAGAGGTAGATCGCGTGCCCCCCACGTATTGGCGACAAAGAGGACGAGAACCATGGCGAACACTAACAATGTCCCTTGCCATGCCGTTGGTTCATAGTCTGGATTGTTGATCTGGATCAGAGCCTGGATGATGGTTCCAGTTAAGAAAGAGCCTGACGCTGTTCCAGCTTGCCAACTTAACGAACTCATCCAACCTGTCAAATAGCTCAGAGTCTTCTGATACTTTGGCGGAGCGAATTCAGACACCCAATGGTATTGACCGCCACTCGTCGGGGCCCTAGATGTGTTAGAGACTGACTGGGGGGGGCTGATGTAGGAGGGCCATACATAGACGCCATCTCAGCAAGAGAAGTCATCACGATGCCAAAACCAAAAAAGGTCCAGACATAAGTCCAGAAAAATCCAGCAATGCCGCCATCGACCAAAACTTGGGTGTTTGCGCTAGGAGACGGCTTTTAGAAACTTGATGGAAAAAAAAGCATAGATCTGCCATGGCCGGCTGATTGACGACTTACATCAACAGGAATTCCCAGGTCGCTTGCAAGAGGGCAGTAAATGCCAAAGCAGAAAGAGGCCGAAAGTTGCGTATCAGTTCTTGACGTTTGCCCAAGCGTTGCATTTCCCTCTGATCCTTGGTCGTGTACCCTTTGTCGAGAATGCCAACATCGTTGTAGCAGCCCTCATCTTCGACACCGTCGAAAGAAGCCAGCTCTCTAGCTGTCAGGGACGAGTCCGGCACCTTGTCTAGAGTCATGTTGAAAACGTATGTCTATTCCAACGAACAGGCGCGAGGACCATAGGGAGAGTAAAGTGGACGAAAGGGAAAAAACACAATTGAAGATGATTCGACTTCGATCAGGAAGGAAGATGGGTTTGCATCTACCAGCAACATGTGGGAGCCACTCACACATACATTCACTCTAGGAGATCGGATTCTTCCCGACCTTCATACTACAGTAGTAGCGTGGCAAGCAAAAGGTGGGCATATCTGCAGGAGCCCACGTTGGGGGCATCTGAGGATTGAGGCGAATTAGCGAACAAGGGTCGGCGAGAAGAGGCAGGGATCAGCTCTGCATGAGTACTCGGTACCTCTGGCGTTCTCTGGCGGTCTCCAGCACTCACCAAATCCATCTCCGAATAGGTAAGGAGTCGGGTCTCCATTAGGATGCATGGTTCTCCTAGTCGACCGTCGGATGTGGGCAGCGGGACCTACGATCGCACCTTGATAGCAACGTATCTTGCGTGTTGAGTGGTCTGCGATTCTGCTGATTCGCCTTGGTGGAGATTGAAGCCTGTGCCCCGCTCTTCAGCAAAGCAATGGCATTTCGTCGTGTCTATTTTGAAGTGGAGGTCATGGTGGTGCGAGAAGCTTGATGGACTTGAAATCTCCTTTGCTGATCCCTCAGGAAGCTGGTTGTGCCTATCTGTATACACAAATCTCCTGCCCCGTAATCGTCATGGCTAATTAAGTTGATTCAAAAGCGGAAAAGGAAGCAGACCCGAAACCTGAAAGCTTGCTGCAAGCCACAGAAAAAAGCCATAGACCAAAACCCCTTGGAGGCAGGGTTTGGATATTTGAACCGAGTCGACAAAATAGAGATGTTTTGACATCGGTTACGGCGGTGTCTGTTAAAGTTCTGCCAAGGCGCTAACATAATGAAGGTCGGCGTTCCGAAAATTCGCATTCAATCTTGCGACAAGACTGTTGCTCATTGCGTCTGTGGCAGAGGAGCTTGAGTATACCTTGCCCAGAGCACCGGTAGTGCCAATTCTCTGTCTCGAGTGCGATCCTCCGATCCTCGCCAAAATGGCCCAAGGACAAGTCAAAAAGTCATCAAACCCCTCCTCAAACAAACTCTCGACCTCTGGAGGAATCACCAAGAAAGGCTCGCGGACCATAACGCCAAAAAAAGCGAAGTTGTTGAAGCAAGCCAAGATTAACAAGAAGTACACCGCAGGGCTTACCGCGAAGACAGAGGCCATGCTGGGCGCGCGTGCAGGACATCTGGAGATGTTGGGGCAGGCGAGGAAGAAGGACGGCGCAGCTGCGGGCAACAGTAAGGGAAAGGACGGCAAGAAGAGTGGGAAGAAGCCTTGATATCAAAAAGAAGCATGAGATAAATCACCGCGCTGTTTGGTCTGCAAGCAATGTGTCTGATTGCTCCTTCGGCGAGTTCAGTCGAGGCGAAGCTGCTTCCCACCACTGGAGTCGCAGTCACCGGACAGCCTATGAAAGAGAGCGGTGCACTGTTTGTTATAAAAGGATATCAGTGTGTATGACGGGTCAACGAGTCCGACAGAACAATTCCATCTCTACATCCACTACGTCGAATGCTTGGATGATGCCTAGGACACCATCTCCAGAAACCACGCCCACCACGGAGAGACCACTCAGATGATTATGATTCATACGCTCGAACTCTGGCAACAAAGTCCAGTGTCAATATTCTCGATAGAGCAAAGCAGCAGATCAGACTCGAGACCTCGAAAGCCGCTGACGCCCATCCTGGTATATGATCCCAAAAATTGAGTAACGCCCCCCAGATCTGGTTTCTTACATACCTCCCAGCGCCCGAGCAGCCTCGCCGCCACCACTCTCCACCATAGCCTGCTGGCCCAAGTCGGCTCTGAGTTTGCCTTTTGAAGGTCCACCTTCACCAACACCCATCCTTCGCGCAACGTATCTTTGGGCCAATACGCCAACCGCTAGACTCAGCGTTTCTTCAACCCACTCGCTCACCCATTCTCTGGGATCGATACCACCACTTGCAATAATCTCTTCGATGCTTTCCGGCAGGGTGCCTTCTCCGCCACTTGGGGCATCCAGCCAATCGATCCATTGTCCCGGAATGGCTTGAGAGACGGCTTGGAAGGCGATCCCGTGGATAGGATCGTGCAGATAGACAGCGAACACGACTTCGTCGTTCATACTCTCCTCTTTGGCTTCTTTTACTTGCTCTTCTTTCTCCAAACTTGGTGCTGGGGCAAACATGTCTTTCGGCACAGGTTGTGTGATTGCTTGGATTGCAAGGAAAATTTCGCTGTCCCTGGTCGGATTGGAGGTAGAAAGCGTTTCTGTCGCTCGCTTGGCAGCCTCCTCAACTCCGCCCTTGCTTGCAAAGTATTCCTCAGCATAGCTCTCTGCAGAGGCCCTGACGAGCTTGGTGCCCTCAACCATGCCTTTGACTGTGTTGATACTTCGTCGTTCCCCACTCCTCCACCAGGGCCCGTCATGCCAGGAACCCAATGGCCGCGAAATTTCTCTCGAGTCTCTCTTGGGTCCGGCTTCGTGTCCTCTCTGGACGACCATCAAATCTCCACCTTCGACTTGTGCCATAACACGGCTAAAGACTTGGTAGATGAGGGGATCAAGAGTGGGATAGTTCGACAAGTCGTGAGTAATATGGATCTGCAGTCGTTCGTGGGAAGAGATTGGAGGGGCAATAGTCTGTAGGAGATTCTGAAAGGTTGGCATGGCCATGTTTCTGAGGTCGCCGCCTGGCATAGCCGTTAGCCCTTGAAACTCGTTCAGACACAATGTTCCTACCAAAACCTTTGAGCACGCCGACGTTGCCTCGGAGCTGCTCTGCCCATTTTTGTGCTTCTTCATTTTTCTGAATCTCTTTCACAGCCGCTTGGGCCTGACTTACTGCGGCGGAGGCAGTTGACAAGAGTCCACCCCACCATCCTCCACCGCCTTTGGCGGGTGCTGGGGCCGGCTCAGGTTGCGGTTCATTTTCTGCGGATTCTTCAGTTGTTGTGGTTGCTGGTGTGAAGCTCTGGTGGAACGAACGTGTACTATCACCCGACTTGCGCTGACCACTGGTCGACTTCTCCTCGCTCGTCCAACCAGGAGGAGGGGTGGCTGTTGAGGACCGCTTCGGGGATCTGTTGCCCGTGGTCGAAGGGGCATTTGGTCTTAGAGAAGGAGTGGCCGGCCGACTAGTTGGTCGTTGAGCTAAGTTTCCAAGCTCGGCGAGTAGGTCTTGTTCATTTTGTGACGATTGGGCCGGTTGTCCTTGTCGGGCAGTTCGTGTTGAGGGCTTGGGGGCACGCGTCGAGGCCTGCGTGCTCAGATCGTCAAGCTGGGCTAGGAGCTCATCATCTGTGGGGGCGGTCTTCTTTGCAGCCATCGTCATTGCATGAAGAGATCGAAAAGACCGATATAGAAGCGGATGAACTGGGGTCGCTGATAGATTGGAGGTGCAGGGAGAGCAGGGAGGCCATGTTCCGAGACCAGCGTGACCTGCTTTTGGAAATGAAGTGGTGCCGCCCTAAACAAGGCTGACAAGGCTGGCACATCAGGACGCAACAATGTCAACCAATGTTTCCCAATCTACTCTATATTCTCCATTTCCTCCGACCGGCTCCTTATTTAGATAATGCGCTCCTGATTTCACCGGCTGTTTGGTCGGCATACTCCTTCTTGATTTGTGATCTATGAAGCAAGGCGTCCTGCTGCTCTTGAGGGTGTCTGACCGCGATTAACTACAAAGACCTAAGTATGTCGACGCCCTGCCTGAGACGAGATAGATGTGAAAAGCGAAAATGGACCAACGACAGGAATTAGGGCGAGAACGGACTTTGAGATCACCACCGCAGTTTTGCGCTACATAACTTCAGCGTAACTTCTGCCCATCTGGGTCACAACATTGAGGACGCAGACGAATTGGAGCTTGCGTGCGAGGCGGCGAATTTGACGCTACTTTTAACCTCGCATTCGGCCAACCAAACTGCGGCTGATATCAAACTTCTTTCAGATATTCTCATTTCTGCTCTGCTCCGCGCTAGGCCTGTCAATGTGGGTAATAGTACCTCGAGTGTCACGGTCTGTTTGAAGACGAGGGGTCTGTTGATCGCTTCTTGTTCGTTCATGAGACCCTAATCGAAGACTTCGAGGTACCACAAAAGGCACCGAAGCCTCATGTCCTCAGACAAACCACGGGCCGCCCGAGCTTGCGCCCATTGTCGAAAACTCAAGACACGCTGTTACGAGTCTAGATTAGCTGGGGGTCCATGTCTTAGGTGTGAGAAATTGGGTGCTCAGTGTTCACTGGCCGCCGAGCGGAGGGCAAGATCTCCAAATGGTGCAGATTCACACAATTCGACAAGCAGCACCCAGGACGCCAGGTTGGTCAGGAACATGTGCCGGGTTGCTCTGTGGCTGACTCCTTCAGACTTGCCCGTCTCGAGAGAGCTGTGGACCTTATCTTAGGTCGTCTCGGGATCGATATAGAGGATGAAACTGTGCCAGATTTCACACCATCCCATCCGTCGCAAGCCCAACAGCGAGAACCATCAAACATTACAAGGGCTACGGCAGCGGCCCCGGTCTTCGTTATTCGAGACCTTGCTACAGAAATTGGCGTGGAATCTCCAACAGCGACTCGGAGTGCTCAGACAGCAACGGACATTGGAGACTCGGACTTGATTGTAGACGGCCTTGTGTCGAATCAGCAGGCTTCGGCCCTGCTCACGATGTCGGTGTAACGCTTCTATATGAACGAAACAGCCACTAATCTACTTAAGACAGATTCAATGAGCACTATGGTCGCTGGGTATTCTTTGACGCCCAGATCTCTTCGGATCACCTCTTTGAAGAAGTCAAAAAATCACCGCTTCTGTTATGTTCCTGCTGTCTTATCGCTGTTCGACATACCAACGAAGAAATTGCATCGAGCCTAGCACCAGAGCTATTTGAAAAGTCGAAGACGCTATTATCCACGGCACTACTCTCCACAACGCAAAATATTGACTTCTTTCAGGCAGCTCTCATCTTATGCATGTGGTCCACCACGGTCGGACAAGTCCCTTTGAGCATCGATAGCTGGCTGCTGAGTGGTTTCGCGATTCAACATTGTATTTCCAGTGATCTCTTTGGAAATGTCCTCAACCAGAGCTCTCCAAGCACCAAGCGTGACCTGGGACTGTTGAGGCTCTGGAATCATCTTTGCTTGGTGCACTTGCAGTAGGTGTCTTTTCTTTCCATAAATCTGCGAGGCTAATTCGAGGAGCTACTCTGTAGGGACGAGGCGCAAATCTATGATCGGTCGCGCGCAAGTCGACAGATGTCGAGACATTCTGGCTTCTGATCATGCAACTAATTTCGAAGCACGGATGGTGGCAGAAGTCTGCTTGTACTGGATTTTGTACGAAAACTGCTGTTTGGCAGATGTCGATCTTCCCAAGGCACAATCTGCCTTGCATCAATGGAGACAAGACTGGAAGATTGTTCTAGGTTGGTGCACATTTCTGAAACTCTGCAGCTCTTCCACAATCTGATAAGTCATTACCCAGATCAGCCACGGTCACAGTTTCTCGAAATGGGCTTTCGGTTTGCTCAGCTGCTTGCATATGATCAATCTCTGAAGACTCGATCCGCAAGCGTCCGAGAAAGTCTGCTGTCAGAGATGGTTCGTCTTTCGGCTGCAATCATGACGCTTGCAATGGAAACAACAGATGAGCGCACGAAGCACTTGAGCGACCACATATACCATATGATCACCTTCGCTGCGGTTACTCTTTGTAGACTCTTACATATGTATGAAGAGCAGTTGGCGCGCTCTCACGACATCGCGCACCTGGACACGCTGATTTCGACGCTTGTACCATGGCTCAAGTCTATCGGACTCTCCTGCCACGCCGCCTTCACGCTCGGCGATATTGTCGCTGCTTTCCACAAGAAGTTGCGCCCTCTCGCGGGACCATCGTCGACGGCATCTGACGAGCAGAACATCTGGGCAGATATGTCATTCTGGGCTTCCTTCCCCGATATCCTTGGGCCAGAACCGACGAACACTACTACTTGGGACTTTTTACCGAACTGGGAGCCATTCAATGAAGCCAATTTCTAACTCATGGCTGCGCCATTTCTATCTGCTGGTAGAACCACGAACAGCTGGTACTATTTACCACCGTATCTTTTCTCTAGATACCGGAACACTGGGAAAGTCAACGCGGAAAAGGCAAAGGTTAGCTCGTGGCCAATGTTTGCGCCTTTGCTTCCAATCAACCTCGCGATCGGAGCTGTATACCAAGCTGTCTTCATTCCCAAAGCTGCGCCCATGAATCCAAACCCAAAAGCTCCGATTGCCGCCCAGCCGAAAGGAAGGAGATCGGGCTGGTTCCAAGCATCCAAGTTATATCGACTCCAGCGATGTGCTCGGAAGATGATATGTTCCTCTGCAACGACGGTCAAATGAATGATTGTCCAGTAACCAATGATGCTCAGGAACGTCTGAAGGGTATCATTGAAGAATTCAGCAGCGCATGCACCCACGATGACAGCTACAATAAATCCAAGAGTGACCAGAAATATTCGAGGAATGCGGGCCGCCCATGGGCCAAAGTTCTGCGCATGCATGGCGAAGGAATAGTTGTTCGGGATGTTGTTCTACCTATTGTCAGCTTTGTGAACCTGAGCAGAGTCTCCAAGATGACTTACTGGAATGGCACTTAATCCTGCAAGCACCAGAAGAAACTTTCCGAACCCTCCAGCCGGTTCCAATGCCAATTTGAGGGGACCTCCAATGCCGTCCTCCTTGAATGCCAACTTCCAGTGTGGATTGATCTCAGTGCTAGTATATAGCGCGGCGCCTAGGGTCTGAACCAGGATGGTGGGGACGGCGATGCCCACATAGGTTGCAATGAAGATACGAGCCCTGGACGTGTTAACTGGCATCCTGACATTATAGTCGGCAGCGCAATTGATCCAAGACACCGCAAAAGAGAATATGACCGCAATGTACGAGAGTGACGCTGCTGCCCCATTTGCCCCGGACGGAGTCTTGATAGCATCTCCAGAGAAGTGTGAAGAACCGAAACCGGCAGTGAAACACCAAACCACGAACGGGGGAATCCAGAGGAAAGCGTCGAGATGATGGATCCAATGAATACCAAGGGCGCAGATGACCCAGACAGTGGTACAGATAATGACAACTCCGAGCCACGTCGGGCATTTCCCGTCAGAGAGCGCAGTCAGAACGGATGCCCCAGAGATGGAGTTCACGGCATTCCAGCCCGTTGTCGAGACCATCGAAAAGACGACAACAAGAAGATTGCCCCAGTAGCCGAAGGAGTAACGACTGCGATCGTCAACGATGCAATATTAAGAGTGTCAAGTGGACTCCTTACGAAAAGGACGTCATTCGCAATCCCGTCAATCCAAATCCTGCCGTCCATGCTGGAATCATGCAGCTGAAGACATTGACCACTACGATAATAGCAAAACAATCCCAGAACGACAAGCCAAGGCTGCCGCCCAAAGATCCGACATTGAGGGTTGCTACAGCCATGTTGGCGCTCATCCTGGGAAGATTAGCCAGCTGGTCTTCGCTTGCAAGGGACCAGCTTACCAGAAAGTGCAAGCATTCCACACCTTGCTGGTGTTCTGACGTCGTTGGTCCTCTGTCACCCGCCTAATGCCGCTCGTCTCGACGGTGAGAAGGATGTCTCTCAGCCATGGCTTGGAAAAAGCCCTGACTGGTAGAGCTTTTCCCTCCATGGGGTCATCAACCACGTCATGAGCCTGGTTCTTCACCAGAGAGGGCTTATCGTCGGGGTACTTCTCCATGATGATGCGCTTTCGGTAGATTCTGGCTTGAAGGGAATGCCAATAATCCTGCTGCGATCCGTTGTCACATTTTGACCGGATTCGAGCTTTCTTTTATGCATCATCTTCTCCAACCTTCTCAAGCCTCACTTGTTCACGAGTCTCTCCCCCCGCATGTGTTGATAAGACTACCCTTATCCAAGACGGCAATCCCGCAGGCCCAGATATCGCGATGCTGTTACGCCCTCAGCATGCCGTGTGGAGCTGGGCGTGCCGGATCTGCCTGCGGGATCGCCTTAGGTCCATCTGTCAGCCTATTGGTCCACAAAGTTCGCAACAATCAGACAGTCCCAGAGACGTGGTGCAACATACAGAATGCATACACCAAGGTCTATTATGAATGGCGGAATCCGCCGTGATGCCAGAAAGGTCTACAGCTACTACCTCGGAGCACGGGTGGTATATATTTTCCTACGAAGTCCAACAATGTTCGCGCTTTCAGTTCACTCATATCACAGTTCCAATACAACATCTGTTAATCTCCACCATCCACCAGACACTGAGCGATGGAGCAAAGTACACTCGCACGTCGTGGAGTCGGTCTTCGTGGCCTCGACCCTGACTTGGTATGCCCAGGTTATCTTCTCTATGCCCACCTCACCAGCCCGGGCACCGTTCGGTTGATTGCGAATGATGGAATGGAGGTACACCGCTGGAACATCCCTTACCGACCTGGGCGTCATGCTCGCATCCTCCCCAACGGAAACCTAGCTTACAACGGCGTTCACCCTGATGGGCCAAATTTATTTCCCATGTGGCAGAAGTACCGCGGCGGAGTAATGATGCAGGTCGATCCCGATGGCAAGGTCGTGTCTGAATATCGGGATCCGCTGGCACATCACGACCAGCACCACCTCGACAATGGCCAGATCCTTTATACGACACTGGAGGCTCTCACCTCAGAACAAGCCGGGACAGTGCCTGGCGGCATTCCTTCCTCCGAAGCGCCAGACGGGAACGTCTACGCAGACTGTATCAAGCTCGTGGATCCTACCGATGACGGCAAAGTTCTATTCCACTGGCGCGCCATCGAACACCTTGACCCTGCAAAGTTCCCTCTCCAACCGCACTACGCGCGAGAACATTGGCCACTTATCAACAGCGTGCACCTGCTCAGAGACGGCAACATCCTCGCATCCCTCCGAAGCGTGTCGGCAGTCGTCATCATCTCTCGTGAAACCGGCGACGTCGTCTGGCACCTCGACAGCACGGTAGTGGCCCAACAGCACTGTGCAAGCGAACTCGAAGAAGACGGCAGCATCCTGATCTTCGACAACGGCACCTTCCGTCACCAAGAGAGCTCGGCCTATTCCCGCGTGATCCAGGTCGACCGGGCGACGAAGGAGATCGTGTGGGAGTACCGCGACCGGTCCTTTCCGGGCGCCTTCTTCACCCCTTTTATGGGCGGCGCGCAGCGCCTGCGGAACGGCAACACGCTCATCACCGAGGCGGTGTTTGGCCGCATGTTCGAAGTGACGCCCGACGGCAGCATCTGCTTCGAGTACATCAACCCGCATTTTGCGGACTACAAGCAGCTGAACGCGCCCGGGCTGGAGGAGATCGGCTTCGACTATCCCGCCAACGCGGTCTTCAGGGCCTACAAGTACACGCCGGACCAAGTGCCCTGGCTGCGCCTGCCGAATTAAGGAGACGTTCACACCTCCCTCCCTCATCGAACGAGCACGACTTCTTGTTACAGTGCTTTTTCCCCAGAGGTTAGGGAAGGGACAACAAAGGCAGTTGGCTGGTTGGACATGGACATCTTCTCGAGTCCAGGAGGGAATTGTTTCGCGTCCATTTCCTTGCTCTTTCAAATTTATTCGTCAGTCAAGGATTTCTTTTCATAAAAAAAGACATCCTGCTCTTTTCCACGTGGCATAGGGATGTTTCGGCGAAAGTCTTTTAACAGATGCAGGGTGAATACACTATACTTCACCGCTCCATCAGAATCACTTGGAGAAATTCCGCTTCGTGACTACTTGAGCAAGGCGAACCTTTGTCTGCCAGGAATCAGAGATTCTACCAACGACATTCTTCCTCTTCTGTGCCGCCGGCTTGGAGCACAACATCTGATCCCCAGAACGTCACGATTGGCGATCCAACATGATACTCAATGGCTTTTATCTCCTTGCATGCTCATACATCACCGCCACCTTCCTCCTGCTCCTCTTCTCTTCCCAACTTGCGAGCGCTGAACTTTTGACCGATGTCAGCAGCGAATCCGAACCCAAAGTAGATGGTGGCATGATCATACCTCGCGGAGCAAAGATGAACGGCACTTGCGAACAGGGGTACGAATGGACCGTCATCACTCCGCTCTCAGCTCAAGGCGCCACGTGTTGTCCGACAGGATACAGAGGGGAGGAGGCAAAAATCTTGGGAGATCTGGCGGGGACGTTCTGCTGTCCAGAGCACATTGACAAGATACCATGCGACGCCCACGATCGCAAAATGCCAAAGACACCGCTCACCTGCCCGCAGCCAGGGATGTTGATGGGGGCGCTATGCATGTATTATTATTGGTAGAGTCTCGTCCTGCCACGGATCATGCCAGAGAGGATCGAAGAGTTGGCCTGAAGCTGCATCGAGTGTAGCCAGCGGCAACCACCGAAAGGGTGACAGCTTCATATTGTTGCTGGACTCATGACACATGGAACGAAGGGGTTGACTTATCGACCACTGGAAAGATCTCTCTTTGTGATAAGGCGGACCAGATATCAGCAATCATTGACCCAATGACCTTGAGGTGGATGTGGACAGCATCCTAAAGAGATTGCTAGGGCGACTGCAATCGGCCGGGATGGTAAATCATCCTTGACCCAGCTGGATTCCGAAAAGTCGTTCCACAGAAGCAGTTTGCGCTTGAATTCGGCCCCGTCATCTGAGCCAATAAGTCAACACAGTGGTAGTGACGGGTTTCTGTGCTGTAGTAGTCTGCTGCTGAAGCTTGATATCCATCCAGTTAGATCGGCCTTGCCGAGCTGACGACATGCTGAATTTGCTGAGAGACAAGGCTGTATTGCAGCCTCGTGTTGCTTCACTGCCAACCACCCATAGCAAAAATTACTTTACCACTCAAAAGTACAAGACCGTGATCCGCCCATGTAATATCTCAATCCATGCATGGTATCCTGTGCTGGAAGATGGACCCACGTTCAGAATTTGCTCTTCTATTGAGCAGAGTCGTGCCAAAGTTCATGACTGCTTGTTTCTCTCCGCCGTTTCCTGTACCTTCAACCTCTCGACCAACTTCCGCCTCATGAAGTCTGTTAAGCCCAGAATCCCGTCATTCGTGCATACACGATATGTCCCACTTGGCTGATACCCCCCATGGCCATCGACAAATTTTCCGCGCCCATCGACTTCCACGCTCCCGAAGATATCCTCTGGCTCCGCAATGCGCCCGAAGTCCGGTATGTGCCGTTGGTCAGAGACGTGGATCCAACCTCCACGGCCAGCGCTGCCGTGGCCGCCCTGGTCGCTGGCGCCTGAAGAGCCCGTCTGTTGGCGACGGACGGTCTGGAAGAATGAGGAGCCGGACGAAGATATCATTACCGCCGCTTGGGATTGGACCTCAGGGTCGGAGGAGGCATTCTCACTAATGACAGAGTGAAGGATAGGGAGGAATTTGGGGTTTTCGGTAAAGGACCGAGGGGTGGGCGGGAGTTGTGACGCGGTACCAATCGCTAGCGAAGGTGTAGGAGGATCGGTGGGAAGGAGGGAGAGGATGTGCGAGGAGGGGTCTTTAGGATCTTTGAAAACGTACTACTCCAAAAGTCAGTGGGATTATGGAGGTCGGGCTTCGGTGGGATGTGTGTAGACCGTACGATGTGAGGGTTGTTGCTTAACGTCGACACAGTCCGGAGGGGGACAAAGAGTCGTGGTGTTTGCCATAGCACCCGTCTTCCCGTAGTTATGTTCATGTCGTCCTCGGAAGTCCTCTGCAGGACGAAGGAGTGGGTGCTGATGTTGATCACATTTATCCTGAGAGATGTTAAAACTATTCCGGAATCCTCGCAGAGTCTTGGAGCTCTCCGGAGTCCCTTCAATGACGTCGTGAGTTGAGGGTCGGCTGACATAATGCTCAGCCTTGCACTGGAGGTTCTCAGCCTCGTCTATTGGGAATCAGAAACGTTGGTCTCTCTGCTACTACAGGCTAGTCGACGTTCGATAAAGTGAGATTGATCCCCATTACAGCTATTTCAAGGCGATAATTCCTGACATTCAGCCATGCCGTATTTCACAGTCCGGTGTAAAAATTGCAGCTTTTGACCGTCTCCTTCGGGTTCTCCTACTTCTTCATCGGCATTCCGATTTTCGCAATTTCCTTCCCATCGACCCAGGTATCGACTTTATTCGGATAAAAACACAACATGCCAATGATGCCAGCACTTTCCTGCGTCGGGTTCTTATACCACCAAGCCACGTCCTTAATTTCCTTGCCGTTGATCACGGCATTGTAATAGCTGGCCTCTCCTTTGTACGGACATCCCGTATGCGTATCACTCGGGGTGAGATATTCCCAGGTGATTGCTGTGCGAGGTAGATACCAGCGAGCAGGGAAATTGGTTTCCCAGAGGGACATGACACCGCCTTCGGAGCCGGTGTCGGCGAGACGGACGCCATCTATCTCGACACGCACTTGTCGTCCCGAAGGGAGGATATCAACTCTGTGGTACGGATCTTTAGGGTGATAGACGACCTGTGCCTGCTCTTCATACCAAGCATCAAGGGCTTTGAAGTCAATTTTCACATAGCCAACCAGTTCAGAGTTGAATGAGTCGGGAACAACAAGCGAAGGGACGGATTTATTGCCGACGCTCAAGGTCGAGGTTGAAGAGTTTATGCCAGAAATGGGTTTGTCCTCCGTGAATTTGACGGCGTCAAGGAAGTCGGACTTCGGGATCCAGTACATAGGGTAGTATCCGTTCTCCCACACTAGTTTCGCGGCAGTGGTATCGAAGATGTATTTGCCATTGAGGACTCCCCGGACACGCTTCTCAGTCCCGACAATTTTCGGTCGAGATTCCGGGTTGGGACTGAAAAGTTTGGCACCGAGTGCTGCAAGACTGCGAATATACATATTAGTGGATTTCAAGCAGGCCTCGAATCGTGTTTCTCTCACTCGGACATTGTTCTTCTTGGACTGCTAAATGACTTTGGCGAAAGATGGTTGTGGGCCAGTTGTACACGTATGATGGATCGACACGCCAGCTCTGTTATAATTAAGACGCTCGCTAGTGGATCTCAAAGAAGAGGAGTCGGAGATATATATATCTGTTTGTTGGCGCAGGCTTGCAAGACGCACAAAGACGGTTCGGTTCAACTTCAAAAGTGCCTCGCGACGAAGAACTGGAATGACAAACCTGACTGGCTTGATGCTGTGGCTGGTCTAAAGAGGCAAGAAATGTTCTTGGGTTCAGTTATACGCGCCGGGAACGACGTCCAGCCATTGATCACTAATAGCCTGAGTCTGCAGGGACGTCTTCGTATGGTGATGATGCTGACACATTGGTAAATGCCAACTATCTGCGGGGGTTGCGGGCACGAACCGAGCTCCGGAGCGGTCTTGAGGTATATTTGGGTATATCCAAACCCCGCGACTGGGCCCCATCGTCAGCCTCGGATTCGTCCCATGATCTTGTCCCTCTAAGGAAATGGTAGATTATGGCATCAAGGCTGCATGAAGACTCTAGGAACTTTCCTATTCGGGTGAATGGCACCCCTGGCGCTACGAAGACTTGCCTCTCCTGCTTTTCAATGGAAAGTCCATTCGGTGCCAATTTTGAACGTGTTCATTCAAAAGAGTTATGTTCTTGTCGCTTTGTCAATGTCTTGATGGGCATAAACTGTGATCCAAGTTGGGAAGAATGCACCATTTGTTTCCGACCATGCGTAGGCTCACTCGGCAAATACTGAGGGACCCTGGCGCACTCTTTTTCCCTAGTCTCAAAACCAACAATAAACAGGCATATGAAAGCAGAGTGCTTCTTTCTCCGCCGAACAAAGTATCGATGACAGCACAAGCCGCTGTGCACTCCTCAATGCCTGTCTATGCATTTGCCATTTCTCAATAAGGCTGGTCCCCTATTTCGGCAAATGATCCACCCATCAATCTAGGCGCAACGTCTCGGACTCGCACCAGGGTGCCTGACCCCTTACTCGTGTTCATGGTGAGTTCCTTTCTCCGAGACATATTCAGTCTGACTCCGAGTGCTGATGGCGCTGCCTCGGCGTGCTGCACTGCTCAGTCGTCGTCGGTGTTCACCCGTCTCCTCGTAGTCGATCAAGACTTCGCCATGCTTTCCATAGCGGTGAGGTTCATGCTTGGCAGTCCATACAACCGTGAAGATGTTCTTTGTCTTATGGAATATCGTGTCCATTTCCTCAAGGGAGCGGTAGGCAGTTTCGGGATAGAAGACGTACACGACTGGTACCATAGCCGCATTACTGGAACTTTTAGTTAGTTTTGACACCAAGTAATCATTTCCCTTATTGTACTTACATGACCGCAAAGACCAGATACGTTTTCCACTTGATCTGAAGATTCTTCCGTTAGCCTGGGCACAATGATAAGAGTCCCAGTGACAATATCTCGTCTAACCGCAATAACACCATTTGGAAGGGATCGGGACACATACCGAGCTGAAGCTAACCGGGGTGATCATCACCACGAGAAAGTTGAAAATCCAGTTAGCGGACGTAGAAGTCGCTGACGAAGGCGCGCGGATGCGCAATGGCACAATTTCTGAAGGATAAAGCCAGGTCATTCCAAGCCAACCGACCTATTGCTTTGAGGTTAGCTTATATTTATATTAAGAGGGAAAAAGATCAAGTGGAGTTCGGAAAGCGCATGGGCTGTTCGGAGGGCAAAGGGAACCCACAGCAAAGAAAGTGTTGAAGATGAATAAGAACATGGCTGCGACTATCCCCGGGCCCTGGCCTCCAATCTTGGTCATAACCGCGAGGACGATCATTGAGGCCGACTGACCCACGGCGCCGAACAGCATGAGCTTTCGACGTCCAACTTTCTCGATTATGAAGACCGCGATCCACGATGCTAGGAAGTACTCAGTGCCATTGCAAGCCGCCAGAATGCGGGAAATAAAAGGCGAAAGACCGATCTCGTTCTGATAGATGGTAGCAGCGTAGTATGTGATCAAGTTAATTCCCGACACTTGTTGCATTACTTGGTTGATATAAGCGAGAGCAACGCGGTGGAGATGACGGTTTTCGTCCATGGTGAACAGATCACGGAACGTTGCCTTCTCTTGCTCAAGCACTGTGTCCTTGATTGCTGCGAATTCGGAAAGAATAAATTTGTCTTGGGTCGATCTGTCGGAAAGGGCAGCGAGGACTTGTACCGCCTCTTCCTCTCTGCCTTTCAAGATGAGCCATCTGTAGAGTCTTAGCTACGAAGCACAAAAAAAAGGGAAGTATTCAGGGTACCTTGGAGATTCGGGTAACTCAAGGATGAAACAGAGGATGATTAGCGCGAAGACAATCTGGAAGGCGATGGGGAAACGCCACGACGCTTGATTTTGGATGAAGGAAGCCCCGAAGTCGATCCAATAGCTGATGCAAATCTGCGAAATGTCAGTATAAAACAGCAGATTCAAAACCTGGATGATGATTTCCAGTTACCCCGCCTGTGATTAAGGCACCCTCGACCATGACGAGCTGACCCCTTCGATGTGACTTTGAGCACTCTGATTGCCATGTTGGAACTGTTGAAGTATTCAAACCATTTCCTATCCCGGTGATTATTCGTCCAACAATCAAATGCGGTAGACTGAAGGCCGTCGCTTGGAGGATAGCGCCGACAACCATGATTGAGGAACCTAGGAAGATCGTTTTGCGCCGTCCAAGGATGTCACCGAGCCAGATGCAAGCAATAGCCCCGCAAAAACAGCCAAGGTTGTAAGAGCCGATGGAGATGCCTTGAATGGTAGATTTGTGGTTGGCTTGGCTCTGAGTCAGGCCTTGCAGGCCTTCCTTTGTTGTATCGATCTCTGGGAAGACAGAGGTAAAGGCCGGGAGGGTCAGGAGCCCTCCCATAACGCCTTGATCATAGCCAAACAGCCTCCAAGATCGTCAGTTTCGACCGCGAAATGCTGGAATCGGTGCGTACTCACAGAAAATCAATGCCTGCAATAATTCCAATTGCAATGTTGAGCTTGAGGCCGCGAAAGCCCAAGTAGCGCTGTCCAAACAACTTCATGGTAGATTATTTTGCGAGCAAAAAGCGAAATCTATCTTAGTAGAAGCACACAAGGATAGGAGGCTGGTAGAAAGCACTCTTTATATATTAATTGCACTTCTTCTGGGGAACTGACGAGACTAGGATCGGAACAGCAAAACCGCAACTGTGGAAGATGCACACGTCGAGCTCCGGGCTATAGGCCAAGAAAGAGAATTGGTCTAGCTAGCTGCTCCATATTTTCTGCCTCGTAATGTTGCATCGATGGAGACCGACCTGCAGTAGATGCGGAGAAAATCTCTTGAAGGCTCCTCAGGTTCAGTGCATCATGGATCGCCGGATTGAATAGAGCGTCCATTCGGATTACCCAAAGGGGTCATCCTCATGATGTCGGTGGCGTCCCGGACCGGGGTATGATTGATTCCCCACGAACGGTAAATCCACGTCGCATTGCCAACTGGCCGGTTGATGGGATCCCTGCGAACCAGCGGAATGAGATACGTCGTACAGAAGTATTCTCCAACCTGGATATGGCGATCTGCATCGTAAGGCCTGCCGGTCTTGCGGGCGGATGTATGTTGATTGCTGTGGAAATACTGATAGCAGACCAAGTTGAATGCGCTGCCAGCTAGGGAATGCACTCCTCCCATTGATATGCAACAGTTGTTGGATTGTAGTGAGAAGGTGACCGACAAGAGGGCTCTGGGCCGTTGGTATCCCGGTCCCATCTGGAATCTGGATCAGGGGGGCAGGCCGCTGGACAATCCATCGTGTGATGAGGAGACACATCAGGCCGGTGTGGGTAGCCGATTGACCGTCCCCATGGGACTTTGGCAGACCCCAGAAAAACTTTTAGAGCTATTCTCAAAGTTACAGGGATCCATCAAGTCGTGGTTTCATCGTGTCCGGACTTCCCAGACAGGAAATCCCGTCGCCGATGCTATGTATGTAGAACGTCCACCAGCCTTGCTCGGGTTATCAGCCGTTGAGCTAGAAAGCTTTAAGGACCACACAGTCTATTAGGTAGGGATTCACTGATGATGCACTGGTAGGCTGTCTTGTTTTCTGTAGCTGGACTTGATCTGCTCAAGTAGTACCGTGTGCCCTCGGTATTGAAGAAGTTTGACACAAATGCTGTGGCGATTGTCCAATCAGACCGTATTGTTGCACATTGCAAAGGTGATGAGAAATATTCGAGTCGTCGACATAGTCTGCAAGCTTTGGAAGTTGTCACCTGCGCGCAAAAGCTTGCTCTAGAAGCCATTCAACCATCAAGCCAATATCTTCCGTCACCTCCAAAATCCGCACGATCTTGGATCGAAAGCCCACACTATCCGCGGCATCTTTGTGGATTCCGCGCAAGTCTCGAACTTCAATTCCGCCACCCTGACAGATATTCAAGGACAAGAAAATGAACGGGGGCTTTTGATTTCTTCTAAGCGGCAGGCGCAACGGGATGTACACATCAAGCCTTGCCTTCGGAACATCAGAGAGCACATCCAGGATCAGGTCGATTGGCAACGGCTCACCAGGATCCAGCTCACCATTTGGCCTCACGAGATCGTCGAGGTCAGAGCCGGGGGTCTTCTTGTTCGTGCGCTTTAGGGGTCGGTGGGTGGATTCTGAATTCTGTTTCCTGGTGGATTGGGCCGCCATTGACGGGCATGCCTGTTGGTTACTCTCGTGCTCAGCCAGATTTCGCAGAATGCCCCAAACAACGGCGTACTGTCGAATAACAGGCAACACAGCTGCAAGCTGTTTAGGATGGTTGAACTTCAGGTGCTTCACAGGATAACACCATAGGGGCGGAGCGTGCCGGGAGGATTGCAAGGCATATGAATGCCGTCGCAGCCGGGTTGGATCTTTATCGTCAGCAATCGGTAAGACTCTAAGCCATCTCTCTTGAGGGGCGCTTCTGATACCATTGACAGCGGCAATGTTGAAGTGTTTATGCAGCGCCACTTGATATGTCGAGGTCTGCTCTTGGTTGATGTCCACCATGGCAATCTCCACGTTGAGGCCGGCTGCTATATTGAGAGGGAGGTAGACTTCGGGCTGCAAGGTGCATAAGAAGTGCATGTCCAAGACGCCTGAGGCCATATCTGTCGGCTTCTCCGTGCTTGCTTCATCTGATTCCGCCTTGACCAATGGATCTGAGCTCGACGAATCCTGGGCAGGGTCTCGCCAGTCTGGCTTCAATTTCTCGTTTCCGACATCCAGCATTTCGTGTTGGTCCTCGATAAGAACACGGTCCGAGACCCACTGCTTTGTGGTGGCGGTCGAGGGTAACCCAGGCTCGCAAGATATCTGCGCCGTGTAGAGGCATGTGGCATCGTCGACCATATCGTTGGCGATCGCTTCAGGTGTTTGGCCTAGTTCCTCCTTAGGGCCCCAAAAGTCCAATGCCAGACCCAATCTGGGCTTTCGATCCATCACAGGTCTGCCAACAGCGCCCTGTCTCAAATGTTGCCGAAGAGTTCGCCCTCTGAACTTCTCCTTCTCTGCATTCCAAATCTTCTGGAACGCATTGTATAGGTCTCCCACTGCGGTAAAGCACGGCGTTCCGCTCTCGATTCTATCGAGTTGGCTCAGGTACTGTAAGTTGGCAGCAAAAGAATCAAGAGATTTCCATCGCGCTACTCCGTCGACAACATCCAGATTTCGCAGATTATCCTTAATAACCTGGGTGCCTTGTTCTTGGAACTGAGGCTCCTCGTTTTCGGACGCTGTGTCTGATATGTTAAGCTTGAGACTAACATCCCTAACCTCGTCTCTACCACCAGCTTCGAAGTTTATCTCGAGATCGACGCAATTTCCCGCGATTGTCAGGTTATCGTCGTCCCATAGAGTGGTGAACCCTTGTAGCTGTGCAATTCTCTCCACCCCTCCACGCGTGATTCCGTGGCCAGCGATGCGACTCTTGAGCATATCAACGACCAGTTCCGCCCTGTGCAGTCGTTCTACCTCGGGGTTTATAGGAGGAGGAGCAGGTCTAACGGGACCACCTGGCAGAGTTGTGGTAATGCCCAGGCCGTCGGCACCGCTTCCCAAAGGCGTGAGTCCTGTAGCGCCCAGGGAGTTGATGAGAGCGGTTGCAGGCGAATTGAGAGCTAGCAGGTCATCATGAACAGCAGTTGCCGCCAGGGGTGTGGAAGAGGGTTGTGAGGAGACACTGACATGATGTCCGTGTCCTGAGGCTGGAGTCTTGACGGCGGGAGATTTGTAGGCGAGAGGGCGACTCGAGTTGCCTGAGGTGCCAGGTCGAGGCGAGGCCATGAGTCTGTTAGGAGGAGAGAGCTGCGGCTTCGGTGTGGAAATGTTCTGGGATTTAGTTGGTGTAGCCATGGTTGTGATTCTGGCTTCTCATGGTCACACTTGCGTTGGACTGCCCATGACAGGCCTGGCCTGACGAGATGCACCAAATCTCAAGCCGCGTCCCGCCAGTTCCGTGGCGACGACAGCGTCAACGTGAGGTCAAGTGGGTTCACTTAGAGCTCAACAAGGGAGATAGATCTTGTGTCCCTCTATGCCGCAGGTCGATGAGCATCTCGTAAGTGTTGTTGAGCACAAAGTGACTTGCTGTTGACTTCCCCGTTGTTCTCGGATCCGTCTCCGTGCGGGCGCAGGCGCAGGCGCAGGCGCAAATGTCGTTCGTGCCCCAGGGAGGAAACTCTTCCGGCTTTGAGACTTTTGAACGGCGGCAAGGTACGGTCGCGGTATACTGATGCTGTACTCTTCTCCCTGCCTAGCGAGCTAGGTATGTAATTCCTCCCTCCTTTAGCAATGTAGCGGGACCAAGACAATCACCGGATACTGATCGGCTTGATGCTTCATCAATGCGTTCGGCCCCATACGCCGCTTACTGGCCTCAAATTGGACCTGCTCCGTCTCCAAATAACACTGTCTGGTGCTCATTGATTTCTTGCAAAACCTACCAAAAGGCATTCCCCTCAGTTTGGATTTGACTGGCAGAGGCCAAAAGGCCTAGCTTGGTTAGACAAGTCATTCTGGTACTAGTATCTGCATTCCCCCGCATCCTATATACATTACTTCAAGACATCTTGCATGACGATCATCGTTGGTCAATGGTACCCTGTGATGCTACCGGCATTTTGTCCTTACTTCCTGGCGATCGTTGATGAGCAAATCCCATGGCAGAGGACGTGATGAAGGAGAAACATGACTGGAGAAGGCTATATAAAAGACCTCCTCTTGCCGTAAGTGCTCGTCTTCCCTGACCGGACGACCATAGACTGCACTGAAGAAGCTAGGAATGCTACGTAAAATGTTCTCAACACTGCTTTTCGCACTTCTCGCCTTCCCAGATATATCGTACACCGCCCTGGTTCCTCGCCAAACCAAATCTCCAACCGCTACAGTCAGAAATGGAAGCTATTATGGCCTCCACAATCCAACCTACAATCAAGACCTGTTTCTAGGCATGCCGTTTGCTCAACCACCCACAGGGGACCTTCGCTTCCGCAACCCCGTCTCGCTCAACACGTCGTGGACTGGAAACAAGAATGCAACGCAATATTCCTATGCCTGCCACGGATACGGCTCGGATGACTGGGTTTTGGGAAACCCAGTGAGCGAGCATTGCCTCACTCTCAATGTGGTCCGTCCTGCTGGAATCCAGGCGAATGAAGGGCTGCCAGTGGGCGTCTGGATCTATGGCGGTGGAGGCTACATGGGCAGTAGCCTTGACCCACGCTATAATCTGTCGTTCATTGTCCAGCAATCAGTCGAGTTGGGCAAACCCTTTATCGGAGTCAGTCTCAACTACCGCCTCCACGCATTCGGATATTTGTTCAGCACTGCAGCCCTCAAAGCCGGTGTTACTAATATGGGTTACCGTGACCAACGACTCGCGCTACAATGGATTCAAGAAAACATCGCTGCGTTTGGCGGGACCCTACCAAAGTGACCATGCAAGTTTGTCCTAGATTTTTTTTCTTTTTGGATAGTTGTTCATATTGACACAAATCAGCACGCCTTCGTCAATATCGATGTAGGCTAACTGATGCGACAGTTGGGGCGAAAGCGCCGGCGCATCGAGCGTTGGCGTGCAGCTGCTCGCCCATGGAGGGAGAGATGACAAACTCTTTCGCGCTGCGATCGAGGAAAGCGGCGGACCTATAAGTTCTACTCGCTATATCAACGCAACAACTTGGGACAAATACTACAACAACATCACACAGGCTACAAACTGCAGCACGGCTTCCGACACCTTGGCATGCTTGCGCAAAGTCCCTATTGAATCCCTCAACGCCGTACTCAACAGCAGCGTGACGGCACAAGTTCCCTACTGGGGCGCTGTGGTCGATAACGACATGGTCATCGCCACGGGAACTCGTCAACTGCTTGACGGCAAATTCATCAAAGTGCCCCTCCTGCACGGACGGAACTTTGACGAAGGCACTAGTTTCGCGACAAAAGGCATCAACACGACAGAGGAGTTTCTCGCCGACGTGATGAAAGCTGGGCCAGACAATGCGACTGCGGCGACCATCGCAGCCTTGTATCCGGACATCCCGGCCATTGGCATTCCCGCCACGTTATCAGGCCGTCCGCCTCCCTCCAACGCCTCGCTGGGGTCTCAGTGGAAGTGTGAGTCCGCATACATTGGCGATCTACGTCAGCATGCACCGCGCCGCCTGATTTCGCAAGTCTATGCGACCAACAATGTCAGCAGTTGGAGCTACCACTTCAACGTGCTGGTAAACGGGCAACCACCCGCGATCGGCGCGACGCATTTCCAAGAAGTCGCCTTCGTGTTCCACAACACCAAGGGCGTGGGTTACCACAATTCCGTGGCTGAAGATCCATTTGAGAACAAGCCGGCAAGCTACGATCGGTTGGCGACCATCATGAGTCGGATGTGGATCAGCTTCATTGTGGACGGGGATCCCAACACGAACAACGGTTTGTTTAGCCCTTCCTCCTCCTCCTCCTCCTCCTCCTCCTCCTCCTCCTCCTCCTGATGTCATTTTAATGCTTGCTTGCTGGGATATAACTAGAACCCGTGTGCTAACCGTGCGGTCCCGGCAAAACGAACAGCTACATCGGTCCAGTGGCCCGTGTACACGCTGGACAAGCCTCAAAACATCGTCTTCGACGCAAACGCCACGGACCTGCTGTACGTGGAGCCGGATTACTACCGCGCCGAAGGGGTCCAGTATATTTCCGACCGCTTTATATCGACGTATGACCGATGATGAATCCATTCCCTTTTTTTTTTTTTCTCGCGTGGCTTCAAACACATTTAAATTGCCTAACGTCGGTGACCAAGGCTGAGGTGGTCGAGACGGTGTACCCTTTGTTTTCTGTTTGAACTAGGCGTCAAGTCACGTCTGATGGAATCAACCTGTGCGGTTGCACCTAAGATCGTGGGGCTTCGGCTGAGTATGATTTGTCTCAATCTTAACCTTCTAGTCAGCCTCTATTGAGTCTCGACTCACAAGAGGAAGGAACACATTTCAGCGACGAATGTTTAGTGTTCAATGTCTAGTATCCTATTGTTTGATCTTTGAATTGAGTGAGGGAAGATGTGATCTTGTCGTGACGCCTATCGCCACGACCACTTCAGGCCCACTGTGCCATCCATCCCCTACATTGAAACCCCTATTAGTCAAAATCCTGTTTTTCTATGCAACATTCGGGATGCTGTCGTGTGAACCCTGGGTCGGGACTCCGTTATTGTCATTCCCAAACGTGGTGACTTTGACGCCGTTGGCCTGCTTAATTCCTGGATCCAAACTCATGCCGTTATGAGTTCCATTAAATTTCATATTCTTAATACCATCATAACCCTTGATTCCTGTCGCCTTTTCCAACCGCTGAGCGATATCATCGCTAACTTCACGGAAGATGGTAATTTGCCGCTTCAAGACCTCCTTGTCCCGGCAGACTTCCATCTTACCAGTGACATTTTTGATGAATCGTTGGCGTGCAGGTTCATCCCAGACTTTCTCCCACAAGGCACGTGGGGCATTGAAGTCTTCTGGTCGGATCTGGGAGAGGAAGGTGATGGCATGACCTTGGAAATGACCATGCGTCTTGTCGTAATCAATGGTTCTTTGGCGGAATTGAATAGGGTCGATGGAAGAGAGATAGTTGGCCCGGCCTCCTTGGTTGTAAAATGCCATGGGGCCATCGCGTTGGAAATTGCCGTACTTGAAGGCCGTGCGGGCGGCATTGACGGGGAGTTGTTGGTAGTTTGCACCCACGCGGTGACGATGGGTGTCGGGGTAGGAGAAGAGACGGGATTGCAAGACTGGGTCGGCTGACGGTTCGATACCGGCAGGCATGTGGGAGGGGCTGAATGCGGCTTGCTCGACTTCGGCAAAATAGTTGACGGCGTTCTCATTCAGGGTGAATTCACCGACTTTGCGCAAGGGAAATTGCTTTTGAGGCCATACGTGGGTCAAGTCAAAGACGTTGATGCCTTGCTTGGCCCAGACCTCCTCGGCTTGCTTGGGTGTCATGGTTTGGATCTCGACTGACCACTTAGGGTAGTCACCACGCTGGATGGCTTCGTAGAGGTCCTTCTGGGAGTGGTCGGGAGATTTGGTGGCGGATTCTTCCTGGGTTAGGAACTTGGTGCCCTGCATGGACTTCATATGAATCTGGCAGTAGACCCAGTCACCGTTCTTTTTGACGAGCTTCAGGCTATGGCCGGAGTAGCCATGCATGAATCGAAATCCGTCGGGAATGCCCCGATCACCCATGAGAATCATGACTTGATGGATGGACTCTGGGTTCTGTGACAAGTAGTCCCAGAACATGGTCGAGTCGTCGGCATGAGTCAAGTGTGTCGAAGGATCTCTCTTTTGCGTATGTATGAAGTGTGGAAATTTGGCCGGGTCCCTCAAGAAGAAGACGGGGGTGTTGTTGGCGACTAAATCCCAGTTGCCCTCCTCGGTCCTAAATTTGACAGCGAAGCCTCTAGGGTCTCGGGCACAGTCATGAGAACCAGCCTCGCCGCCGACTGTAGAGAATCGAACTGTGACGGGGCATCTCTTGCCTTTCGCGCTCCAGATATCGAGGCAAGTCAGGTCATCTGCAGGGTTGGTACATTCGAAGAAACCGTGGGCACCGCTTCCCTTTGCATGCACAACTCGTTCCGGGATACGCTCTCGGTCAAAGTGAGAGATGAGGTCGATCAGGTGGAAGTCTTGGAGGAGGAGAGGGCCACTCTCGCCTGCTCGTTGAGCTTCGTAGGGATGAGGCATTGGTACGCCATTGCTGCGAAGAAGTTAATCAAGTGGTCAAATGGCCAAAGGAAAGGACAGACTCGTTTCACTGACCTGGTGGCGTAGATGGTCTGCTTGGAGTCCATCTGGCGATCCGTCTCATAAGAGTTGAACTGATTGGCGACATGGGCCGCGAAGGAAGTATCGTTTGGTGCCATGATGGAGGATTTTGATGGTGTTGAGAGGAGCCTGGGCGATCTTCCGGACTGTTTCCATGAAGGTAGGGAGTCTTCACTTATATACCTGGAACGAGACGGTCAAGGGAGAAATGAGAACGCGGCAAGGGGAGAATACTAGTCATGAGGAGCAAGAGGAGGTACCCGATCGACAGAGCGACCTTGAACGGAGGGTATTGGAACGACTTTGATAGGACATCAAGGTGGAGGTCATGTCGATGCGTAAGACCAAAGAGGAGCAACGGAGCGAAAGAGGCGATCGTGCTGCGTGCTGCGTGCTGCGTGTTGCGTGTTGCGTGTTGGTCATGTCGAGTTGTGTCGAGTGTGTCGAGTGTATGACGTCGTAGAGTCAAGACCCTGTTGATATCATACTGGGTACCATGACCATCATTCTTCATTCTCCCCTGCGAGGCCCAGAGCCGCGTCATTGTCAATCACGTCCTCATCTCTGCTGCTCGTTCAACTTTGAATTTTGCATCGCCGTTTCTCTCACTGTCAGGATCCACATCCCATCGTCCCTTGCTGATGGAGAAAATCGACACCTCCCCAATGCCTGAAATATTCAATCTTGTCAATCAACATTGCACTCACTGGACATGTCCTCGCCTCGCCTCCCGCCTCAGCCTACGGGCTTAGCTTGGGCCTAGCCTCCTCCAAGTGACCATGCATGCTGAGGATCCCCGCAAAGGAAGCGGTAGTCATCACTCCCGTCAATATCCGACAGCGAGTCACAGACGCCTTTTATCCATTCTTCCCAACCCCGAAAAGGCTCTTTGCCCATTGGCGGAATGGCCGTGTTACTGTGGAAAAGAAGACGGTGGATAAGTCATTCGGCCAGAATGGGCAATGTGCCAAACTGGGCAGTTCTCGACGATGACGCTTGTCTTCAACAGGCTGCCGCGAGCGAGCGAGCGAGCGGATTATGTTTCCATTTGGTCTCCCCGAGTCCGTGTCACTTGCCGATTCGTCTGCTGTTTTTGACCTTCCGTCGTCTAACATGATTCTTGCTCACGCGTTTCAGGAAATCGAGACCTTCCCAAACCTCTGTCTGGTCCTGAATAATCGACTGCACCTCGTCGCCTGCAAATGGAGCTGCCATTGGATCAAGAACGGTGTACAGTCCAACCGCTATGGTGACCTTTGTTCAGATAATAGATGACAAGATATTGGGAATGGAGGTAGTGGACCTAGTTACTACAAGAAAAAGAGAGAGCACGGTCGGGCACAGTGATGGCGGAAACATCTTGGGGAGTGGGCCGTGACAAAGTGATGGAGAGGAGTCCAGACAAAGCATGGACAATACATATCAGCAAAGACAGGTTCAGTCTCCCCTGTCTAGATCGATCTGTGGCATCCTGGTCTTGCTGGCTGCGCGTCTGGTGTGAATGCCCCTGATCTGCTCACGCTGTACTCGGTATCGACTGGCAACCAAGGAAAGAGGCGAAACTGATAGATGGGATGTGCTGAAAGATGAACTTCCACCAAGTCATTAGGTCTTCAGGGCTGGAAGTTTGCGTTAAATACATAGTCATGCCCACGGGAGCCGGTCAGTTCGAGACGGATCGAGAGGGCTGGCTTCCTAGATTGCTTCAACCGTTCGAAAGCGGTTGCCGTCAACCCTCACAACCCCATATCGATATTCTCAGATATACGGCCTGTCCACATGTCTGCTCACTTGATGTTGTGCTTCAACCCAGGACTCCTGCTGATCCCTCAGACAACACCGCAGAGCACGCAGGCTCGGCCAAGCCCTGGTCTAACCATTCTAGCTCGAGCCTATTTACCTCCCTGGCCACCCCTACGTAAATAATTTACAAAGCCCATCATATACTCGCCCAGGACGACATGTTCGAAATCCGAGGGGAGTGAGGCGAGAATCCCAGAATGCCGCCGGATTGGCAACCGCGGAGTTGGACAACATCTGGGCTGCTTACCGTCCCATTCTCGGAGGTAGACCTTGGTACTGGCACTTCATGCCATTCAGAGGACAAGCAAGGAGATCATGCATTTCCGGATTATGTGCACCTTTCTTGACAGTGTATGAAGAGCGAATAGCTTGACCAACTGAAAAGCAAGCGGCGCCGCAATACAGGTCCATCCATAGGAACAGCCTCTGAGAACTTCTCGGGAAGACCTCTTCGAGAGACCTCTTCGAGCGCGGAGACAGTCATCTGAACTTGCTCCCTTCTGCTGATAAATCCTTTCTCAGACTGCGGAAAACATGTTCAATTTTTGAACCCGAGAATGTCGCCAGTTCTTAGCTCCTTGGAGTGGCCAGAAAACTCCATATGGAAAAGCCTGTGTATCTCGCCTCCGACATGACGGCCACAAGGCAGTAGGACGTTCATGATGACCAGTCGGGTACGGCAACGAAGAGGCTAAAAGTCTTTCTTCTGGATCAATATCGAAGTCGTCGTTGAATGTCGGAGGCGAAGACACACGCTGGCATAGCTTTACCTCCCTACAGAGAGCGAAACAAGTCTCGGATCCGATCAGATGCCACGAGGGGAGACAGATACGACTCCGTTTTTAAGTTGATTAGCGGTGGCACGGCCAAACACGGCATTCTTTGCATCCTCCATCGGCCCTTTTTCCACCATCCAGGCTTGTTCTTCTCCCCCAACTCCCCACCACTCTCGCCCATTCGGCACTTACGGAATAGATCCTGAGCCCTTCGTGGGGGATTTCCTGAGGGGGGTAATGATCGCGCCGACAACGGGCCGACGAACCACAACATGTTCCCTATGACATTTTGTTTTGGATTGAGGGGCAGGCATGCCCTTCGAACACCGTGGGGCCTTTGATGATGGCCTTGGTGGTGGTTGTGAGGAAGAGGTAGGTGTCGGAGGGTGAACTTCTTTTCTTCTCTTCTGGTTTTCAATCTCCTTCTCTGCTTTTGCTGGAACTGAATTACCATCCTCTGAACTTTTTTTTGTTGTTTCTGGGCCATCGGGTGCCCCTCTTTGCAATAGATATATACATACTTGTTGTTCTCTAGCGATACATCGCCACAAGAGAGGAAAGAAAACGAAAAAGAAAAAGGGAAACTCCAGCTCTAGCAAGGAAAAATGGGAAAGGCAACACACATCATCCGCTTCGTCGCGAGCGAGGACAACCGCATCCACCTGGGCCAGCTAGTTGACACTACTCGGGACGTCGGCCTGGACAGCGTCGAAGGCAACGAAATCAAAGCCTACCTGATCAACGGCTCGATATTCGCGCCCGAGGTCACGGAACATGTCTACACCGTCAAGCAGCTGCTGAGCCCCGTGTCGATGGAGGACTGCAATTACATTCGGTGTCTAGGGTTGAACTACATGGATCATGCAAAGGTCAGTCCCGTTCCGTTCAGTCAAGCAAACTCCCTACACCACTCACAACACATTGCGTGCGCCGGAGATCTCAGTTTCCCCCTCGCTCCTCCTGGCTCATAGAACTACTACATCGTCAATTCTACTAACTGGGATATTTATTGGGGGGATATAGGAAGCAAACATGGCCCTCCCCAAGGCCCCCATCCTCTTCACCAAGCCGCGCACCGCGCTGGCCGACCCCTACCCATCCGCCATCCCCATCCCCAAGGCCGCGCAGGACGGCACGTCCGACTACGAGGCCGAGCTGTGCGTCGTGATCGGCAAGACGGGCAGGGACATACCCGAGGACAAGGCGCTCGACTACGTGCTGGGGTACACGTGCAGCAACGACGTCTCGGCGCGCACCATGCAGATGTTGACCACGCAGTGGTCCTTCTCCAAGGGGCTTGATGGGAGTTGTCCGCTCGGCCCCGTGCTGGTCACAAAGGACGCGATTCCGGACCCGCAGAGCCTGAAGATCAAGGCCATCTACAACGGCCAGGTGGTGCAGGATGGGAATACCAAGTATGTCTCATGTCTCACTCTTTCCTCATCCTCGCCCTCGTCCTCCCCCGCTTGTCACCTACGATCCCCTTTCCCTTTCTCTCCATCCGATGATCCCCCTGAATTGACCACGCTGCGTGCGCTGCGCACGCATGTGCAGGGACATGATCTTCCCCATCGCCAAGCAAATCAGCTACCTCTCGCAAGGCACGACGCTCGAGGCCGGCACCATCTTCCTGACGGGCACTCCCGCGGGGATTGGCTTCTTCCGCACCCCGCGCGTCGTCCTCGAGCACGGCGGCGACATCCGCATCGAGATCGAGAAGATCGGCACCCTGGTCAACAAGGTGCGGTATGAGGAGTGGTAGTTTGAATCCCTGAGGCTGGCTGGCTGGCTGGCTAGTTGGTTGGTTGGTTCGTTGGTTGGTGGTGGATGTGTGTTGGGGGGGGGGTGAGAGTATGAATGGACGGAAACATCTACTCGGTCGGGAGTATACTAGACATGTGAGAGTGCATAATGCTCATATACATACACGTATACGCACACACACACACAAAACATACAGCGCCTTAAGGGCCTAAATTTCGTGCACGAACATTGGAAACCTAAACATCCTCGCCCAGTTTTTGGGCTCGAAATTTAAATACACATCTAAACGGGGCTGAGAAAGGCAGTTGGTTGTTGTTTCGCGTGTTTCCTTGCACATTAGCTAAACTCGACGTCCACGACTCAGCACTATCTGAATATCACGGCTTTCACGCACCGACTGTATACCTCCGTAGGAATATCGTGCGTACCAAACGAAAGCCATTCCGCACCACTCGACCAAATGTACCCTGCAGAGCACGTATACGCCTTGCTGTCAATTGGGTCAATATCTCAGGAAGTCGTTCCCGATACTCATATTCATAAACACGCCCCTGGGGGGCATTGTGCCTCCCTTCATCCGGCCGTTTCATCCCGCGGACGGACATATCGTTCTTCACTTTCGTGATACACTCTCCGCTGCCGGCTCTCCGTATTCCATACTTTCTCGAATGTCCACAATCTGGCTGCTCTCCTACTCCAAGAACGTCTGTGGCACCTCTGGTCCCCAGACTGCCAACCCCTCGTGCTCCGCGGGTCCATATCCGACCGGCGTGTCTTCGTTGACGAGATCTCCATCAGCATAATGCTCGACCATAAACCCCGTGGCATCCCACCAGTAGTCGAAGATCTGTGACCCGAGAATGTGTCTCCCGACGCCCCAGACTGGCTCATACTTCTTCTCTGCGAGCCATTGATGACCCAGGAGTTGAGTATCGAAGTCATGCACTTCATACGAGGAGTGGTGTACGTGTTTCTCCTTGCCAGGGGCGGTCGTGGTCATGAAGAAGGTGTGATGGTCGACGCATTTTTGGCCCTGGTCGATAGATGCGAAGAGAGCGACTTCCTTGCGTCCCGGCTTGCCGGTGGCAGGGTCGATGGAGTCCTGGGGCACATAGAGGATGTCGCTGGGGTAGATGTTGAAGTGGCGTGTGTACCACTCCATCTGAGCGGGGAAGTTGTCGACGTTGATGCCGAAATGACCCAGCTGTGAGAGAGAACAAACCGTCAATCAAGGCTCAATTGGTTAAGCAGCATTGTGGGGTGCAAATTACCTTGTGAACAGCCGCCGGTCCAGGCTCAAATCTCTGAAACGCCTTCTCTCTGGGCTTATCGGTCTCATCGTTCACAACTAGTTTGCCGGGCTTCTTCCTCTCCTCCTTAACTTCTGCCTGACCATAAATAAAGCTCACAGGGAAGCCCTCTGGATCGGCGATGGTGACAATGTAGCCACCACCGGGGGCATCAGTCATCTCTTCGATGCCGTTTGTGAGGGCTGTGGCGCCGGGGATCTTCAACACCTTGTCGAGTTCCTCTTTGGACTCGACTTCAAAGGCACCTCCCAGGAATTTCTTGGGACCTTGACGGGCGTAGTAGACGTATTGATCTGGGCCGTAGCCACGGAACCAGCGCTCGTTTTCGCCTTTCTTGACCACATGCATGCCGAAATCTACCAGGAAAGAAAGCAGGGTCAGTCAACTTGCCGGAAAAGATGGTTCAAATAGAAATGGAAGAAAGAGAGTCTTGGAGGTGATAGTTGAGTCGACTCGCCCAGTGTCCAGCCCGGGCAACATTATCTGGACTAACCTCTCAAAAAAGTCGTGATCTTGTTCAGATCAGGATGCTGATATCGCATATGGCTCAACTTGGCAAGTCGGACCTGCTTCGAGACGTCGATGCCGCGCTTCTTCTGCCACTCACGCTTGCTCTCCGAATCTGGGCCTTGTGCGTCGACATCCCGAACCGAAGCACCACGGTTGGGGCTCGGTCCGCGAGAGATGGCGCCGTTGGTGGAGGTCTGTTCAAGAGGTAGGCATGGTCAGAACTTGTTGGAGTTGGGAGGCAGCACGTTGTGATAGGCGGCAGCCGGAGAGGGAGAGGCTTTTCCTCACCTTGTCACCATTCTTCAACGCATCCTCAGTGATGTTGTGTTTGAGCTCGTCGAGTTTATTCATGGTGGCTTCTTTGGGTTGCTTGTCGCCTACACTTCAGAGGCGAAAATAAGATGGAGGTCCTTGAGCTCGATCCGATCTGTTGCTCGCTACAGTCGGCAAGCGGTAGTGTGAAGTTGGGTCGGTAGGTAAAGAAACAATTACTTGAATGGCTTGCTGTTTGACCTGGATTTTGATTTCGTCAACGGGGAAGGCACAAAGCTTGCAGTTGCTGGTCTTGTTCTGATCGACGTGCCGTGGAGTTCAGTCCGGTGACGGCGCAAAGCAAAAGGGCAAACACTGGCTGAATTCAAGAACGTCAAGTTGAAAAGGCGGTGGAACAGACGATGGAGGGTATATGTGTATCACAAGCTTTTAAATGCAAGAAGAGTGTTGAAGCTGACGTGAAGGGGCCTTGATGGTCGTTCGAGGCCACTTAAAGCGGTTCGACCACGACGACATAAAACATCGTATGGAACTACCCCACAGTCCACAGTGTCAACGAAGATAGTCCGCACGGTAAGAGCATTCCAGGAGCGATCCAAGGGGGGGGGGGGGGGGGTCCAGCCCTCTGAGTCCCTTGACGAGAGCCCCATCCATCCACGAGAGCGATCCAAATCCCAATGGAGCATCTGCAGGGCGAGCTCCGCGTCGTGTGGCGCTCCTGTACGACGTCCAAGACCAAGTTGACCGATCAACACCGTCCCCGCAGGCCCGCAGGCCGTCGACCCCCAGTCCAATATCATAAAGGCTCGCCTTCTCGCCCTGTCGCCCTCTCGCCACGATCACTTTGCTGTCGGGGTTTCCCCCCGGGTTCCAGGGCAGACCGGCTGGTGGATCATGAGCTGGAAGTATCTGTCAGCACCCGCGGTCCTGATTCCGTTGCGTCAAAGATCTGGTCGACTGTGACGATCCACGACTAACATAAAAAAATTGCCCCACGATCTGCCGAAATTGTAGCGACAAGATGCATGTGGGGTCGTCTGGGTCGTTCTTGGAGAGCTGGTGGGACATCAGGAGATGCTGACGCGCGAGGCATCCCGAGTCTGACAGGCGCCCTCGCAATGCATTGTTGTCTGATGATTGAATCAAGGGGGAAGAAGGATGGCATGACCGAGAGTTGGGTGGGGGACAGACACCAATAGATTATGTACATATATGTACATAGCACTGGACGACAATCTGATATTGCAGCCTTGTACACCCACAACACCAACTTGACCAGTTGGCCAGCATAGAAATGACGGCTCCTGCAATAACTACCAGCGACCAAGGCGACTTGAGCTGGTCTTGTGTCATCTCAGGACTTTTCATTCATTGTCATATATACACATTATATATTAACATCATGCTCCCATGCACCATCCGCATCAGCTCATGGCTACCTCATCTGACGCTAACACAGTCAGTAGCTCGTGCTTTGCAGTGTGGTAAACGGTCCAACAGTTCCCAAGCTCGGAATTCGGCCCAGGAGGAATTCAAGCATCCGGTAAGCCGCAGACGGAGCATATTGTGGAACCATATGTCCAGAGAGTTCAACCGTGGCCAGCGTCAATCCTCTCTCGGTATGCCATTTCCCCATAAAGCCCGACCCGGCAGTCGAGCCCAGTTCGAAGTCGTACTCGGCGTAGTAAGGCACATACATGTCACCGAAATGCGAGGGCGGGGCTGAGAAGCCCTGAGCACCGTTCCAGGTCATGTTCTGGATGGCAAGCAGAGTGCCGTTGTAGATCAGGATCATGTCGAGAATCCCGTGACCAATGATGACTCGGTCGGCGCTTTCAATCACCCCAGGAAGGACACTCAAAGCTGACGGCGGGGAGTTATCAGTGTTATTGACAAACACGTCCACATTGGTGCATTCCAGCCATTCTTGCTTGGGTGCGTGGATTGCCTTCTGCACGTCGCTACGGTTAAAATAAATCGAAGCTCCCTGAGGCACGTAATCGAAAGAGCCAGGGAAACCAAGCACGTCCCACAGCAGGGGACATGTCGTCGCCACTTGGTAGATATCGAAGCACGGATTGATTGCTGTTGCAGCAAAGAAGACTGCATCGAAGGTATCGCACGAGTCATCGCTCAGATCGACGTTGGGTGGCGTGGGCAAGGGGCCCTTGGGAGGGAAGACTAGATTCTCCTCCATGAAGGCAGTGTATCCGCAAGCATCCGACATGTTATGCAGTTGTTGCACAAAGGTGGCGTTGAGATCGAGCAGTGGAAGCCAATAGTCGACAAAGGCAGTCACCGGGATATGTTCTTGCACCACATCGTAGCTCAAGCTCGGGTCGTAGATCATGATCGAGCTAATATTGTAGTAATCGGTGTCGTTCGCATTGAACATGGCATCGGCAATGTACGGAACGTAGTAGCCAGCGTAGGATTCGCCTGCGATATAGACAGTGTAGCCTTGCATCGAAAAAAGCTCGACAAAGTTCTTGAAGAAGCCAAGGAACTGCGAGGCGACGTCCTTTTCAGACGTGGCCGTTGGGGTGCCCTGACTGAAGCCAGTGCCAACCGGTTCTGTATCAAAGTTAGCTCACCAACCCAACGTCAATCGCCACTTGTGAAGCTCACGCTCAACCCAAACAACGTTTGTCAGATTTGTCCACGACCATTGGTTTCGGACTGGCTTGAACGTGCCGTATTGCCAAAGGAAAGGTCCATTTTCTACCAACACCTGTTAGGAAGTGGTCTAAGGCTCTGGATCGCACTTCTTCTCACCTTGCAAAAAGCCTTCCAAAGAGCTGCACCCGGGACCCCCATTTAGCCAAATGAGGATCTCATTGGTCGCATTTGGGTTCGACGAAGGAAAGAACCAAAAGTACAGCTCCGAAGCATTCTTTTCGCTGGAGATGGGCAACAGACCAGCATAGGATTCGCCCACGTCAAAATCCACGTCGGGAATGGCGCTGCCATTGACGGCATATTCTGGAAAATGGGTCAGCCATAACCCCCCTTCCCAACCGAGTTGAGGAAACACACTTTTGGTCTTATTGTTCAAGAATTTATGCGGCGCTCGCTTCTCGAGCTGCGGCACCGCATGATGTGCTCGAGGCGCCGCGGCTCTCTTGAGTTGTGGGAGCTTCTTGCCCACATGCTGAGGGCTTCTGCGTGCTGAAGACAAGGAAATCAGGCCCAAGGCCAAAGCAAGGATAGAGAACTTCATGATTCGCAACAGATGTATAGAGTGAAAGTCACACCGGAAGCTGCGCAACAGCACCAGAAGAGGGACCAACACAAATAAAAGGAAACCTCAAGCTCTGTCAAGCGTCCCCCTCCCTCCAAGCTGGGGGGCCCCTCGCTTGCCGATGTACCATGATGAAAGCTTTACCTGATGATCCTAGGTGTTTGTCTCCACCTCGTGGTAGCATCCATGTCATTCAGGGTGGTACAGAATGGTGATTGAACGATAACAAGATGATGCAGCTTCCCGAGTAGCCAGGCGACGGCCAAAGCCGAAGTCAGGTTGTGGCATTGCCGCAGCAAAGCGCGTGGGAAGGGACATTGCAACGCTGCTTGAGAAGCGCTACGCAGAGCGAAGCAGCAAAGAGCCAGTCAATGACGCGTGGGAGGCAAGGTACATGGGAGGGCGGCGAGGAAGTAGGAAGTAGGAAGGAGACGGTTAGAGACGATCTCTCAGGATTTGGTCTACCGCCCTTGATGATTCGTTCGGTGGGTGATCGTGTGCCTGCGTATAAGCTGATAACGATTCCCTGCTACATACTTACAAGCATGTAACCTACCGAGCCGAATCTTCTCCACTAGAGCTTCGAGAATGCCCCCAGTGTGGAAGTATTACTCTGCAGCTGATTCGGTGCAGCGAAGATTTGGTCCACCTGACAAAAGTACGTAGGGAAGCCAGGTTGATTGTGCAAACGCTGTGAGGCGAATCGTCCGTTCAGTGAGGGAAGGGCCTCGGAGATGAGAGATTCAGGGCCAATTTGGCGAGAAAATGCAAAGGGATATGGAAGATGACCAGTGAGCAGGGAGGAGTGAGTGGAAAGAGCAGAAGCAACGCCGACCAGGGAGGAAGCGATAGCGGCAAACGCCAGCTGTTGCAACCCCTTAGCGGAACTCTAGGTAGGAGAGTACCTAATAAGTACAGCCTAGTGAGCCATTAACCATTAGCCCTAGTAGCCACAACTTAGCTAAAGCCTTAGCTAGTTCAAGCCCCTACTACCTAGCCACCGACTGCTGATTTTATGCTTCGAGAAAAGCTTATCCCCCTCTCTGTCCCCCGCTAGAGCAGATCATCGCCCCCCATCCAATGTCACTTCAACTGCTTGGTGCAGTAACCTCTTGAGGCAGGTCATCATCGGTCATTCACGAGAAGCATTTTCAAATCGGTGAGATAACAAACTTCCCGGACTGCCGAACTACTGTATGTACGAGGGATTATGATTACATCCTGCACTTTTCATCAGCGACAACAGCCCACCTATGAACCTCTGACCCTCTCAAAATCAATGTAAACCAGGGACTCGTATTCGGAAACTTTTCATCCCTCTCATGCACGGTTGGCACAAGGCTCAAGCCGCCCTCGGCAGCCAACTACTAAAACGTAAGATCGTCACCGATCCCCCGGGTGGCTTCTCGGCAAACCCTCAAGGCTGAGCATGTGGCTGGCTGAAAAAGTAAACCATCGATGGCAGGGAGTATGTGGGTGAGTAGCCTTGCTTGCCCATACTACTAAATACCTATCATCTTTTATCCTGGCAAAGCACACCCATCGCCTCGCATGTCACTTCCACCACTGTATACCACCAGGCCAGTCTCTTCATCAACGTGTCTCCGAATAATCTGTCCTCGCCCAAATCTTGCTCGGCTGAATCCACGCAGAACCTCAACATCATGGCCCATCTGCTTTAGCGCCTTGATCACGGCCTCCTCGATCCCTTCTTCCACATACACAGTCCCAGCATGCAGATCGCCTTCTTTGGGCATTCCCGCACCAATGCATATTCTTGGGGCGTCCAAGGCTTGCTGCGGGTTCATCCCAAAGACTTCCATGTTGAGCAGCACTTGAAGGTGACCCTGCGGCTGCATGAAACCGCCCATTACCCCATATACCGAGTGCAGTTCTCGCTCCCCTTCTTCCCCATGGGTAATCATCCCCGGGATAATCGTGTGGTAAGGTCTCTTCGCCCCCCGGTAGATATTGGGATGATCTGGCGGTCCCAGCTCGAAATTCGACCCTCGGTTTTGGAGCGTAAATCCGCAGCCCTGAGGGATAATGGAAGATCCGAACCCTTCGTAGTTAGAGTTGATGAAGCTCATGCCATTGCCCTCCTTGTCAGCAACGGCGAAGTATACCGTGTCGCTATGATTCTGAGCTGGACTCGGTCCCGGCTGTCCTTTGCTGTACATACCAGCCTTGTCCTTGTTGAAAAGCTTCGCCCGTTCCGCCAGATAAGGTCGGGAGATCATGTCTGCAGGCTTGACCGGCATGAAGTCTGGATCCGTTACCCACCAGTTCGCGTCAGCAAATGCTATCCGAAGTGCCTCGATCACGGCATGGAGGTGTGTGGCACTGTTGTGATCCTCCTGGGCAAACGTTGGGATTTGCCTCGTCCGCTCAAGCTCTTCCAAGATGCCGAGAGCCATGAGGGCAACTATGCCCTGCCCGTTCGGCGGATGCTCCCACAGTTCGACAAAGTGGTCATCTGGCGACCCATTCGTCACTCTTTGGGCTCCCATCTTCTTGACGTTCTGGGCGTTGAATCTCAACGAAATAGGCTCTGTCTCCTGGGCGCCTCGGTTCATATGGTCTTCAAGGTCCGACAGTTCCATATGCCCACCTCGAAGCTTCAGGACGTCAACGATAGCCTGAGCGATCCTTCCACTGTAAAATCCCTTCTTCCCCTCTGCTGCCAATGCCCTAAAGGTCTTTGCCAAGTTTGGATTTCTCATGATCTCACCAGCCCGAGGTGCCCGGACAAAATCTTCGGAGTGCTTGTCTCTTTTGAGCATTTCGCGGAAATTGGGCGAGGCGTGCCTGAGGTCTTTTTCACCTTCATGCCACTGGGGATGCGTTAGCATTGATATCCCACAAGTCAAGACGCTCGAATTCGGACAGCACTCACCCACATTGCAGAAAGCTCGCTGACCGGAAACCCGCTTTCTCCCAGTTCAATTGCCGGCATCAGGATCTGCTCCAAGCTCAACTTTCCGCTCCCAAATTTCTCAATTGTATCGACCCATCCTCCAGGTGCGCCGGGAACCGTGACGGACAGTGCACTGAGGACGGGAATCTTGCCAATCTGTGACGGGGCCATGCCCAACTCTTTCTTTACTTGCTCGAGAGTAGTATTCTTTGCGCTGCGTCCCGAGCCATTGAGAGCATGGACCTTCTTTGTCTTCGCATCGAAGAAGAGACAGAACATATCTCCGCCGATACCGGTCGAGGTGGGCTCAGTCATGTTTAACGCAGCGGCTGGTAGGGCATCAGGGCAAATCCGGAGAGGGCAATCAAGGTTCTCGACATACCAACTGCGACCGCAGCATCCTGGTCGTCTTGTCAGTCATGCTACGGTCATTGAATCTTCAAGCGTTTGTTCACTTACCGCGGCATTCCCTCCCATCTTTAAGATCCTTTGCCCCGCCTCTGCGGCCAAAGGTTGTGTACATGCGACCATGCCCTTTGTGCTGTGGACGACGCTCCTTCTGCTCGGGAATTTCATCAACATGGGAGTGTTACCAGGGAAGACGGCTTCCGCCTTCATGTCTTTGCCTGTGGAGCCCATCGTCGTAAGCGACCTGAGGCTGTAAGAGAAACAGAGACGGCAAGGCAAGCGTGGTAGCTTAAGGAGTGAGCCACGAGGTTGATGGCTGATGGTCCTGCAGGCGTGCAATTGGGGGAGATCAGCATCAAACGAAAGGTAAGAAGAAAGATAAATATGCTCGACACTCTGGCTTGAGTCAATGGCTCCCAGAGTCCTTGGGGAGACTCCTTTTTGCCGGAAGAGTAAATAAATTACTTAACCGTTGCAGCATGCGAGTATGGCGTCTGCCCCTCCATGACGTGGAGGGACTGGACAGGATACGTCCATAGATGAGGGGCGATATACACGAAACGAGCAAAAACTACCTGCCGTGAACCCTCGAGCTTGGGTTTTTCCGGCAGGTCGTCGAGGCCATCAGGACTTCTCCGTTGAGTTCGAGGAGCGTGCTTGAACTACGAAAAGCTGACGGAGGCGCCGGTCGCTCCCCGAAGGATCGACGACGACGGCGAAGTTGGCCGTCCGGGAATTCAGCGCCCGTCTTTTCAAGAGAATTTGGTCATTCAGGACATTCACTAACTACCGTCACCGTACATTGATCCTCCTAACACAATTGACACACTAGTAATACAAAGAATTGGCCGTCAGACCAATCCGCCGCCCAGAACATACGAGATCCTCCTCAAGCGAGCGCTCTGGATCCTCCATTTTCCTCCATCCCTGCATGTGCTGTCGACACAAAGTGGATTCCAGTCAAGCCCAGTCTGCTCTCAGCCTTGTGGTGATGAGCATCTTCTGGACGCCATATCAGGCACCCACCCGCTCTCCACGCCAAATCTCCCGAACAGTCGTGTGCTCCACCAGCGTGTTGATTGCCCTGCCCAAGATGCCGAACCTTGGAGCTGTTCGAAGCTCGGTATGGTACTGCCGATCCCGTCTCGAACTTGAATGCCTCGATGGCTTGAGTCGGTCTTCTGCATCCCCATCCCTGCTGTCTCGCTCTCGGTCTGAAGCCCCTCCCCGAGACCGGTGGTGCCTATGTTCGCGGACTTCGTGATGACGGCTCCTGGTTCTATCTCTTGATCTGTCCTTCGGAGGGTCGTCATCATTCACCTTGATCATGAGGAGGGGTTTGGTATCGCTCTCGCCTGTTGCCATCCTTTTCAGGATGTCAGGAATTGGCACCACAGAGGAGCCACCACCACCACTGGTACCTGCACTGCTAGGCCGCCTCGTTCTGTTTCTGGGCTCACTGCTGCTCTCGGTTGTAGCATCTCGAGATGATTCTAGCGCTTTCTCCTTTCCCTTGCCTTTCCTCTTCGCGGAGCGATCTGCCTCTTCAGCATCCGCCCTTCGCTTCTCTTTTTCGTGGCGCCTCCGGTGCCTCTCTTCTTTGCTGGTGTTTACCTCTGCCTGGTGACGGCTTTGGCCATCTTTGGCGACAGGTTCCTCACTTTCGCGGCGGGCCCTCCTGGCTCTCCTCTCTGCTCTTTCACGCTCCTTTTCTTCGGGCGACGATTCGTGTCGGCCATGCTCTTTGTCTTTGGACTGCTTTTTAATCTGTCTCGCGAATGCGCTGTCGAATAGCCCTGCCTCACCCCTGCTCCTCTCAAGCTTCCCTCTATGCCCGTGCAATTGGTCTTTCGAGCTGCGTCCCCGTTTCTCATGGTACTTCCTTCGTCTTTCCTTCAGACCTTTGGATGCTTCTGACGCCGCAAGAACCCCCGCAGCGCCGGCCACTGCGGCAGCGGCAGCGGCAGCGATCGGAATTGCTGATTCTTCAGGAGCTGGTGCTTCTTTTTCTCCGGAAGCCGCCTCTTCTTCTTCACGACCAGCTTCCTCCACTGCAGCTGTCTCATCATTCGGTTCGGCTGGTTCATCCGCAGGAGGTTCTTCTTTAACCGGCGCTGAATCATCGGCTGGCGCGGCGTCGTCTGTTGCTGCTTCTTCGACTGTTGCTTCGGGCTCCTCATCAACTTCCGCTACAGGGTCTTCGACTGCCTCTTCTGCGGGTTCTTCTACGGGTTCTTCTGTGGCTACTTCTGCCACAGCTTCTTCGGAGGCCGGCTCTTCTGCAACTTTTTCTGCAGCTTCTTCAGCTAGTTCCTCGGCAGGTTCTTCTACTTCCTCTTTGAGGACTGCTTCGGCGCCTGGTTCCTCGGTAGCCTGTTCGGCGGCCTCTTCCGCAGCGGGGTCTTCCTCAGCAGGTTCTCCTGCATCCTCTTCTTCAGCAGCCTCATCAACAGCCTCATCGGCAGCCTCTCCAGAAGCTTCCTCGCCGACTTCTTCCACTGGTTCGTCTGCTGGTTCGTCTGCTGGTTCGTCTGCTGGTTCGTCTGCTGGTTCGTC